CTCTGGCCTTATGTCTGGTATCGCGGACGGATCAGATCATCCAAGCTGCCTCCTGGACCACGACCTCTGCCCCTCATAGGCAACGTGCACCAACTACCCCTCAAAGATCAGCACAAGACCTTCGCTGAATGGGGGAGAGAATATGGTTGGTTCTTTTGTTGGATCAACGAGGAGGTTCGCTCACACTGTTTATGTAGGCGATCTGATCTATCTGCGAATTTTCGCGACGCCGGTGTTGGTCGTACATTCGCTATCCGCTGCTCGCGAACTGTTAGAGGGCAAGAATTCCGTCACTTCAGACAGACCTCATATGGTCTTCGTAAGAGAGTTGTAAGTTCCAAACCATGAATCTTGCCAATTGGAGGTCGGAGTGCTGACTGCTGATTGCCGACAGTCTTGGTTATGACTCATGTTTCCCGTTCATCCCTTACGGGGAGGTATGGCGCCGGCAGCGAAAATGGGTACACACCGCCCTCGAGACGAAAGAGTCCCTGGCCAGTTACAGTCGAAGTCAACGACGCGCGGTGCATGCCTTACTCTCTGACCTCTTGAATGAACCTGAGCGATACTCGCAACATCTCATACGGTAGGGTGAACTTCACTCCGTTGTGTCGCTTGACTATGAACCATCGCGGAGAGTAGATACATGGCCGCGATGATGATGGTCATTGTTTACGGCCACACTATGACGTCTAAGGATGATGCCTTCGTTAGGACAGCCGAGGAGGCTATGGGTGGAACTGCGAAGCTGGGGGACATTGCGTCTTCCCTGGTTGATTTCCTACCCATCCGTGAGTACTATCATTGAGTTAATTGTCATGAGCTTATATATATTTCTGTAGTAAGGCATCTGCCATCCTGGATCCCGGGGATGGGGTTCAAAAGGAAGATCCCGCAGGTTCGTCAGCTTGTTCAAAAGACTATGGATGAGCCATTCGAAATGGCCAGGAAAGCAATGGTAAGATAAACGTTACTATCAACCTTGTTCGTTCGAATTTAAGTTCCGGCCAGATAGATGGTCATGATCAATCATATTTCGTTGCGAAGATAATCTCTTCGCAGTCTGAAGGTAGATTACTACAACCAGATCAACTATTGTTGAAGTACGCTGCCGGCGCTCTTTATATTGGTCAGTTACTATAAAGCAGCGTGTGTTAAATTCTAGCAGCACTGATAAACCTTCTTTCAGCCGCGGTGGACACAGTAATTTGTACAGCCACATGCCCCTCACTGAGTTCTGAAAGGTGGTGAATCAGACTGCGACGACGCTCTCCACATTTCTTCTTGCTATGGTGCTTCATCCAGAGGTCTTGCGGAAGGCGCAAGCAGAGATTGACCGTGTTGTGGGAGGCACACGACTGCCAAACGTCGAGGACAGAGCATCCTTGCCATATGTAGACTGCATCATTAAGGAGGTGTATCGGTGCGCCTTTCCTTTTGTAAGCTCCTCCACGTTTAACTTGCGGGGATAGTTGGAACTGTCCCGCTCCGTCTGGCAAGTACCGCGATGTTCCACATTTCCTGCTTACATAGCTAGGTCTAAATATAATTTCCAGGTATACCGCATGCAATGTCGAGGGACGAGGTGCTTCGCGGGCACAATATTGCGCGTGGTACCGTCATCGTGGCAAACCTGTGGTCAGCCTCATCCATCCAATTCTACATTGCATGCTCAGCCAAGTGTTCATGTTAGGGCAATGACGCAAGACTCAACGCTGTATCCAGAACCGGAGACATTCCGCCCTGAGCGCTTTCAGGAAATGGACAGTCATACAGCGGAGCAAGCTGACCCACGTAAATTCATTTTTGGCTTTGGCCGACGGTATGATCCATGTTGCGTCGCTTTCGTAGCCATGTTGACCACCAGGATGCTATAAGTATCTGCCCGGGCCGGCATTTCGCGGATATGAACATATGGCTTACTATATCCAGCATCATTGCGGCCTTCGACATATCCAAGGCTCGTGACGCCGAAGGCAATGAAATAATGCCGCAGATGTCTTTTACATCTGGACTTGTCAGGTCAGTAGGTTCTTCTGGCCTACTTGGGTGCTAGGCTTCACGAATGCCCTTTTGTTGCAGTTTCCCAGACCCATTCGAGTGTGATATACGACCACGCACTGCGAGGACCCGTCATTTGATTTCTCAACTCAGTGAGAATCCAGCTTGATGAAGGCCCGGACGAGGACCGGACGTCTTGACTGTCTCATCTAGCTGTCTATTGCCAACTACGTGAACGGATCACGAGTCACGAGATTATTTGAACAATGCCAGGAAGACGCGCATTTTCCTGTATCCACACGCTACCTGCTATTATTAACCTCGTTCACGTTCTTATATTTTCGAATGGTAGCTATCAGAGCAGCAGCAAGGAATTCCACGTGCTGTCACGCATTGATCGTAGGCGGACATGTGTCGTGAATATGTAGCGACCGCATGATCAGACTACTTTCCACGGCAAGCCCCCGGCACTAGCCAGCATAACATGTCCAAAAATACATTTGCCATAATTGCCATCCGTTTACATGCGTGGTCATGCGCCATTGACCCTCTCGTCCTCCGGTGCTGTGACGCGATCTCTTGATGTACACCGTTCTTGTGAGACTGCGATGTGCATCCTCGTGTTGTTCCTGACGAAAAGGATGAACGGTGCTGTTTTGACGAGAGGCACATAACTACCCACTGCATGCCGATAGTATTGAGTTCTACACCGGTGGTGGTTAGAACACTGCCGGCGATTCCTCTGACATGTTGACGTATGTTGAGCCTGAGGGCGATGGATCAGACGGTTCTCCCCTCTCCGTGAAGCAATAGGTAACGACGCACGATGCAAGCATTGAGTTTACATAGACTGTTGATCGCCGTGAGATCCGGATTAGCGCGGCAAACAAACTCCCAAGACGTACTCGAGTTTCCAGGGATGATGGTGAGTGCCCAGGGCACCGCTTCGCTATGGACTGCTGCCCCGTACTGATCGACATGCACATCGTGAGCAGCGGTTCGCGTCGTTATCGAATTATTTCCTCACTGATATACAAGAGGCTAGCTGGAACAAGCTGTGGAGAGGTAAGCGGACGCCGCGCTCGAATTCGTGTTGAGAAAGGCATACGAAGTGACTATGCCTCGGGTAACCGCAAATGTCATCAAGCTTGATATCATGTTCTCGGTTCTTTACGCGATGATCAGTGCACTGATCGGCCACCATTAATATCTGGAACATACCGTGCAAGTCCCGTCTTGTGCTCATGTAGTACCATGCACAAGGCAACGGTGATATAGATATCGGCGACAAACGACGCGCCCAGTCCTAGCACTCCAGATACCTGGAGCAGCGGTGGCATTAAGACTAGGACGATTTTCAAGTGTGCCTAATTTTGCGCACCAAGTTGTTCGGGATAATTGTGTAAGCGTAGGTCTCGTCGTACCTGTCATTGTTTAATCATGATAACCAGGGAGGAAGTGCAGCAGCTTGAGACCCACATGTTCGCCGTTTGTGCTGATATCACGTTGAATAGCTAACGGTCATCGTCGATCACAGGCGGTTCCTTGTACTCACCTATACCACATGCTGGAAAAGGCAGCTCGTCAGGGAGACTCTTGAGACAGCGGCAGAGCGTACGAACAGAAGCCCAATAATGCCAATACAACCTACGATATGACGCAAGATCGCGTCAGCCACGTAATCAACTCAGAGCCCGCATATACGCACCCCCAACAGTGTGAACACATGGCGGTATCGGTTGCCTGCCAGAACTACAGCAACGGGTCAGTAAGGCCTTCCCGTAAGGTAGTGGCCATAGCCACATACGCCTCCATATAGTGTTGATGAAAAATCTACACCCAGCGTTGTCAATATACGAGAACACGAAGGCCGCATGGAACATTCAGACCGACCCTTGCACCGCAATGATCGTCAATTTCTGTCTATAGTGAGCCATGACATCTACGTCACCTCACTGAAAGCTCACCGAAAAAAGGAACTCGGTCTAGACACGTATATTAGTCAGGGTGAGGGTAAGATTTCAGATCACTGAGATGCAGCTTACCGCGAAGGACCTATCAAGGTGGTGAACGTTTAAGCATGACACATCACACATAAGCTTACGGAGGGCAAATAAGCAGGAACCCCACATCTCCGTGATGCTCAATCGTCCAGAACCAGATGATCTGGAGAAAATGAGGGGACGGGCGACTGGCGATCGCGCGAGCAGACGTACCGCAACGTCGAGGACGGTCCTCCCAAAGTCAAGCATACTACCGATGCACTCATGAAAGCCATCCGCAGTGGATGTAAACGTGACACATACAGCAATCCCAAGACCTATAAATGGTATCGAGATGAGCGGAAATGGGACAAGCTGCACATCCACAACTGTCAACGACGTACATATGCTTTCAGCAATCGTGAATCTTCAGGATAATGCCTGTAATAGTATAGTGTCTGCGCGATCGATATGCCATAAAAGCTGTGTGCATTAGATAAGCATAAACCGAGTCCAAGATCTCATGAGCACACGCACAATATGGAGAATATCACAGCAGAGAGAAAGAAACCGATCCAGTAATTGAGGTCAAAGCCAGACATGGGGCATCCGAGCCCTTTGCTGCGACCTGTACTCAGGGGACACTAAGTGAGCTGCTTTTTTGATGAGCAAGCAAGCACCTCCATATGAGGCGCTCCAACGCCATTCCCATGGGAGACTTCTTTTTCACTAGCCGAGCGTTAGAGACAGATATCAGAGCGCATCCTATAGAAAGAGAATTTGATGCGAATCAGGAAGACAACATCGGCCCCATTCATACAACTTGGTATCTGCTTAGGTTGAGCGCACGACTTTCAAAGGAACGGGAGGCGAGAGGACCTTTCCTCAATTAGACGTTTGACGGAATGCGACACTCCATGTAGGTGGAACTTGAAGACTCCGTAAAGCAGGGAGCATGACGTAAGATCGGAGAGATGCCGCATGAAAGCCTGGAGATGGGGATAAGATTGAGCGCGTACTCCGAGTCTGTCGGCCATCAGTAGCGTATTCTCACGTGTCCCGAGCGATTGAATGGCTTCGTCTTCGCACTCCACATGTGTCTCACAAGGTGAGGTGACAATGCACGAGTTCATGCAGCATGACCGGCGGATTCAACACAAGGCACGCCATGGGTAGGGTCCGCAAAACGGTGATCCCACGCACGTAGCGGCCGCCATTGACCATTTCAATCCGCAGTGCGGATTTATCGTCATCAGCCGACAACGACTCACCTAGACCATAGGGCCGCAGAACTTGCAGAATACTATGGATGTCATCCCGTTGATTCAGGAATTGAGTACTTGAGTAGTCGCGCCCGTAATAGAGAATTGAAGATGCCATAACTCTCATTGGTGCTGCAGTGGTATGCACAAGGGAATTAGATCATGATGATACGGGTCAAGGTGAGATAATGATATGAAGTCGCGAGTTCAAGCTAAATCAGGGCTGTGGTCGATTGTGTACGTGTTGTTTGTCCGACCTCCCGTGCACTGGATCCACTGTCACCCATATATAGCTAGCAGACCTCCCCCGATCAGGGGCGTGCAATTGTCCTTTCAAGCGGCAGATGCTATCGACTCGGAGCCGTCCTGGAGACACCAAATATCCTGCCAGTGGCCATGCCCGGAGTAAGTGACACACGAAACTCTTAACGAGGTACGAGCGACGTCGGATCTAGCGACTACCGGTCAGAGCTTCAGTGAGGTAAGATCAACTGAAGCTCGCATCGAGACAGAGACGGTATATAACGTATCGTAATGCGGTGAGTCGCCAGTATCTACGGTACGTGGCTAAACGAAAAGGAGTCCGGATATATAGTGCGGGTCAGGAACGCCAGGGGCGCGATAACGCGGCGTCATGCGCGCGCACACACGCGGGGCGAACGGACGCGCTTGGCCATCAACAGAAACCTCGCTGCCCACTATTGAAATTCCTACGTCCTGGGACAGTACTAAACGATATAGCATGTTATGGAGTTTGTGGGGCGACATTACTCCTTTTATCACTTTACTGTCGTATGTCAATCGACGAATACATTCGCGACGATCCGCGCGGCCCTTGGCTTTGATGCTTTCGGTCCCATATACTCGTGCATGAGGAGTCCTCTCTAAGTCCGGACAAATTGCGCTTTTGAATGGTAGGAATGCTGTCGCATTCATGTGAGTCTTCTCCTCCATGCGAAGTAAATTATACTCATGTGTGTCAAACGAGAAACTGTGACAATCGTTATGCGTTTAGTTATTAATCTTGCTTGCGTAAGCGCAATGCGGAGTTCGACTCTTGTGCGAAGGACCTGTTTCTATTACAAGACGGCAAGAAGATGTTTTGCCTACGAGCGCCAACCGACTGCGATTCTGCAGCGGCGCATAGGTTATGGCTTCGCGTGCATGAGATCCGCGACTACATTGTAGGAGATGTTCGTGCACTATTACCGCGATGATTGTGTTTTCTAACTTGGTGTCATTTGCATATATGCTCTAGATTGACGCCAAACCTTGTGCGATGCGGTTCACCTGATCCAATGTTGCAATACTATTTCGCATGAGAGCTGCGCCTCTGCACCCCGGATCGGCGAATACTTAGTCAGAGACGACCATCCTAGGTGGATGGAGGGAGTACCGGATCCTCGCCCATTTTGTATGTTCCTCTTTTACTGGGCAACATGCTGGAATCTTCCTTTGGATAGATGAAAGATGATCAACACCTTACTTGAAGGCGACTGACATATAGTTTGATCAGGAAGTCAGGAATCCAGAGAAAAAACGAGGCGCTGTGCGCTGGTGCGTCGTGCACCCTTCATTGTGTCAATGTATTCGCATACTGCAATTTCCTCGACCGGTGAAGCTGGATACTGAAATGGGATGATGATCTTCTCAGCGCCGCTGATGGTGACAGCGTCAAAGCCTACATTTGGCACGCTCACATGAGCTCGGGATCAACATCCTACTTCCGGCATGGTTTACACATATTGACAGCACTGGACTTTTGGCAGTCTGCCGTACCTATCTATTTATACACATCGAGTCCAATATCACGCTGGCGCAAACTTTCTATAAGCGACATCGTGCTGTGCTCTCGCCTTCTCACACCCTTCCCCGTCTCCCTGCCTTGTCGTGCTGTGGTCGCCATCTTGCATGTACCTCCGTCTGTACCCACCTCCTTCCTCACCCTGTCCGCTCACTATCCATAAATCAGTCAGGACTCGTCGACTTGCAGTCACCACTCACGCGTGCTATACGGCTCTGTCCCGCCATCTTCCACAAGTGGTACCATCTTAGTTGGTGATTGGAGATCGCAGCCGTCACTACGGCTGCTGCTACGGATTTTCCTCTTTCTCTTTCATACCTCCACCATTCGGGAGAATGGTTACGCTTGCAGATTTACCCATCGAACTCTTCATCGACCACATCTTTCCTATACTACCGGTCTCCGATCTTCTCAGTCTCGCACGCACCAACCATTTCTTCAGCCAGCTTGCGTCGGATGAGCCATTCTGGCACAGAAAGGTTCAGGAGGACTTCAACTTCCCTACGTCGGATACCGCAAGGAACGCCGGGTGGAAATTCCTGTACAGAAAGTTATCTATTCCAAAGGTACTCGTATGGGGGTATGTCTTCGTGTCTCGTGCCCTGTCAAGCATTTCATTACCGTCATGTATAGAGAGCGAAGTAATGGTCGACTGGGTCTAGGAGATGGCAATTTTCCGAACACCGCAATGAACGAAGGGGTGCCCTACCCTATACGTCTGCGAATTCCCGGTGTTCGGATTGTGCATCTTGAGGCAGGCGGAATGTAGGTCCGGCCTTCTGGTAACCGGTCATTTCATTGAGACTTTATCAGGTCGTTCCATGCATTGGACTCCCAGGGGAATATCCATGTCTGGGGTAAGACGACTTGTCACGCTGTCTGCATACATTGACAGTTAGTCCAGGGACACTCGATGGTACTAGTGCCGCCCTGCGCAGCGAGGGCTACTCCATTCCGTCGCAGAAAGCGGAACAGCCTATGCGTCTCAACCTGCCGGTGAAGTTCCGCAGCATCAGGTGAGCTCATCGATGCTGAATATAATTCTCTTGATACTTACAGTAGATCCAGCTGCGGGCGCTTGCACTGTACTGCGCTAGATGCGACATCGCACGTGTGGACATTCACATCGTGGGGGAGACCTTTCAAGATCATGTCCTCATCGCTGGACAAGTCTTCGCCTGAAACTACGCCGGTCCAAGTTGAGAGCGGCTGGGGGTTCTCGTCGGTTTTAATGCAGTCAGGTGATGTGCTGGTATACTGGCCATTCGAGGGTCGGATGAAAGCCGCTATAGCTGCAAAGAATGTGGAGCTTGACCAGCAGAGCGCCGCAACGCAGACAAAAGCACTTCCTACTGTGGAGGAACCACGTGTGATACCCTGTTATCCTTGGAACCTGCAGAATGTGCACCCTGTCAGACTCCCGCCTATACCTGATCAAGCCCTTCCAAGGCTCACAGGAACTGGCCTTTCACACGAGGAGCTCGATGACGAGACGAAATTGATCAAGATTGCAAGCATGGATAATATCATCGTCGGGCTTACCAACAAGGGACATGTCCTAATGTATGTACGGCTGACCGGAGAGAGTGCGTATCGGCGAGGTGGATGGAGATATGTAAGTCCCTTCTCAAACACCGTATGGGTACGAACCTGACTTCTCCTGCTCTGCAGCTGCCTGAATTCAGTGAACTGAAGAATGTCAGAGAACATCCGACATTCACAAAGAGAGATACTCATTTAGAGGCCCCTGACACAATGCGGATTACTCATGTACGCCATCATTCCTTGCCGTACACCCCTGCACAACTGACTCCCGTCCAGATATCGGCCCACTTCAATACGTTTGTCGCCTACTCCACTGGCGCGCGCTCCGTCGTGCTCATCGGCAAGCCCAACACACTGCTCACGCCGCAGATTCTGCCCGCGCTTCAGAATCGCGAAGTTATTTCCGTTGTGCTTGGGGACTACCACTACGGCGCGCTCACTGCCTCAGGAACGCTCCTAACGTGGGGCGCGTTCTCCAAGGGTGCGCTCGGGCTTGGCGAACCCTCGCATGTTCCTTTTGGCCAGCCTGGCGGGTTCGTGGATGAGGCACAGCTGGAGGCAGCTGGGATGCGTTGGGGCAACCCGCGCTTCCCTCCACCGGCAGTGGAAGTGCCGACGGAGGTAAGGTTTGACCACAGAGAGAGCAGGCAGTTCTGCTTTGCCGTAACTGCAGGCGGGTGGCATATGGGCGCGCTAGTGATCGGCTTGGAGGTTTGTTTTGTTGTCCCATGCAGACATGTCTGAGACCGCGCTTACTTACGTGTTTGCCGCAGCCTGACGCGGAGTAAGGCGAGGACAGATGAACCTCCGAGCATGCTCAGAGCATTTCCTGACGTAAACGATGGACTGCCAGCACACGGCGTGGACATTCTACCGCACACTCCCTCCTCGGGCGTGTCGGCATTGTCGAGACTCGAGAGAGAATAGAGAAGATCGTACTCAGGCACAAGGACCAGCTGTCCTTTTGCAAATGCACATGTAACTGAATAAAAATCATTGCAGAAGCCTGACGCACGTTCCCTGCCCCCTGAGTCCGCGTCCACAAGTCCGGACACTAGTGTATACGAGCACAGCCCAGTGCTGCTACGCATCAAGCTTGTGGAATCCTATGTACTGTCGCGAACTGATCGCTAATTGAAGGTGGATGTGTGTCGTGAATATGCAGCAACCACATGATAGGACTACTGCGATTGCAAGCGCTGCGACCGGTTCTTCATCCAGCCAGCATTACCTCAGTCCTTACTTGCGTCCAAAAATACATTTGTTATAATTGCCATCCGATTGCATGCATGCATCATGCACCCTTGACCCTCTTGTCCTTCGTTGTCGTGACACGATCTCGTGATGTACAATGTTCTTGCGAGACTGCAATGTGCACCGTTGTGTTGATTCTGACAAGGAAGATGAATGGTGCTGCTTTGACGAGAAGCACACGCAAACACCCACTGGATGCCTATAGTATGCAGTTCTACATCAGTGGTGGTTAGGAGACTACCGGAAGCCCCCCTGACATGTTGATGTATATTGAGCCTGAGAGCAATGCATGAAATGTTTCTCCCCGGGAGGCAATAGATACGACGCACGATGCAAGCATAGAGTTTACATAGACTGTTGATCGCCATGAGATCCAGTATAAGCGCGGCAAACCAAATCTCGGCACATACTCGAATTTCCAGGAATCATAGTGAGTGCCCAGGGCACCGCTTCGCTATAGACTGCTGCCCCGTACTGGCCGACATGCATATCCTGATCAAGCCGTTCGCGTCTTTGGAACATGATTATCTCACCGATATACAAGAGGCTAGCTGGAAGACGCTGTGGAGTCGTGAGCGGACGGCGCGCGCGAATTCATGGTGAGAAAGGCATACGCGGTGGCTATGCCGCGGGTAACCACAAATGTCATCAAGCTCGATATCATGTTCTCGGTCCTGCACGCAGTGATGAATGCACTGATCGGCCGCCATTGATGGTTGATGAGGCTCTGGAACATACCGTGCCATCCCCGTCTTGTGCTCGTGTAGCACCATGCACAAGGCCTGTACTCACCTATACCACACGCTAAAGACAGCTCGTCAGGGGGTTTTGAGACAGCGATAGAGCATACGAACAGAAGCCCAATAATGCCAAGACAACCTAAAAGATGATGCAAGATTACGTCCCACACATATCCAGCTCAGAATCTACATGCACGCACCCCCAGCAGTGTTAACACGTGGCGGAATCGGTTGCCTGCAAGAACTGCAGTAATGAGTCAGCAACGCCTTTGATTGAAGACAGTGACCATAGCCACATACGCCTCCATATAGTGTTGATGAAAAACCTACACCCAGCGTCATCAGTATGCGAAAACATGAAGGCCGCATAGAGCATTCAGACCGACCCTCGCACAGCAATGATCGTCAATTTCTGTCGATGGTGAGCCATAGCATCTACGTCGCCTCACTGAAAGCTCACCGAAAATACAAACTCGGTCTAGACTCGTACATTATCAGTCAGGATAAGATTTCGGATCACCGAGACACAGCTTACCGCGAAGGACCTGTCAAGGTGGTGAGCATTGAAGAATTACGGATTACACATCGCACATGAGCTTACGGAGGGCAAATTACCAGGAACTTGACATCTGCGTGATGTTCAATCGTCCAGAGCAGGTGATCTGCAGAGAATGAGGGGACGATCCACCGACGGTCGTACGAGCAGGCGTACCACAACGTCGAGAACGGTCCTCCCAAAATCAAGCAAACTACCGGTGCACTCGTGAAGACGATCCGCAGTGGATGTAAATATGCTACATACAGCAGACCTAACACCTATGAGGGGTATCGAAATGAGTGACAATGGGACGAGCTCCACATCCACAACTGTCAACGCCGTACATATGCTTTCAGCAATCGTGAATCTTCAGGATAATGCCTGAAATAGTATAGTATCTGCGCTATGGATATGCCATAAAAGCTGTGTGCGTTAGATGAGCATAAACCAGGTCCGGGAACTTATGGGCACACGCACAATATGGAGAACATCACAGAAGAGAGAACAAGGCCGATCCAGTAATTGAGGTCAAGGCCAGACATAGTGCATCCGAGCTCTTTGCTACGACCTGTACTCGGGGAACACTTATGTAGTGAGCTGCGTTTTTTGATGAGCAAGCAAGCTGCATATGAAACACTCCGACGCCATTCCCATGGAAGACTTCTTCCAGATGTAGGAGATATATGTGCGCTGTTACCGCGATGGTCAAAATTTCCCAACTTGATTTCATCTGCATATATGCTCTAGGTTCACGCCGAAACTTGCGCGACGTGGTTCACCTTATCCAACGCTGCCAACACTATCTCGCATGAGAGGTGCAGCTATGTAGCCATCGGAGAATACTTACTAGTTGGAGACGACAACCAGGCTACGTGGATGGAAGGGGCACCGGATCCTCGTCTATCTCGTACGCTCCTCCTTTACTGGGCAGCATGCTGGAATCTTCCTTTAGAGAGAGTCAACGGCCTAGTTGAAGGCGACTGACACAGTTTGATTAGGAACTACGAGATCAGAGGACAAACGAGGCGCTGTGCGCAGGTACATCATATACCATTTGTTGTATCAATGCATTTGCATAAGTATAGCAATGGGAAGGTGGATACTGAGATGGGATGATGATCTTCTCGGCCGCGCTCGTGGCGGCAGCGTCAAACCCCACATTTGGAAAGTTAGCAGGCTCACATGTGCTCGTCATCATCTTACTTCCGACATGATCTATAAACACCGACAGCACTGGCTTTTGATTAGTCTGCCGTACCTATCACTGCCACTCTCGTCACAGTTGGGGAGGTTGACCCATGTCTTATGCAATTTCCGACCTTGACTCGGTTGGAGCCTTTCAAGTCGCTTCGTGGTACTCCATGATTAACACGGATATTGCACCCGGACTATATCTTAAATGAAGGGTCAGCGTAGATACTGGCACCAGGCTCTTGCGATTGAGCTGCTCAATTGCCAGGGAGTCGTTTGATATAAATCACCATTCTGACAGCAAGTATCATGATCATGATAGATGCATCTTACGCAAGGAGTGCCTCCTTCGGGTGGGTCCCTCCAGGTCAATATGCCCCGGCGGGATGCGATTCTAATCCACGACCATGCAAACATCAACGGATGTTACAACCATACAGGTCAAGAACATCTGCGTCGGTACCCGACCCTGAGGGCACAGGAAGTCATCATGTACGCCTGTGCTCGGACTGCTGATACAACAGATTCTGACGAACTTAGTTCAGACAGGGGGGCGAATTTGGGCAATGCGGGGCCAAGCGTCTGTCATAGCTCGTGTCATGTCCTCTGCGACTTGATAAGAGGAGTGATAGTCTCCAAGGCTAAACCGATGAACAGCCTTTTTCTACTTGTTCGCCACCAAATTGCCTCGAGTCGACACGTAGGTTCCCGTTGTGGCGATTGGCGCCTCGTCTTCATTGGGTGGCTGTCATGTTCGCATTGATTGTGCCCGGGAGCTGCTCACATGCCTGACGGGTGTTCCTGATGTCGGCCCTCGGTCACACAGCACCCTCTTCGCTCTCCATGGCTCTTCCACCATCTCCTCACTCGCGCTGCTGTCTGAATCCCTTTCGTCTCCGCTTCGTCTGGGCTGGAGCAGACTCACCGAGATGCCTCTCCTGATCTTCAGGCTCGTTGTTCTTGCGCTCTTCGGCTCCGCAGTTGTGGCTGGGTTATCGCTGAATGTCACCATTGACGATACTTTCGGGGATCCGGTTACGGGGACACAATTCGTGTACTCTCCTGCTGATAATTGGCAAAGCTCATCAAACTGCTCAGAATGTGCTTCGACTTTCGCCATGGCCATGGTATACGATCGCACTTGGACGCTCTCGACGCATCCAGGGAATGCAACAATATCCTTCTACGGTAAGCGGCGAGTGCTCACCGAACCTTCATTACTTACAACTAACTCATGTTGTGGTGATTCGGGCGTTCATAGGCTCCGCGGTTTACGTGTATTGCATTGTCTCTGACCACGCAGCGATGGCATTCCTGATCGACGATAAAGTGGACGGCTATTACATCCAGACCTCTTCACCCAATAGTACTGTGGATTATAACTACCCTGTATACACGAGCGGAGACTTGCCGATGGGACAACATGAGCTCACTATAATGAACGGTGTAGTCAACTTTTCCAGCTTGGCAATCCTGGATTATATAGTCTACACGTGAGTTCTTTTACTTTGAGATATGACTACCTCTAATTATAAATCCCCGGACTCTCAAGAACACAGTCTGAACAGCTGTTCCCACCTACCATAATCTATTCCAGCAGTCCAGACGCACAAACGCGCGTCATTGTGGGTACAGTGTCAGGAGTAGGCGGGTTTCTAATTTTAGCCATCGGTGCATTCGTGGTTGTCCTCAGACGTACGAGAGTCGAACGCCACGAGATGCCAGAAGGAGATGCAGGCAAAGCGCCTTCTAAGCGGAGTCAACCATCGCTATCGCAGGCCTGGGAGGAGGGCGCATGGGTCAATTCAAGTCGCACTCACCGCCAGCCTTCTCACCGCTCTGCAGGAAGCATCACGCGAGCCTTGCTACGCCCGGGGGATGGAGAGCCTGAGCGCGGACAAAGCCAGAACGCGTCCGCGGAGACTTTGGCAAGTGCGGTGTCGTCTGATCAGGAAAAGCCGGCTCTAGCAGAGGAGCACAATCTTGTCGAGCTCAAGTCCTTCCCTGCGGCGACACCCGCATCGCCCCAGCTCGATGCATCAATGCCTACGAGAGCGATACCCGGGTCCAATGCGCGCGAGGACCAGCGCCGCCGCCGGCCTGCCGCAGCCCATCCTCGGCTGTTCGTGCAGATTCCCGGCAAACATGTGCCGACAAAACCACCTAAAGCCTCGTCAAGGTCACTGCCGCCCCTACCACCGCCTCCGAAGCAACCCGAGACCAGCAGCACACCAGCCAAGGAACCAATGCGCCCCAAGTCCGACGGCGCGGCGCGATCGAGGCCGCCCCCGTCCGTGGCCGCGCGTCTCCTGCGAGGCTCCATGGACCTGCCCTCCATTATACCCAGCATGACTCCCAGCACGGGCACGCCCCAGAGCGGCGACCCGGCGAGCGAGCGCACAGCGACCACCCACAGCACGATGACGACGCCGACGCGCTTCTCCATCCCGTCGATGTTCTTCATCGCCGACACGAGCGCGCCGCTGCTCCCCGCGCGCGCGGACAGCGTGAAGACGCTGTCGACGAAGCTCGTGCCCAACCGGCATCCGGACATGGAGGTCCCAGGGCCGCTGCCCGTCCTCTCCGTCCCGCTCGAGGGCAGCTCCACCTCGGGTACCACCACGCTCAGTGCGACTCCAGAGCCGAGGGGCGACGGCGAGCAGAGCGACAGGAGGTGGTTTACGCGGAAGAGCGACGGTTCTACGTCCGGTGGCTCCAGGAGCGACAGCGCGTCCGAGTCCTCTTCTCGGCGGCGATAGATGGGTGTCTGAAGCTAGACGTTGATACCCCGGGCATTGTTTCTTGCCCATCCAGTCATTTCCTTTTCACGCTCTTTGCTTTATCCTGTATTTATCGACTCTGTCTTGTCATTCGCTTAGCTTTCGTGGTCCGTAGTATGGTTTGAAGTCGCTATCAGGATGGTTAGGTTCAGCAGTTATGCAGGGCAAAGTAGCAAGTGGTGTTTGCATGTAGCTTGACGGTGGTCTTTAGATCTTGTGTCGTCTATGCAGTTCCTGTAGCAAGAGGTATTCCGTCTCGGCAGACGACCACCTGTAAAGCAGATATTGAGGTTTTCTGCCGATTGGGATGCCATGGCTATTCTTGTCTCCTTGACTTGTTCATTCACTTCGGACAAGCCACCAACTTGTTCATCCTGAACGCATTTCTCATTCCAATGTCCCAAACAACAGCTATCTACACCACGGCACACCCACTACACCCGAAGCACGCATCCGCGCGCTCACCTCCGACCACACACTCCATTCGTCAACCCCGAAGGGGAGAACAGAGCGCGAAGCAAAAGGGAGACAGCAACGAAACACGCGACGACAAAGCACAGAAGTATACACACTAGCGAGAAAGTGAAGGAAAGGGCGGATATTGAGAACAACGCGAGCAGGGAAAAAATCCGCGAGAAGAAAGAAAAGGAATATGCGATATACGATAGCTGCGACTGGTCTGATAAATAGCCGGGACATCCAATGAAGACGACACAAAAACCCAACATTTTGTGATGCGAGTCAGACACAGTGGAAAGGATGGGGGATAGGCGGATGCCTCAGCGGGTTTAGAACACACCGATCTCCTGACCCGTTGACGTGGTGAAATCCCACTCATTGAGCTCCAATCCTAGAGCCGACGTGAAGTCCGTCATGTCGGCATCGGCGTCCACTGCAGCACCTGCGTCGGGCCGGACAACGGGAACCATGTCCAGTAGCCTTTGCATCTCCGCTTGCCCTGGCCAGTCGCCAGCCGGTATTGATGCGATCACCGCCGGCGTGGCCCCGGCGGTCGCGGGCGACATGGCCTGGTGAATGGGGTCCGCGCCTTCAGATTCGGATAGTGGCTGCGAGTGCGGCCACGTGCCGACGGCGTCGGCGTGACCAGAAGGAAGAGTCGCTGCCGGCAGAATGGGCGAGGGCGCAAGAATCTCGCGGAGGAGTTTGTCCATGGTGATTTCGTCCACGGCGGACAATGGGTCTTGTTGTCCCGATGGGATTGATGTCGCAGAGGGATGTGCGGGAGGCCCGGAAAGCTCGAGCTGGGGTTGGAGGTCGGAATGCGAGTTCGACGAGAAGTCTGGCCCACCCGCTGCAGGGACACCGATGATAAAAGAGGGGCATCGGTGGTCGCCACCCGTGCTAGGTGGCGAGTGGGCTCAGAGTCGTCAAAGTCAAGAGGGTAGATTGGGGTACTCGAGCGGGGGCTGGGAGCTTGGGAGAGTGCGGGGGAGAGAGGGAAGACAGAGGCGGATGGTTGGGGAACTAAGACCGGTAACGCAGAGGTCGATGGCTGCGAGGACAACGAGGAATCTGACAAGGAAGAGGACGGAGGTGCTGATGGGATGCTGAGCGGAAGCCCAGAGGCAGCGAGCGCTTTGACCACGGCCTCCCAGCCGGTCTCGAGCGTCTTGATGCGTGCGCGCAGCTCCTCATTCTCCCTGTCCCTCGCGGTGTCTCGCTCACGCTGCTCTTCGACCTTGTCCTCCTCGGCGCGGTAGAAGCCTGTCAGCCCCATACCGGCACGGAGTTGTCGGTTCTCTTCTTCCAGTTCAGCTACACGACGCTCCAGATATACGAACTGTGCTTTCCGCCGGTCGCGCGAGTTCTGTGCAGCGATGCGGTTGCGATGTGCACGAGCCTCCTTGCGTTCATCGGGTGAGATGTCGGAGCGCGAGCGTTTGCGAGGCGGATCAGCGAGCTCGGATGTGGAAGGCGTTGGCGATTGGGATGATTCGGCAGGGGAAGACGGGAGGGTCATCTCGGGGTCTGCTGCTCGCTTCATGGCGTGTGGTGTACGTAGAGATACGTGGAAGGGAGAGGACAAAGGAAGGGTGGTCTTGTATGCGAAGAACCTACTGCGGTCGGGGCGCAGGACGTACGTGGTGGTCGTGAGGAACGTAAGCGACACGTCCCTGCCACGTAGCCTGTTTCTTGTTGGTCTTTGTTTGTTCGGTGGCTACGCTCCCTGCGGGAACATTGACCTCTTTCGCCGAAACCAACATGCGTCTTAGAGGAAGGCTTCACACGTTATTGTATGCTGACTGCGATTGGAGCTCAACTCTCACGTAAAGTCGTCGTCGACCCGTATGCATATCGATGAACAGTCGGCGCTGTCAAACACGCGCAGCCTGAGATTGCCAAGAAGTTTAACACGCACCAGTGACCACGATAATTCCCAATATCACAGGTGCACCACTAGCGAAAGCTCGTCCTGCATTTTTGCCTGCTTTCGGTGGGCTCGCCTCACCTGATGCAGGACGTTAGCGGCCGAAGCGCGCCGCGACCTTCACTTGTGCCGGTGGTATTGAGCCCATTCGGTTTTGCATCTGGGTCCTCACTTTACATGCCGCAGAGGCGACCCTGAGCAGTGCTCCATTTCAGCCATGACTATGACCAGAGGGCTCAAATTCAAGGGCTAAGCTTAGCACGCGCAGAAAGATAGAAAGACGCCAAACTTTTGAACCCGGGCTTCAACCGCCCGGCACCAAACGGCATGTGTGCGTAGAGATCGACAGTCCCGTCAAACTAGTGTAGGCGCGTCTCGAAATGAAATGCTCGTGCAGACGCGCCCATTTGGTGCAGAATCGCCGTGTCAGACTTTTGATGCCGCGATGGCAACAGAAGAACAACATTGACAGTCAAATTACAGTCAGCACGACAACAGGGATGATAACAACACAGGGCAGACACAAAGATGAACACACAGTTGACCACACTCCAAGAGATATACCGTACAGTACGTGCCGGCTTCTCGTCTTCCCGACTTCTTTGTGGCAGAGGGAGCGGATAACACCGCCCGCGTGGGGTTTTGACGCATATAGCGAAACTAGTCGTCATGCATATCGTCGTCCTTGGCGACAAATGACTCCTCGCCCTCATCGTCTTCCGCGTCCTCGGGCTTGAGGCCGGCCTTGGCCAGCGCCGCGGCAGAAGAGTAATCAACGCGAACGCCACGCGTGCGACGCGTGCCGGTGATAATCGCGGAGGGGTCGATCTCCCCCAGGTCATCCTCCTGCAGAAGGACGCGTCAAGACGCGTCGTGACACGCGGCGGAAGACATACCTCCATGTCATCGTCTTCTTCCTCCTCCTCTTCTTCCTCGTCATCGTCGTCGCTGTCGTCGGTCACTTTCTCGTGGATAAACTTGCCCTTGCCCTTGCCTTTGTCTGCGGGCGACGCGTTCGCTCCCGCGTTGTGCGCGGTGGCGGGACTTCGCGAGCGAGATCAGCTGTATAGCGGCGAAATAAGGTGAAAAGAGACGTACGTGCTGGGGGAAGTAGCGTCGGTAGACATGGTCAATGTTTCAGGATGCGAAGCACAATGGGATGGTGGCACAGTGCTCTAAACCAAGTGAAGGTAAGACCGTGGACGCGTCCTCCGGAGACCGGACGGGGCGCGTGTCACGTGCGTGATCCGGATGCGGCAAGCACTGCGGCCTAACAAAACGACGCCGGGAAGAGCCCGTGAAACAGCCTTCAGGCATATGAATATGGGCGTTGTTATGGCCCGCCTCCCCGCACGCTGCCAGCCGTACTTAATATGCAGTCTGTGTACCGCATGAGACGGCAAAAAAACAAGCTCTAATCGCGAGCGGTGTGATGACAACAGCATGGATCAGCAGAATTGGTTACGTAAAAAATAGGACTGAAGCTACTGGGCGCCTCGCTCTAGATGACCAGCGCCCTAAGGCCTGCTGCCACTCACCAATTATGGCCAGCGACAAAATCACCCCCTTTCCTTTCGACATTAATCCTCCTTCCGCAGGCCGTGCTGCGAGGCCTATGTCCGCGCCCGCTCCTGCGCCCAGTACCAGGACTGAGTGCGCGCGACCACCATCCTTCTCCCTCTCCGGACCCGTCTCGCGCCTCCTCGATCCCTTCTCGACCGCCTCGAGCGAGCGCGACAGGGACTCTATGGCGTCCCCAGCGCGTTCATCCGGCGCGAGTGTGGCGGCGACCTCGCCCACTGAGCAGCAGCCTATCCTCACCCTCAAACTCAGCGGGCCCTCCTTCCTAGACACCGTCATCCGCGACACCGTATCCAAGCAGCCACTCTACATTATCGAGACCGTGCGCGACCTCACTAGCGTCTACCGTCTGGACAGCCGGCTCAACGAGGCCGGCAAAGCGGCGGCTGTGCAGTGGCCTCCCAGCCTCACCACATCCTCCAAGGGCAAGGGTAAGTCGGGCAAGAGCGTGCAGATGGGCAGTGGCAGTTGGCGCGACGCGGAGGATCTGCTCAAGACAGGTGCTCTAGGAAACATTGCGTGCGCAGATCCATCATCACTGTCACTTCGCGTGCTGATCTGATTCTATCATCAAGGAGCCGCAAATTTAACCTTCCCCACTATCCACATACACTCAAGTGGAAGCTGATACCTGGCAACTCTTATGTGGTAGGTGTCATTTTGCTCTCGTTTCTCTCGCGATTACATTCCATTCATCTCAGAACGCTCGGTTTACTTATTTTGTAAATCATGCGGATTCGCAGTCACCGCCTCCTTGCTGACATATTCTGTCGCAGTGCAGTACAAGCGCAGTTAAGGGGCCGATCGCGGTGCTCGACGCTGCAGTGCTGTCGGCATCGCCGCGGATACGCATCTACGAGACGCTGATCTCGCAAGAGCTCGTGCGCAGCCAGCAAAATCATTCCGGTGTACCAACCTTGCTGCTGGATTATCTGATAACAACCGCCATGCTTCTCACAACAACTAACCAGGAATGGCTGGATCGCCCTGAGAACGCGCGAATCCCAGGCTCGAGTTCGCGCACTGTGCAGAAATGGATGGCAATCATCCACTCAAGACCTGTACCACCGGCAGACGATCTGGGCCGTGAAGATGAGCGTGAGGATGAGCGTGAAGATGATGAGCCTTCTAGCCCTACAACCCTGTTCTCTCGGCGGACGAGCTCGTCTCTATGGGACGTACGGACGACATATTCGTCGGGCAGTGGCAGCGGGTCCGGCGGTAGCGAGCATGTAATGTCGCCTACGACACCGGCAACAACCGTCTCGACACAATCTGGCTTCTCATTTGCGCGCCATGGTCATAGTTCACTCAATCAAGAGCAACAGGTGCCTCCCGTACCTCCGCTCCCTGCCCTTCCTCAACCGCAACAGCCGCAATACCGACTACAGCTCGCGAACCCGGGCCCCAGTGTTGCTTCAAGCTCCAAAGGTATGGCTGCCGAGGTGCCGCGGTCCCACAGTCCAACACCCTCAATGGTGCCATCAGTAGCTTCTCCGGCATACGAGGAAGTAGTGTCATCCTCTCACCCCTTCGCAGCATGGAGCATTTTCCCTCGGCCGTCTTCTGTCTCCTCTATGCGGAGACGGCAACTCCCGACGCCGCCGGTGGCGCAGAGCGAAGCACAACGCCCGAGCGCGTACGCTCAGATGCAGGGGCATGCGCAAGACCTGTCACGAACATCCTCTTCCTCGCCCTCCCCCAACCCGTCCGCACAAAATCCTGCCCTGTACGCAAACGCGTCTGCGCCCAGAGTCTCTGGGGCGAGCAGCACGAATACAAGCGCGAGAGCATATGCGCGGCGCTCGATGCGCTCGGTACGATCGATACCGCTTGCGCCGCCCCCACCACAAGCCGCAATGCCGCTACCCTTGCCGCCGAAATTAGCGGCGGAGGCCAGTCGCGGGGAAAGCTCCAGCTCAGGTCAGTCTGCAGTTCCAGCGAGACACCAACAGGAGCTAGCAAATGCACTACAAGAGGGCGAGCTCGTCCAGGGCATAAGCGCGCTGGCGCTCTCGCTACCCACCGGTATGTCTTCGCCACCGTACGCGCCTCCGACACACGCGTACTCGCCGCCTGCGGACCCAACGGCAATGCATATGGATGTGGGGCGCGTGCGCGCGTCCTTCGCGCACGTACCGCGAGAGGCGGAGACGGAGAGCATCTACGAGATGCCGCCGCCAGCGTACGACGACATCGACTTTTCGTTGAGGATACCTGGCATGTCTGGACGTGGACGGCGACGAAATGCATAGTCTATACACGATGGGGCGTCGCACGTTGATCGCGCTTGTCTTCAGTCTGCTGTTGCAGACACATCATCACATGACCCCTCCCTACACCCCTTGACACCTGCGCTACTCAATACTCAACCCCAACCCCAACAACAACAACAACAACAACTATGCTTCAGTTTTTTGCAATAGGATTGCTCGCATCTACATTCTCTGGTATCCGTCTCGGCTCAAGAAGTCTCGCAGCCTGTTACATACCCATCACCCTGCATACCTATAGTCTTTACTTACACGGTCTTGCTCACGCTCTGCATTCGCGCATTCTCTTCATACTGTATCGAATATAGCTTTGCTACACGCTCCCGCATTACTGTCGTTTTCCATCGTAGAAGGCATGCTCTTCTTTCCTTCGCGCTTCCCACTCGTTTGTTACCCTGGAAACCCTTCTTTTTCTCTGACATCTACTGTCGACATGTTACACCGTCTTTTACTTTTCCCCTTCGCGATGCACGTTCGTGATTAATCAACACATCTAGTTGGTCCTATCTCACTTCCTCTAGTGTTCTCGGCTACCGTAGGGACGCCTGTAATCTCGCCGCTGCAAATGTACATGTGTCTTGTTGTCGTAATGCCGAAGAAATAAAAATCTGTCTAGGCGTCCGTTTGTAGCGAGAGCGGGGAAGTTGGCAACTGCAAGCAAGTTGCAACTTGAACATTAAAAAAACGAGACTGTGGTACCCTCGCAAGTCTCGAATACAAGCGTCGATATGTTGTGGCGAGACGGTGCGTGACCCGGTCATGTCCAAAAAGCTGCGCGGGGGTGCAGGGCAGGCCCGACATCCGTGTTCTCACTTTCCATTCCAGCGCTCCCGGTGTGGACCGAATTTGCGAATGTTCATTTCCTTCATCCTTCCATTAATAGCAGCTAGTGTTCTTTCGACCAATATGTAGAGCATTAGGCCAGTAGCCTCGCAAATTGGCGGACGGATCTCTCTGTCTCCCTATTAGTACTCGTATATCCTTCCACCGTGCCCGGGTCCCACACCCACAACTTGGTCGCCTCTACGACACATTTGACCATGTCCGACAAAGCGGGCAAGTCCATCACCAACACCAGCACGAACACCGACACGAACACTAGCACCAGCACCAGCAACGTCTTTACCAGCACTAACACCATAACCAACAACAACTATGCATCCCTGCCCAAGTATGTTGTGATGTCTCTCTGCTAGCGTCATGCGGCACACTGAGATTCTTGTGAGTAGCACGACGATGGATCCGCCCAATCGGCCAAGGAATCCTTCTACTACAATTAAAGAGGTTCTAGGCAGGTCTGCGGAAACACCTCGTCAGACCCGCCCGCTCACGTGCTTAAGCAGGTAACAACCAGGACGCTGACCAGGCATAGTAGCAGGTCAAAGAGTCTTGCATCGCCTGTAGTGCGGCACATGGGCTACTTTGGAACTTGAGAATCACATATCACAGCACGAATTCAGTCACAAAAGCAGGAAGCAGTTCTGGAGTCTGGGGAAGATCATCTAAGTTTATTATCTGAACCACCAGATCTGGGGCCGTTATATATTCCAGCCGCGATAAGAATGGTCATCTCAAGCACCGCCGCGGCCACCATGCTCACTGTTCTTGACCGGCGTCTGGATGCTTCTAGTTACAAGGTTCGCGCTCATTCATCCCTTATCTACGCGCTCCCATTACAACTATCGACTGCACTGTGTCTATACTGGGCCGCTATGAAGATTTCCTTGTGGCTTGGACACGTTGAGGAGGTGAACGACGTGCGACGTTAGATAGATCGCTCGCGCTCCACTTACTCCATGCTACCGGACAGCCCATCGATACTACCTCCCACGCTACGAAGTGTACTCGCAGGTATTATCCGGCATAGGGCGAAGCCCTCAAGCGGATATAAAACTGGATTAAAAAAAAAAAAACGACGTGCGATTCCCGTTCTTTCGCAGATTGAATTTGTGCATTTCTTCAAATTCGTCCCACAGAACAATCGTGGATACGCTGAACCTGCATGGTGCGCTCAACAACAATATCTGCGCAATTGTACAGCTCCTACTCATCGGTGTACTTTATTGTAGGGCACATTTAAACAACAATACCTACTATGTAGTCGCCAAAACCGTCGACGACGAAGATGCCACCGGATCTGACGCCTCTGGCTTGAAAACTGGCTTCCTCACCCTCCTTCGTCGTGCCTCTGCGAGCAAATCTTTCACCAATTCCAGCTCATCTAGGAGGGTCTTCGGCTCCTTGCCACTTGTGACCTGTACAAGCGTCTCCTTGTCCACGACGTAGACCCGCTGCTGCGGTAGTCCAGCCTTTTCAAGGTTCTGCGCGACGCTGTATCTCGTCTCGGCGACGTATTGTTTGATCGCCTTCCCCATGCGTACGTCTTCATCCTCATCTTCATCCTCGTCGTATGGCGTGTCGTTCAGAATGTTCTGTATGTGTTGCAGCGACTTTGAGCGCACGATGTACGAGGGGATCTGGAAGCGCGCACAGTTGCGCAGAATTGCCTCGTCCGTCTGCATAAAACGGTTGTCGGTGAGGACGATGATGCAATCAAAGATATACAAGCCCTGCTCGTTGAAGTACACCCAGTCGGGTATGCTGAGCGTACCTGCGCCAGGGACGTCATACCAAACGAAGGGATTGGCTTTGTTTGGGTCAGCGTAGCGAGCGATCCGACTGGTGGTCTCGGTGACACCTGTTTTTGCGACGAGCGAATTGCGCGACCCGTTGCGCAGACCGCGGAAAGCGTTGATCAGCGACGACTTGCCACTGCCAGAGATGCCGGCAATAGCGAAGTGGAAGATACCGTCCTTGTACTGTAAACGTTTCTTGGCCGCCTCGTACTCTCCGCGCGTCGGCATGATGACGGGTTTGATACCGTCTTTCAACGCCTTGTGCGCCTCCTCAGCTGCTGCCTTGGCCTCGGCGGCCGCTTTGTCGGCCGCTGCTCTGGCTATCTCCGCCTTCTCCTGCTCGGCCTTGGCTCGCCTTGCATCTTCATCAGCTCTCCTGCGTAGAGCTTCGCTCCGTTGCCCATCTGCCTCCGCCTGTCGGCGCTGCTCCTCTGCAGCTGCCTTTGCCTCATCGGCAATCCGCTTTTCATCTTCCGCCCTCAACCTCTGCTCCTGGGCTCGTCGCTTATCTTCGTCCGCACGACGCGCATTGTCTTCTGCCGTTTGCCTCGCTCCGTCGGCCAAGTTGCGCGCTTCCTCGACGCGACGCGCATTCTCCTCTGCCCTCTGCCTCGCGTCCTCTGCCGCGCGCCTTTCCTCATCCGCCCTCCTTCGGTGCTCCTCCGCACGCCGCTGTTCTTCCTCTGCGAAGCGTCTGTTTTTTTCTGCCTGCCTCGCGTCCTCTTCAGCGCGTGCTCTCGCCTCGTCTGCGCGCACTCTCTCTTCCTCGGCCCTCCTGGCGTCTTCAGCGGCTCTCGCACTCGCCTCTTCAGCAGCCTTCTGCTGCTCTTCAGCCCTCAGTCGCTCGTTGTTCGCCTCTTCTGCTTTCTGCTTCTCCTCCTCCATTCGTCTTTCCAGCTCCTCCATAACGGGATTCGGTCCAATGTTGCCGGATTCGGAATCGCCCTGTAAGCTTTTGATGAAGCTGGCGACTGTGGTGAAGAGCGCGCCAGCGATTATGAATGGAGCAATAACCTGACCCATGGTCGCAAAAGAGTACAGCCTCTGCCAACGAGATGAGGTCAGCTCTTAGCCTCTGAGTGTATACTAGTCGTACGATTGAAACGTACTCAGGATTTCGGGTTGGGTTTTGCACAAGCGAAACGGCGGGGAGACTGGGAACAAAGTCGTGCTACTATCCGTACATATACGTACGGCTATGGCTGAAAGCGCTCAGTGCATGACATCGAAGCTAGCCATGCCCTAACATGCAAAATGTCCCGACAGCGCCCCGTCGCCGCCTCATGTCAATTCAATTGTCGGTCTATATCTGGATGGCAGGTGCTACGTACTCATGTTTCAAGGCTCGGCAACTTACATGTAACTTCTAGGTAGATCCGCCGTCAGTCCAAATGCATCGACGGGTGGATTGGAATATTGTCCGGAATGCTATTCGCCTGACGACCTCATGATTCAAATATTGTCCCTTTAACCCAAAATGGCTCAAGATCAATGATGCTTCCCATTCTCGCAGCAGCGAAGGTTTGGACTTGATCGCTCCAGTTCAAGAAAGTAACATGTTCTATTGTATCGCTGTCATGGCACGTGTAACAAACTCAGAGACAATCTTCTTCAAGCATCATACTGGCACAACCGAGGGAGATGTCGTTAATCTAGTAATGCATGGAGGAGACGCGTCCAATTTACAATCTTAAAAGCACTCTGGCAAAACCTGTCTAAAAAGTACTCCAAGAAACTCGAACTTTGCATCGTCGGGGTCGTCATAGACATGCTCGGATGTGCAGCCGATCGTCCCATTCTGGACCACTGGCGGACTAGAATGCTCTGAGCAGAGGCATCACACGGGCCGTCCCCGGCCATATCTGAAGGAGCAGCGATCAGCGAACATGCATGTACAACGCATCCCCAATCTAGCCACCCGACTTACACAGTAGAGCAAGTATGACGTGCGATCCTCTGGTGCGTCTTTGAGATAGCAGAAGCGAGTTCCGACGACTGTTCCCAGTATAAGTATCGCCGAGGATAAGCTCGTCGGACATCTCGGTAAAGTAAACACCGCATACGACCATGCGATTAACCCAATCGGCATGGACAGACGTCCGAACCCAGGCATCACGACAGGGATCGTTCGCCGCTTTTGAAGTCTGTCGCCCACCTCATCTCGGAAGTCTGACGCGTGGATGGTCGTTAGGATGATGAGGATGCGGTACCACTGCGCACTGGTAATGATCGTCGATAGCGCCGAGTCACGGTCTGATTTTAAGTCAGCGCTTGACATATTTATGAAGGACAGGGCAGGACATACCTAGCCTTGCAATAGAACTTGCGCCTGTATCGAACGCGGCATATGCCAACGCATTCAACAGGTTTCGCGTCTCCCAGTGGGAGTCGAGCCCCCCTTCGTTGTATAGCAACGTTGCCACCGTAAACACCGCTCCGGCTTCAAACACTCCATAGTGCCCGGACAGAGCAAAGCATATGGCTAAAAGGGTCCACCTGAGATACTTGGCCCGTTGGACAGTCATCCTGCCTGCAGGGAGCGGACGCCACGGCTTATTGTCTCCATCCTCGGGAATAGAGTAAATCTGATTGTAGACGCAGCATTGGAGAAGGTGTAGCCACGTCCACAATACAGCCTGGGCCATTCGCTCAACTGACGTAGACGGCACAGAGATGTAGGCAAAAGTCGTCTAGAACAAGGACAATTAGAGCAACAAAGCGGAAGATTTTAACAGACACGCACAATGGGCAACATGATCGTTTGCATGTCGGAATGAGTGAACATATAAAGTGTATATACGAAACGTGCAACGGCGATGGGAGCGAGAAGGAGACGGCCAAGAAGACCAACGTGGGGAGCAACCAGAATACCATCCATAGGAGGACTGGTCTTGGACATGACTATTACATGATCAGCCGTGATAGAATACGCCATGATACGCTGACACACCAGGTGAATCGCTTGCAGTATCCATGGCTGTAAAAGATCTGTTTTGTCTCTGTATTCCAGGCGATGTCTCTTGGGTTTCGAGGATGGCCTCTTATATACGAGCAGGAGCTGAGCTATCAGCCATTTTGCACAGTGCGCGCTCCGCCAGCATTCTACGAAGCCCGCCCGAGAGATAGTGTGGAGTCGATTGCGCAGAGACGGTGTAATCCCTGGATCTTAAACGCATCTTCCTTGTCCCTTAGGCAGACGAAGTATGCTATGTCAGCAGCTCATACAAGGTGACCCCAAAAACGGGGGATGGGCTGCCGTCAGTATTCCGTGTTGTGTGCAAGTGTGCCTCGGAATATGTCTTGTCCTGGCATGTCAGCCAGAATGAGCGTTTTTTATTTACTCGCTTTTTAGCTACAAACTCCGTCATTTGCACGGGGTTGTCATAGCCCAGAGAATGAGCAGTGGGGATGAAGAGCCGATATCTTGGAATAAGTGATATGACGCCACACAAGACATTTTTAAAGAAAAGCCGCGCCCGTAACGCCCGAAAAATCCACCTGGACGTGATTGGGGGTGTACATGGGAGTCCTTTGAGCGTTTTCATACTGTCCCATCGGCGAGATACGACGCTTAATTTTGTCTGGCTAGCAGCAAGGCAGCGCGCCTCAGCGAGAGCTTACGGGCGATTCAGTATAACCGGTTGATCCGACAAAGAACCCTTGAGTTTGTGGTTTTGGAGTCTCTTAAGCGCATATCATGCTGCGCATCGTAGAGTTAATGATCCAAATGACATATGAGGCAATTCCAACAGGAATGAGGACTGGTCGCCGGACATCCCGAATTGCAAAAATACGTGAGAACTCATCTGGTGTCGCCCGACGGACCTCATAGTATTGTCCAAAGGTTGTGCGTCGATGGAAATGTTCAGGTGTCGAAGGGTCTTACCAGACACGCGCGGAAGCTCATGAAATCCGGGGAATTTCAGGCTATTTGCGAGCACGGGGTCATAATAACCGAGCCATACCTCGCGAAGTCTCGCATCGATGTTCGTAGTAACTAGACGGCCGATGACCTCAGCTACAGATGACTATGGCTCCAGTTTGAGATGTATCAGGCTGGTGATGGACCTCGGAAACGCAGACAGGTCTAAGCGCGCTGAGCCTTGTAGACGAGACGCCCGACGACAGCGACGCTGGGGAATTTGATGCTCCGGAGAACGAGATAGCTGACGGATTGGAACGCGGAAAGGTGCACGGTGTATGTCCCGTATGCGCCAGTCGACCAGCTATATATCGACCCGCTCGACGTGCCGCAACCGCCCGGCAAGCATCGCGGCGAATGCAGCGAGGTGAGGGACGGGCTTGTGCTCGTACCAGCCTCGCCGGTCATTACGACGCGCTGCATGCCAATACTAAGGAACAAGCTCGTCATCGGGGAAGTCAATGATACACTCACAGATCTCTATGGGCGTCTAGGGTGTCGTTGTCTGCAGGGAAGATTCCAGAATGAGCATGCGAACAGTGTAAGCTTCCTTCACAGCACTTGCCTCTATACCAGTCAATGCGAAGATATGCTCTAGCGCGTCTTTGAGACAAAGGAATGGACGGGTGTATAACCGCAAATATGCGTCTTCATCAAGGTTTTGCACGACGCGAGGATGAGCGAGACGGTTTGCGGGCAGCCTAGGTGTTTGAAACGGCGGGTAGCGCTTTCATATAGATGATAGCAAAGTACTGCACTTGACTTCGCGCCTCCTGCATGTACGCATCATTGCTCTTGTAAATATTATGAACCTGGCCGACGGAAAAGGATGCTGAAGGTACATACTATAAGCTAGCCTAGTGGTAAAACGCGATTGGCTATGTGATGACGTCGGATCTGGAATGACTTGACCCGCGACCGTGACTCTCCCTCGCTCCGGCCCGCCACCCCTCGCAATACACCGTTAGCTCGGCATGTCTTGACCTTCAACGACCACAAACATTTCGCAAGCGGCCATTACAAACCATAGAACCATGTCAGATTCTCATCAGGATGCACCCAAGCCCGTCCTCATCGTCGTCATGGTACGTCTCGTCGCCCCCTTGCATCTCTCGCGCAAGACGAGCCCGACTGCAGGGCGTCGCAGGCACCGGGAAGACCACGCTCGCTCAGGCCCTCAGCCGCACACTCCAGCTTCCATACATCGAGGGCGACGAGCTACACCCGCCTGCTAACATCGACAAGATGTCCTCCGGGCAACCGCTCACGGACGCCGACCGCGAGCCCTGGCTCGCCCTCCTGCGCACCACCGCCGAGCATCTCGTTGCGGAGCAGCAGCGTGAGGACAGGCCCGACGCGAACCCCGATCCTACGCGCATACACCCCGCACCGGAGCTGTCTGACGCGTCCTCTGACCCACCACGACGACGTGCCGGGGCGCTGATGACGTGCTCCGCCCTGCGCAAGTACTACCGCGACATATTGCGCGGGAACCTGCGGCCCGGCCTCCCCGAGCCCCTCGACCCGCTCGAAGCCCCCGCGGAGCCGGAGACACTGCCAACGTACTTCGTTTTCATCGAGGGCTCGCGCGAGCTCCTGCTCGAGCGCGTGTCAAAGCGGCAGGGGCATTACATGAAGGCGAACATGGTGGACAGCCAGCTGGGGACGCTAGAGAGCCCGGAGGGCGAGGATGGCGTGATCCTCGTCGGTATGAACGAGAGGACGGAGGACCAGGTCAAGATTGTCATTGCTGAGCTGAACCGAATGACGGAAGGCCTATAGAGGAAGCGGGATAGAAGCGAGAAGTCAGACATGCTGAATGCAAGTAGTATCAGTGTATCGATAGTTTACATGTGAGTGTTTCCAACCATAAGGTTCATCCCGGTATATCAGGCGTGGCGTAAAGAGTCGCAAACGTATGTTTATATTTGTGCATCGACATCAGTTTCCATGGTGGCCACCATTCTCACTATTTGGTGCTGAGATGAGGTGTAGATGTGCACCCTGTAGGTTCACGCTTTCTGCGGTGTCCTATGGGGTGCGGATATGGCGGATCTGGGCACGAGACCCGCTTCCCGCGTCAGGTTTTCGTCAGCATGCAGGCCTCGGACGCCGAGCTGACGGCCACTGGTCGAGACGTTCTCATTCACAAGCAGCATGGAAGCTCGCACGCGGTCTGCTCAAGCGAACAGATCGCAAACAATTGTCTCAACCCGTCGGATGTGGATCGTTGTGGTTAGATATGACCGCCATACCCCCGTGGACTACGGTCAACACGAAGGTGAGCCCTCGTATCGTCTGGCTGAACAGCTGAGATCAGATTCGGTCCACAGAACGATGCAATGTCTTCTTTTAATTTTCAAATTTAATCTAAACCTTACGTCCCATAGCCCGACCGACTCGGCCATTGCGCATTTAAGGTTGCGACTATGCAGCGTGCACCACAGCAAATCGTGCCCGGATTGGCCTGAAATATTGAGGGCAACACAACGACCGCAGTCCATGTACGCTCCAATGGCTGTCAGCAACTGAGCGTCCTCTTTTGACTATCATTACAGTGTCATTTCGTGAATTATACGAAGCGACGCCCGCGTTCGGATCTTAACAAAGGCGTAACACCCAAACTTTATGTGCGCGGGACCGCATCTTCTTTTTGTTCATGTACATCAATCATAGAACGGTCGAGGGCTGCCAAAATATGACATGATCCGTATAAATACACCTGGTCGAGGTGATACCTCCCGGCGTGCATCATGGTGTATCCGACGCCGCCTCAGCCTTTCACCAATCGACAGCTCAACAACACCATTGGGTGCGGCCTTATAGGCAATATTTGCGGAAGCATGTCGGTCGCACTAGTTGGTGTTCAGATGCAGTTCCGGCTGCTGATGAATCACTTTACAGGCTGTATGGTGTTTCTTGTGCTCAGATCCTGTATTATTATCGACATTACCCCAAGGATCGCAGAGGGCTTAAACTGTTTGTATGTCGCGTATTCTCAACGTATGTTGACACTGCTGAAATAGAGTGTGATATGTAGATTGCATTTCTCTGGTGAGTTCGCTTCTGGATGTTCATAGCACACTACCGAAGTGCTCTGCTTGGCAGGGTGCTCGACACTAGTGGAACGATAACACATACCTTGGTATGTCAATCCATCAGATATCCTGAAGACTGAATTCCGAAACCACTACAAGTGCCAATGGGTCTTCAATGTAACATATCACGCTAATCCAATCAGCATTAAGAGCACACCAGCGTAAGTGAGAATCAGATTCTGTTGACTATATATATATACTAACACCGTTATAGAGTATTCATGGTGAGTATCATCCCGGATGCACGTCCGTCATTATTCCATGACACACTTGTTGGCAAGATCGATGTCTTTCTCACAGTAAGCATGCCATTCAACAACCTGCAACGAATTAACCAATCGTATTTACTAAGGGACCCACCATTTTCGTCGCACAAAGGTCGGTTTTCCAGCTCTTTGCAGAATACATTGACGATACAGATGGTGCCGTGCACACAGCTACTTCATCTACTGCATCTGGAAAGGTAACACAAAGTCACTAGGTCAACACTTAATGCCTGATGTAAACCGGCTTTGTACGTACCAGTGAACAGCAACATCATTGAGCCGAAGAGCTACCGGTTTATCGAGACGATCACCATGGTATGGTCGTCGCATTACATCCACTTCACATCTGAGACAAGACCTTGCTTCGCGACAATAGAGCTGTCTTTCCTTCTTGTCCTTCGGCAAGTTTCCACCCAGCCCATAACGTTTTTATCGGTACATACTAACATCCATCGTACTACAGCTTTTTGCATCGGTAAGTTAATGATTCTTACTTTGTCTTACACGCACTCTCTTGCTGAGCATATTTCTCAGCCACGGTTGTCCGTCTGTAAGCTTTAAATTCTGACAATAATGATATGCTAGTATAGACACATAGCATCTGATGTGGCCCCACTCCCAGGCACGCTCACTCGGGAATATCGGTTGCGCTTCATTATATAGAGGTGGGTTATTATGTCTGACATGTGACCGCCCATCCTTGTTGATTGTCTCTAGATAACTGGCGCTGCGCAGCTTTTTATTGCGGAGATCACAGACATATACATCGCCGTATCGCTCTCATTACTTTCACATGGCATGAAAACCGGACTTCCCAGGTAACAAAACCCTCGCCGTTGAGGATGTGCTTCTAAGCCGATCAAATAGTCCTCCAGCAGTAACAATCTAATCATGCGCCTCATTCTTTACACCTTCAACCGCGGGATCGTCACTGCGTGAGTCAATCCTTGGACACCATGTATACCGGTATGGAGACTCATTCCTCACGCATAAAGGCTCTTTCAATTCACCGAATCCATTACAGTAATGATGCTGTTCCTCAGTGTATACTAGACCGTTCATTCTGATAGGTGCATCCTAGTTCATTGCAGCCATTAACGCTGTACCATACAGTCTAGTGTGGATGATCTTCCACTTTGCAGGAAGCAAATGTGAGTACGCAAAGATAATTTCTGTGTCCCCTGTATGTTAACAGCTACACATGACAGTATATGTCAACTCATTGTTAGCTTTGTCCGTATCCCGTTTCTGCTTAGCCTCTGTATAGACACTAACCCGTATGCTGCATGACATGGACACAGGTTGAATGTTAGCCAGCATATTCAGCCGAGCACAGTTTGCAACCTTGCAACAAATCACGTGTTGGTATACCTCCGCGGTTCTGCCACAGCACGCCATGAAGGCGTTGAACTCATTGATTCCCGTGTAGCTTGATCCTCTCGCAAAAGCATATGCTTCGCGATTGCTAGGTGTAATTATTGGAAGATCCGAATGCAGATGTTGTATATGTACTCTACCAACCCCCCTGTAGCAGAATATTATACGACATGAAGACCAGGTATCCCAGACGTTCGTTTGATCGCACTCGTCAATATTGTGTCTTTCCAGCATTCCTTCGAGGAATGTCTCCAGAGTGATGTCGGCGCTGCCCTCGATAATGCAGTCTGAATTATGGGCACCAGCGATAGAATGCCTAAATGACCACAGAACAAGCAGGCATTCAACTTGATAGTTTGGTTCGTGAGATATAAGGAGCGTCCGATTCTCTTTGCTGCTACTTCACATTTCCCCATTGATATTTTGATTTGCCGCACACATGCCGGTGGCCTTTGTCGTCTACATAGCGCACGACATGACTGAAGACGGTAATCAGGTAAACAAACGGCTGAGATATACCAGCTGAGTACCGCGGATGTGTACTAATCCCAGGCTCAGCGCTTCCGGAAATCTAATCTAAGAACAGCGTAGCAGATACAGGATCTCGATCACCGATCGTAAATTTCCTCGTGCAAACCTGTAGGCTCGAGATAGTATATGCTCGTTTTCTGGTACATGCACTGACATCGGTCCACTTGACTCCAGCTTCACGTACTACCATGACGGCTACCGTCCACCGTCACCGGCCTACATTAAAACAGGTACGAGTGTGCTATATTCCCTCAAATATGGGTGACAAATTGCATTTCGCAGCAAAACAAGCCGTTCAAGTCAAAACATGCTACAAAGAGTTCTTTGAAGGAGGCCGCCAAAGGTCCGTAGAGAGTGGAATGTATAACAGTCATCCGTTGACGGCATTTCAGGTCGCTCTAGTGGGCAGTCACCAAAAGCCGCGCCTACCTCGAATGCAGCAGCACAGTCGCGACTGAACAGACGTAACAACTCGAAACAAGCACAGGTCAAGAAGCGTCAAGCTCTCATCTCTGCTACTCGTATATTCAGCGGCGTGGATGGCGCACCGCGGATAGTCGCTGTCGTCCCTCTGACCGAGGACGTTTCGTCGCGAGCAGTAGCGTCTGCGATCTCGAGATCGCTAGACGAAGCGATCGAGGTGCCATCAGAGGGTCCGTGGAAGGTCAGGTGCGTATTTCTGTCTGTGCCATCTCGCATATATTGAAAGGGACCTGCGAATGCAGAGCAGAACGCTTCAAGACCTCGCTCCAGCTGATTCCCCTCCCCTTCAAACGCTTGTACGCAACGCTTGACGCCTGCAAAGCCGCCGACTACGTCGTCTTCGTGCTTTCCTCCGACGTCGAGGTCGATGTTTGGGGCGATACTCTACTGCGCACGCTGCAGGCGCAGGGTCTCCCAGAGGTCGTCACCATCGTCTCTGCAGAGTCTCCTATGGACCCTAAGGAGAAGTCTGGTATCCTCAAGTCGCTCCTGTCGTTCATGCAATACTTCGTGCCGAGCCAAACGCGGGTGTTCGACGTTCACTCAACCTCGGATGTCCTGAACACCGCCCGGGCGCTCTGTGAAGGGAAGCCTGGGGATGTGAAGTGGAGGGAGGGTCGAACGTGGATACTGGGCGAGAAGGTCGAGTGGCAGGACGGCTCGTTGGCCGTGACCGGGGTGGTCAGGGGTGCAGCGTTGTCTGCAGACCGCCTCGTCCACCTGCCAAACTTCGGAGACTACCAGATCTCACAAGTGAGTCCTCCTGTCCGCCATCGCATAGAAACATGCAGCCCATACCATTTTAGATCACGTCCGCTCCTCTCCACCGGGTGTCGAGGTCTGGGAATGTAGATGGTATGGACGTCGAATCTGTCGTTCTTGCGGAGCCGAGCACGTCCGACGCGGATTCCCTGGTCTCAAGTAATGACCCTGACGACATGGCCAACGAGCAGACATGGCCGACAGAAGAGGAGATGAATGACGCACAAAACGGCGAGGACCCATCGCACGCTATCCCCGACGCACAAGACGGCACGACGCCAAAGCGCGTGCGGAAGAAACCCAAGGGTATGAGCGAGTACCAAGCAGCGTGGATCGTTGACGAGAGCGACGAGGAAGACGGCGGGGACGAGGAGGAACACGAGGGCGAGGATCAGGGCGAGGTGGAAATGCAGGACGTGGATGAGGAGGAGATGGTTGAGTTGAAAGAGGAGGACAACGACTTGGAAACGGACGGTCGAAGGAGCGTCGCGTTCCAGGATCTGGACATGGAGGAAGAGGATCGACAGTGTGTGACCCCTACCTGTCCATTTATGCCTCAAACTGACGAGTCTGCTGCACAGACTCCAGTCATGGAGAAACCGAAAACGAGAAGAGGAGGATGATCTCGCGTTCCCCGATGAGATCGATACACCTCTCGATGTCCCTGCGCACACGCGATTCCAACGGTACCGCGGGCTGCGATCTTTCCGGACAAGCCCTTGGGACCCGTACGAGAATCTGCCCAGGGACTACGCACGTATATTCCAGTTTGAGGACTACAAGCGCACCGAGCGGGCGGTGAAGAAGCGTGCAGAACAAAACGCTGTGGCAGTGGAGGTTCGCTGCAGAGCTGTATTCTCATACGCATTTCTTTCTAACTGGGTATTACATAGCCGGGGACTCGCGTTACCGTCTACCTCAAGGACGTCCCGCAGGAGGCATCGCAACACGATCTGAACACTCCTTTTGTGATTTTCGGTCTGATGCAGCATGAGCACAAGAAGACAGTTCTTAACTTCACTGTCCAGCGCAACACGGAGTATGATGGCTCTATCCGTTCCAAGGTGAGAACATGGAAACGTGCCTTTGAATTGAGCTCACAAGACGTCTTTTAGGATGCCCTGATTCTGTGCGTGGGCCCGCGGAGACTTCGGGTCAATCCAGTTTACAGCCAACATACCCGTGGAGGAGGCAAGGGCGTGAACAACGTGCACAAGTTTGAGCGCTATCTCCGCCATGGAGTCACCAATGTCGCAACTACATATGGACCGGTAGTCTTCGGCAAGCAGCCTTGCGTGTTGCTCAAGGAGACCGAAGATCCACAGGGTATGCCTTTCACAATCGTGCATCTTTCATGGATGATGCTCACCTTTTTGTAGCCCCTGCGCTAGTAGCAATGGGAAGCTTCCTCAACCCTGATACGACGCGCGTCATCGCAAAGCGCGTCATTCTAACGGGACATCCGTTCAAGGTCCACAAGAAAACCGCTACTGTCCGATACATGTTCTTCAACCACAGTAAGTGCACCCTCTATTGTCCCATCGCTCTTATTGACTTCTGTCGCAGACGATGTCAACTACTTCAAGCCCATCCAGCTGTACACTAAGTACGGGCGAACAGGACACATTCGCGAGTCTCTTGGTACGCATGGATACTTCAAGGCGCACTTCGATGGGCCCATCAACCAGATGGACACCATTTGCATGTCATTGTACAAACGCGTGTACCCAAAATGGAGTGAGACGTGGACAGGAGCGTCCACCGCACCCGTTTCCGACGCAATGGAGGAGTAGCCAAGTCTCCTCTCATGTTTTCAATTGATGTTCAGTAGAGTCCCATGCCCTGTGTACACAATGTTACACCAGAGTTGTATCATATATCCAGGGTATCAACCATGAAATGTATGTTCGATTATGATGGCGGCATAGACTCCCGCCTCAATCCGAAGCTCACGAACCGCTTGAAATCGGAAAATACCTCCCGTCTCGGTGCTTGATCAGTTCTGGGTGGCGTGTCGGAGCCAGTTGACGATCCAGCAGCGGGCGGGGAAGCCAGTGCTGCAAGCAAGCCATCGCTCTGCCCCGATCCCTGAAGCAAAGATACACGACTGGCAGCTGGGCTTATGAGATTGGTCACCTGGCCAGGATCCATATCGAGGGATGAGAGGAAGGAAGCGTCCTTGAGGTCCGTCTTGGTGCTGGTAATCGTGAGGAAACAATCGAGTAGATCGTTCTGCTCGGCCTTCGTTGCGCCTTTGAGGTCGAGAATCTGATGGGATTGAGTGACATCGTCTCGAAGCGTCATGGAGTGCACAAACCTTCTGGAAATTGGTAAACGAAGAGTCCCCGATGAGAAGGGTGTAGTTCAAAATGAATCCCTCGGCAGGGTCCTGAGAAACTCGTATTCAGTAAAACTCGGGAACTGGCCATGGCTCGTACCAGTGGTGTCACGATGACTTTGAGAAGCGCCTCCAATCTGATTGTGTGATTCGAGACGCTGCGTGTATAACTAGCATTATGATCAGCTTCGTGTTCTGCGTTTATAATCGGGTACAAACTTCGTAGTACTGAGCGAGTCGCCAGGGATTCGCAAAAGAGCTACTTTGACCGCTTGTAGATCGATCAGTAGCTGCCAATCACCAAGGTCAAACGTGATAGAAAGGCTGGTCGCGGCACTATACCTGTTCGGCACCGATCTCTTTGAGTGGTCGACTTTTGACCAACGCGTTGGTAAACTTAGCAAAAACAGAGCTAGGATCGCAATTCGGGTTAAAGGACCGCTGATAGCTGCAAAATATCTCACCTCGACGCCTTGTCCAGGAAATTCCGCAGATATTTCTTTTGCTCCACTAGAGGCCTGACAGTATCCACGACTTGCTCGACCGCTCCAACCAAATCATCAATATATGCAGACTGGCCGCTGACAGACTTCAACGACGCCCAAGACGTGCGCGTCATAGTGGAAAATGGACCGTCACAAGCCGATTCCAGCTCGCGTACCATGACCTGAATAGCAGCAGAAATGGCACTTGTGGACACATCGAATATCAGCAATGAAACCCGCATTATGATAGAACTTATATATGCACCTAACGAATAGATCACGCTCGTCCTGGAAAGAGATCCTCTCTTTGAAAGGTTTGTCACATGTTTCTCTGATATTCTCTTCCAGCTATCAAGACGTCAGTTAGCTGGGTGCTACCTCGGTGATGATATGATTACCTCCAGCGCTGTTGTTTGACAGTAGTCGGCGGTGTTTATCAGCGTGCAGGCATTCTTCAGCTCATTGGCGTCCACGCGGCTTTCCGTCGATTTCCTCGATACAAACGCAGGCCTTGGGAGACGATGAGCTTGTTTTTGTGTACGAACCAGATATCTCACCTTTTCAGACTCGACATGAGAACATCCTCTGTCGAAAGAAAGATAAGTGAGTCAACAGATTAATAGGAGGCTTTGTCACACCTGCGTAGATCTTGAGCCACTTCTTGTGCAATACGGAGAGTTCATACAACGGTTGACCAGTGAACAAGCTCGCGCACTGGTCCAATGTTTGCTTGTAGTAATAGAACAGCTCCGTAGACGACGGCAGAACGAAAACAGGAGGTGCCGTCTCGTCAGAGGATGCCGTAGGCGCCGCTGCTTCAAGCGAAGAACGCGACTTATAGCCTCTGTGCTGGGCTAGCATGTCGGATAATGCTCTAGAGAACGTGGATGAGAACTAATTTCACTTCTGGAGTATATATCACGAAACCTGTCTTGCGCGTCTATGAAAACTCCCATATGAGGCTCGAATGCCGACGTGATCGTCTTGAGAGGCCGCGATGCTCCGGAAGGTTGGGTTGCTTTGAGAATGTCTGGTACCTATTGATAGCATGAATCACCGACAGGAATCCCATTGTAACTGCTCACAGGTGTCGCATATTTCCTCGTCATCGATTCCTCAAACTCCATCGTTTCCTGCAGAGTATCCAATAACTGCTTGACGGATAGCTTGGAACCCGCTTTGGACAACAAAACAGTCATATCGTCCCTAGTCAAATGCGATTGAGTCATTGTGATGTATAGCAGTACTGTCCTTTTACCTTGTGATCTCGATGAATTTCGAGCACAGGAACCAGCCCACTTTCCATTCTGCCGGAAACACTCTACCTTGCTCAGTTTCGTGTGTTTGCAAGAGCCGCCGGAACCACGCAAACCGCCGTGAGAGGTTGTCCAGCTGGCCCGCCTCATCGGTCGCACGGAATATTCGCCTATACTCCTTCAGCTCCAATGCGACATATCTTTCTACGAACTGAGAACGGATTTCTGGGCCAAGCACGTCGATTACGAGGCAAGCATCAGCGATCACAGAAGGCTTGATGGGCCTCGACGGGTCCTGTACGTAGCTGTTGGTGAGAAGAGGCTATCAGTCAATGTATAATCAGCCAACACATCCATGTGTGCATACAACTTATCCCAGTCCGCATCGATTCGCGACTTAATCTCAACCTGTATCTCTTGTATGCGACGCCAAATCTGAGATATGCGTTGAATTGACGTGTATGGCTTGAAAGATGTACCGATCTGCTTGACTGCCTGCACGACATGATTGAGACGCATAAACACGCAATGAGACTGACTTACAGCAAGAGAATTGACGATTTCGTGATAGTTGTTCTCTTTGACTTGATCTTCCAGCTGACTGAGGGCATTCACTTATGATAGTTCAGGAAGTGTGACCAACAAGTAGAAACTGCATACCCAGCATCTGGAGGCGCTTGAGCATCGTCATACTAAGTATCAAGTTCTTCTTCGCAAGGTCTAAGACTTGTATTTCCTTAGTGATGTTTCGTACAACTGCTTCTGATTCAGTTGCTTTCTCTCTGATTCGAGACATCTGGCCCAGTAGATCCTACGGTTGTATTCCGTCAAGACAAGATGCTGTTAAGATGTAGCTATGCAGGCAATTATAAGAACACGAAGACATACTGATATCATCTCTTGTATGAGCTGCATTCTGCTCGGATCTTGCTCCCGCCGGAGCTCTTCCTTCAGAGCGTCGATTTCGGCTTGCAGCTGCCTCTCTGTCTCTATCATACGAGTCTGCACGGCGTCCAAGCGCTCCAACGAGGATTCTGTGTGTGGGGATGAAGTATGTCCTACAATAACAACGAACAGTTGTGTTCGTACCGTCTGGAAATTGCGCATTTAGAGCACCGACGGCGTTGAAGTCATTGGTGAGGATGTCCAACGGATCCGTATCTCGTCCATGACGAATATCTAAGATACGTTCAATAGAGATAACAAGGTCCGATGAGAGGTCATCTCCTTGCATCTGTGAATACGGCCGAATTATACGGCTGACGTCAACGGCCATATACCTTGCGCTCAAGAGCGACAAACGAGTGATACTGGTATTCCAAGCAAATAAGGCTTGTAGAATACCCGAGTCGGCTGTGTCTCTGAGCGCGTCAAGTAGCCCGGGAAATGACCTCCCAAGTGCGTGCGAGTATGTGCGGCTACACAGGGCGGAGATACCAAGAATGGTATGCAATATTGACCGCCTCTATTTGGCTGAGACAAAGTAAGGCGGGATGTGGGCGCTTACTCCGTGTGCGCTCCATTCTATGTTCGGACCTCCCCCTTCAGCAGCTGGTCCATCCCAGCCGACTTCTGCTTCGCCAGAAAATATCCTGCAAAATCGTCCTGACGGTTCGGATGCTTCCCCAGGCGGTAATGTACCAGACGCACCATATTTTAATTGGCAAGCTGCGCCGCAGAATTCGAACGATCTACCGGCGGGCCCGAACCTAGGCAGGAGCCAGATTTCGCCCTCTTTGCCTGCACACGTGCCAAACGCAGCCCAGCATCCACCTTATGCGTATTACCACTATCCTCCGAATGCATGGGCTAGTGCATGGCCTCCCAGTACCTATCCGTACGGCGTTGTTGGACCTTACCAATATGCTTTCCAGCATCCGCAACCCAACCAAGACGCTACTCCGCAGCTGCCACCGAGCTCTCCTCCCACCCGTGCTATCTTGCAAGAACGGATAGATAGGTCTCCCTCTCCGCCACCGCCCTTAAACAATGACTGGGATGCGGTCATAATCTCATTTTTATCTTCGGCCGGGTTGACGCAAGCATTGCGCGGTTTCAAAGCCGACATGGTCGTCATGAACCCAGATTGGGCGAATAGCAAGATTCCGGTGGCGCTCGACGAATTAGGGGACAACCTTATGGTGAGAAATCTATTGTGTAAACCGCCGCGGTTACCTGACGTTCACCTCGTTGCTGACAGCGGCTGCGCGCACGCGGCGAAAATAACGACGTCAAGTACGAAACACGCCCCCTAGAAGACCGCAAGCTTGATTATGTGCAGGTCTCTCACGCTGCCCAACCTCGTGCTCATACGTCAGTAAGTTAGCTTCTCTGTAATCAGGCACAAGCTCAATTGTTATTTAGATTACAAAGTCCATATCACAGCTCCTTGCTCACAATCGAGCTCGAAATGATACGTCTAATCGCGCTGAATTTCTTGAGTCTCTGGTGCAGAAACGCCGCAGGTTGAGCCGGGAAGACCATCCGGATGTGTCCACATCGACTCCAAGTTGCGCGCGAACAGATGCAAAGACGCAGGACAGAGATGTCCAAATGAAGTATGACATCGCCAAGAACGAAGATGGTCCTTTACGCAGGACGCTCAAAAACGATCACGTCACATCGGAACAAGCAGCAAGCGGGACAAGCCAAGGCAGAGGCTCGATGGCTACGTCTGCTGACAGCGAGGCCGCTCCTGAGAGGTATCCTGCCCTTGATGAACGGATGAGGAGCGTGGAAACGCACCTTGCGGTCCGCTACGGTGAGGTTAATCCAATAACGTTGCCCCATCGCATATTCATTTCAGTAGTGCCGTCCCCACCGAGATCGCTACTGGATCGTCTGAAATTCCTAGAAGACCACATCGTGAGACTGGAGAAGGAATATCCTCCATGGGCCGCTCTACACTTCAACCAGCCCAGCCGAGGCGTAAGTCAGCAGGTCCAGAATCGCTTGTTGTACCTGCTCATCAGTCCATACACTTAGTGGCCACCACCGCCTCGACCAACACCTATCATTGTACCTTCCCACCTCACGTCAAGTGCCGCCCAGTCCCATGGGAGCCAACTGACCTCACACCGAGACGTTCCACCTCCTTGGCCAATGCATGATCCAACTGCTCCACTAGGGACTGCCAGTGGTAATGATGCCGAGACGACCGACTCGAACACGTTGAAGACGAAGGGGAAAATAGCTCGCAATAGCAAGTCTAGCTTACATAGAGCCGTCATGGAACGGCTCGAAGTCCAGAAAGCCATGCACGATCTCGCTGGAGGCAGTGATTGAGTCAATTGAAGGTCTCAGACTGGTGAAGTTCTCGTCATTGTAGACGTATGTGGTGTCTATTAGTCTGCGGAAATATGTCATCTCGTCATCGAGCACATGCTGTTCTCCGACCGAGTCTCGATGTCCCCTTTCGAGCGGGACGGGCCGCAACCAGACTGCATGTTCACGCAAGATTACCTAATAAGAACTGCCTTGTCGTTCGATCGACGTCCGGTGCCCTGGTCGGAACTCTGTCGCTGAGCCGCCATGCAGATCGCTTCGGGTTGTTCAGGTGTTTCGTCCTTGTTGCTGGAATGGCCTGACCGCTCTTTTTATTCAGTCTTGTTCTCTGCTCAACTCCTGCCATCTCAAGTCATTGACACATGCACAAGTTTCGAGCAAGTTGCGCATTTTTCAGCAGCAATGAGCACGGCTCGCAGCTGATTAACGCCGCGGTCCTCAGGCACCCGCGTCGAGGCTTCCGGAAGTTATGGTGCCTTAGCCATCGACATGTAGGTGTGAAAAGCGGAGCTCCGATCACTTGTAAGCCGTGTGGTGGCTTTCCTGAACGCAGACATGGTCACTGTCAGTAAGGCGTCGCGGCGTTGGCGCGTCGTGGCAATGGATCACGTGCCATACGTAACAGCTTTCCGCCGCTGACGCTCAGATCGTTTCGTAACATACGTTAAATGATCCACACGCCTTGGGGAGGTGGTAGCTTTGCCGCAGTTAGTAGAGCTATCAGAAGTGAGCCTCACTGACAATAGCAAAGCCTGATCAGCGTTTGATCATATACAGAGTCAGAGCACTGCGCCACAAATGGGGAGCTTACAGCTGATTGCATGTCGTCAGGCCTACCTGATAATATCCCTGCGCAAGCGGGGCCGATGTGGAATTCGGCAGCAACGGCCGGAACCATGGTCCTGAAAATAGATCGCGCTTCGTGGGGTACGTATTGTCCAGCTTATCCCTCCCGTGTTCTGATACTCACGATGCCTGTTAGTCAAGACTACTTGCTCACGTCAAGCAAGCTGATGCTGCAAGGTTTAGCGTCTTTTGCTTTTTCATCTACAGGACCATCGGTTATTGCCTCGATGCGCTGATAGTTTTGTGTATAGAATCGGTTTCCGGGTGATCGTCAAGGCTCGGCTACCCTCAAAGAATCAACCAAGCTCATTTCACGTGTGGTGGTCGCAGTTCCATTCCATTATTTGTATGGCAGACAGCTGTAATTGACGCTCCATAGGCCTTCCCTAAACCATAATAAAACACCGATGACCAACCAAGCTCAGCTACGGCCCTGTCAGTATGAGGAAGGCACATGCACGATAGCCGCATGGAGGTACGAGAGAAATGCTTCTCGACTGTGAAGTGTCGATGCATGCCCCTGAATGTCGATCCCCAGCCAAGCAATGTACGTCTCACACTCCTCATCCAACCTTCGCCAAGTACCACAACATTGTTATCATTGTTGGGTCAGGAGGTCTAGATTACTGTGTACAGCGGCAGTGTGCCGCTCGATATGATCCTACAGTAGCATTGGACCGTCAATGTCCAGTACCCGTTCTAAATCCGCTCGGGTGGAAGGTACGCAGTATGACTGTCAAAACAAGGTTGCAGAAATTGGACCCGAGCTTGACCCGGGTGCTATGTAGGTTCATGCAACACCGTATCATAGTGTTTTATCAAAGGCCTTTTGCTTCCACCGCATTCCTAAGACGCCAATATCTCCCAAAGCATACTAACGGGCCGTAGGGCGGGTCAATGCTGTCCTATTTAAATGTGGGACGTGGCATTGGGAACGAACCTCCAGCCCAGTCATCTACCCTCCTGTCTAACAACCCCTCTCACCTCTACTACCACCTATACAATGAATATACTTATTTCAACGGCAACCTGGGGTTTGCTCGGCTCTTTGGCATTCGCGATATGGAAACGTATCCGATGCCTGGTGTTCTCTCCTCTGGATAATATCCCAGGCCCATCACGTCAATCATTCTGGAGCGGTACCACGGCAAGCTTTCCAGCGATGAATATAGGCTCAAGCTGGGGTTGCACAGGAAACGTTGGTCGGTTTTTCGACCGCCGCGGGCTCAAGTTTCACATGCAGTTGGCGCAAAATTACGGTTGCGTCGTCAGAATGCATGGGCCACTTGGCGTAAGTGACTCTCTGGTCGAATGAAAACATTAATAGGTCACGAGGCAATCTACAGCGTCGTATGCTGTACGTATATGACCCATTGGCGTTGCACAGTATGCTGGCCAAGGATCAGACCTCATTCGAGGAGTCCTCGAATTTCATCTGGTGGGCAATTTACTCAGGCTTCGCCGGCGGCTACACTGACATACCTACCTCAGTTGTAATCAACTTTTGTTCGGCCCTGGATTGTTATCTACAGTCGGTCAGAAGCATCTTGAGGTTTCAGATGTTTTGCGCTAACAGCAAGTTAACAGGAGAGCAGCATCGGAAGCAGCGAAAGATGCTTAATCCAGTCTTTAGCATCAACCATATGCGACGTCTGCTGCCGATTTTTAACCAAGCTGTTCATAGGGTGAACTGAGAATCCCCCAATACCAATTCATCAAATACACATTCTCACGCTTATAATGACAGCTTCGAGTGGCTATCTCTTCGGAGGTAATTGAAGGCACAGAAGAGATCGACATGCTTGACTGGATGAGTCGTCTCTCTCTTGAGCTTATTGGACAAGGTGGTCTCGGGTATTCGTTTGATCCGTTGGTGGAAGACGCGAAGAACGAGTATGGTGATGCACTTAAAGTCATTTTGTACGTCTTTTCCCACAACTTGCGGAATACGTGCCATCAATAGCACTTTCCACTCATGCTGTCTGTAGTGCCGCCCTGCAAGATGTCTTCTTTCTTCGGCCTCTGCTGCCGTATGCTTCATTGCTAGGCTCGCGTTGGATCTGGCGCCGGTTATTGGACTTAATACCGTACACTCCCGCACGCAGGTTGAAGACCTTAGTGGATGTCATGGCAGACCATTCTGTCTTAATCTTCGAACAGAAGAAAATAGCCTCAGAAAAAGGGGATCAAGCACTTGAACGCCAGTTAGAAGAGGCGAAGGATATTATGAGCATTCTTAGTGTGTCTTTTTTCAATCCGTTCTCCCTACGTCGCTTAGGGCAATCTCAGTGAAGAAGAACATGGCCGCGGCTAACGAAGACAAACTTGACGAATCTGAGGTCGTAGCGCAGGTCTCGTACGTCATGCCGTTCTATCCCTTTCGTTTTGTTACTCATGATCATGATAGCACGATGACTTTGGCAGCCACCGACACTACTTCAAACACTGCCTGCAGGATCCTACACTTGCTGGCCGAGCACCCTGAGGCACAGAACAGACTTCGACAAGAAATCATAGAAGCGTCTAGCGGCGAAGATATATCTTACGACGAGTTGAATCAGCTACCCTACCTTGACGCTATAATAAGGGAATCATTGCGACTGTACGCTGGTCTTTCCCCGCTTAATGTTCGGCTTATGGACCCGTTTTATAGTTATCCGCCGGCTACCTTGATCTCCAAAGAGTGCGTTCAGTTTTCTCTGCTCTCGAAAGGTTTTCGATGAATTATGATGGACAGGGCGATAGCGGACACCATTCTCCCCTTGTCCGAGCCGATAGTTGGTATCGACGGGAAGATGATCGCCGAGATTCCTATCGCCCGTGGTACAGAGATTTACGTGGGTATTCTTGGGTCCAATACCAACAAGGCCATGTGGGGGGAAGATGCTTTAGAATGGAAGCCAGAGCGCTGGTTGTCCCCTCTACCTCGTACTTTGATGGAGACACCTATTCCCGGTGTATATTCCAAATTGTATGCATGGCTGGATTGCAGCCGTTACCACCTGCTAACTGCGAAATCTGACCAGGATGTCATTCTTGGGTGGGAAGAGGGCTTGCATGTACGCGCTCGAACCCCTGTTTTAGATCTTGCTGTACTAATTTCAGTGCGATCGCTCAGTGGTTTCAAATTCGCTGAGGTGGAAATCAGTAAGCCAATTTACTCTTGCACCACATCGAGAGTATATAATATATAAATATCTATTCACAGAAACTATCTTATTTGTTTTGCTCTCTGCCTTCACATTTGATGTTACCAAAAAGTCTATTGTGTGGAATGTTGCCACTGTCAATTATCCCACGGTAGGGATGGATAGTGCGAAGCCAGAGATGCCCCTACGCGTTCAGCTTGTATCCTGACTCTTCTTCAGCCCTTGATACATACCTCCCCCTGGCCTTCGCATCAGTATTCTATCCATCCCATCATTTCCCAAGACGTCGTTCCTGCGCTTTGAGTAACAATATCTACTAGTAGACATCGTCGAGATGCCTCGACGAGTATGCAAACAATACTTAAGCCCTTGCGATATGTCGAGTGTCGAGTGTAATCGCACCGTGATCGGTGACTGAGTCAATGCCAAGTACTTGACTGACCGCACCTAATTTGTACAGCTGCGTGGATCTGTCTCGGCAGTAGATTTTGGTCATCCGCCAAGTGCGTCCACATCTCCTGGCACTCCACTCTGCACATTTGTACTCGACAGAGTATGTGATGCTCAAGGTTGCTAGCTGTGATTGCACTGCTGCACGTCCCGGAACTGTATCAAAAGGCTTGAATCACGACACTTGCCTCTTATAGGCTCACGTGTATGATCGATTGCATTTAGGTCAGGGCAGTCGTACCGTGCACTCGCACTTTGAAGGGGAACTTGTACCAATCCTCCCCGTAATTAGACAGACAGCACCTGAACTAGGCCTACGACCATGCACGCGATCCAGGTATGATAATCGTATCGCTAATACCATAAGAACAGCCGTTGTTGACCACTCTCTGCAGCAACAATACTGGGCAGTACGAGACTATCTCAGCCCGGTACGCCACGTCCACAAGTCTATGCGGTGCCCACACTCATCACGCGTCGAATAGGTCCTGAAAGAGAGCAAGTTTAAGGAGCATGGGCGGATTACCCCAGGTGAGTCCCAAGGCGCGCGTCTCCTTGAGCACAAGACCGACGCCTTGCAGAGGAGTTCGTGGCTGCCGGCGACTTCCTGGCATACAAGTTCGGAGTCTGGACATGGTGTGTACCTCATTCATGTCTGTCGTCGTCTCGCATACGATGTATCACGGCTAGGGAGAAGGGCGACGCGTCGAAAGCAAGGGACTACCTCCCGGCCGATAAGCAGTACTTGCTCACCCGTGGCGTAGCGTGCCTCCGACGCGCCACATCTCTTGCCTACACCGACGCAGATGAAGATGCAGAACGACTACTCTCCTTCGGAGACTTGTCATCCACTGGCAACGAAGCAGACGAGTGGGTCGAGACGCACGCAGGGCGCGTTGCGAACCACGATTCAGCTGCGAATCCGGGAGAGATCGACGAGATTCCAGATGTGGACGACCCAGCTGGCACCGTGTCAGGCGCGATGGGGAATCTTTCGCTCTCTGGCGCGAATGGCGGCATTGGCGAAATCCCAGACATGGACGACATCCCTGATATGGAGGAGGAGGGCCTAGAAGCTGGTGACGACGAGGCGACGGCCACTGCACCGAAGACCACAGCGTCTTCGTCCAATGTAATTGACGGAAGGTCTGTCTGCGCATGGTCAACATGCTCATTCCTCCCTCATTCACAGCTGATGTGCGTCTCAGTAAAGTTGAGGTAGCCAAGGGCAACCTGCTGCAGGTCCGAACTTACGACGTCATGATCACATATGACAAGTACTACCAGACACCGCGAATCTGGCTCATTGGCTATGACGAGGTAGGTGTTTGCGAATGGTACCTACCTTCCGGCGCTAACTTTGGATGGCTCCCAGAACCGGACACCCTTGACGCCGTCGCAGATCTTTCAGGATATCTCTGCTGATCATGCGTTCAAGACTGTCACGATCGAGGCGTTCCCGCACTCTGCCAGCCTGCAAGCAGCCTCCGTGCATCCGTGCAAGCACGCGAGCGTCATGAAGAAGGTCATAGAGCGCATGAACGCGACCGTAATCGAGGAACAGCAGGCGCAGCGCAAGGCGTCCGCGTCCGGCGTCGCGTCCCCGAAGGAAAAGCAGAAGAAGTGGCTCTTTCGGCGCACGAGCGGGAATGGCAAGGAGGACAAGACGCAAGCACCGACTTCGCCAGGGGCAGAGGACGACATCGAGGGCATGCGCGTCGACTTCTACCTCGTCGTGTTCCTGAAGTTCATCGCGTCGATCGTCCCCACGATCGAGGTCGATTCTACTACAGCTTTCTAAATCTATACATACGATGAGATGATCATCTGTGGGGGGCGCCTTGGATTGTGAAGTATAGACATACCGGAAGAAGATACCTGGGTTGAGAACCTTATGCTTACCCTCTCAGACCTTTGTACAGTATACATGTATAACACGACGCTGAATGTTCAGCTTCACGACATATCATTGCGGTGCTCTAAATCAAGCAAATATCACAGACATGCGTATCGCTCACCGTGTAGAAAGTCAGATATCCATGAATCCAAGGTAGATCTAGAGATACATACGCAAGGTCTAAAATCATGCCTCCACAGCTTGCGCCTTAGCTTTCTTCGCCTTGTCTTTTTTCGCCTTCTTGGCCTCCTTCCCGTTCTCCACGACCGCAGGCGCGTCCACATCCACCCCATTCGCCTCCCCAGCCTCGCTCTTTCTTCGCTTCTTTTTGTCCTTGTCCTTCACCTCAACCGCCGACTCCTGCGACGGTGGCTCCACCTCTGCAGCCTGCACATCCTCGAAACCCTCCTCGCCCTTCTTGTGCTTCCGCTTCTTGCTTTTTTTCTCTTCCTTCGCCGGCTCTTCAACTACCGCTGCGGTCGCAACGTCCTCTTGCGCATCCGCGATCTCCTTCCCCTTCTTGCTCTTTTTTGGCTTCGCGGCCACAGCCCCCTCTGCTGTCCCGTTGACACCATTCACCGCTGTCTTCTTCTCCTTCTTGCCCTTCTTCTCGCTATCTCCTGACGGCTGAGCGGCAGATACGGGTGCAGAGGTTGAAGGACCAGCAGTCGCCTCCTGGTCTGCTTGACCCTCTTTGGATTTCTTGTCCTTTTTCGCCTTCTTGTCTTTTTTCTTGTCCTTTATTGACGAAGCGGCTTCTACGTCTGCGCCTACGTCAGCCAAGGCCGAAGGGGACGTTGTGGGCGCAACGCCATTCTCCGTCTTTGCCTTTTTCTTGCGAGGTTCCTCCTCAGCCTGGGCGCCCGCAGCCTGTTTCCCGTCAACTAGCCGTATATCACAACGACACGCGGATACTCGCCTGTGCTGATCCTCCACCATCCACCGCACCAGCCTTCCGCTTTTTGTCCTTTTTCTTGTCCTTCTTGTCCTCCTTTCCCTTCGCCGGAGTCACAGATACAGCCGCGTCCTTTGCGCCGTCCGATGCGTCGCCGTTAGCACCGGCGTGCGTACCATTCGTCTTCGGCAACGGGGCCTCAATAGGAACTGGAGCTGGAGTCGTTACAGGTGACATGCGCAACGGCGTGCCCAAGGGAGTAACGTTAGCACCAGTCGCTTGAACTCGGGGCGCGCCCCTGCCCCAGCCACCGGAGCCGCCGCCGCCACCCCAGGACTGATACGTACCCGTTGAAGCATTCTGCCCGCCCGACCAGCCGTTCGCGCCGTTTCTCTGCTGGCCGTTTTGTTGCTGCTGCTGCTATAGGCGTGCAGTGCACTATGTGAGGGAGATGGCAAACGAAGCGGGAAGTAGAGGACGTACGCCCTTGGGGCCTTTGTACAGGCCTTTTTGGTACTTCTCCGCCTCGCTGATGCAGGTTGTGTGTGCTTTGAACTGGGCGATTCCGGCGAAAGTCGTGTTGCAGTCGAGACAGGTGACGGAGGCGTGGCACATTGAGTAGTGCTTTTCCAGCTTGGGTTTTTTCACGACCTCAGCGCAGCCTAATGACGAGATGCATTAGGGGACTGCATCAGGGGGCATAAGTAAAAGAGAGCTCCCACCATCGCATCTACTCGGGCGTTTCAGTAACAATTTGAGACGAAAATGATACGCTACTCACTGAAAAGAAACCATTGAAGTGACCTGGCTCGCGCAGTGTTTATTGTCTCAAGGACAACAATAATTAAATTTGACGGTAGTAGAGAGGAGCGAGGAGGAACTGCAGCCTGCAGCAGACTTGCGGCAGCCAATCCAGACGCTCTGTGGGAAAATTATTGGCACGTGTTCCCGATTGATGCGCCTCTCGATCTGAGTTCCCATTCTGTGCAACTATCCTACAGCGACGACTTGCAGCGTCGCTTTCGTCGAGTACATGACAGTCATTCCTCGCCGTGTGCTGGACCTGTGCTGGGTCACTTTCTTGCAGAATAGCAAAACGTAATCTCCGCGAAATTGCCGGAGCAGAACAAGCGACTATTGGTCTTCTTAGCATCAATGCCAGCCATTCGTCTGCTGCTGCTGCTGCCTACTCGCTACTTTTATTGCTGTTGCACTTTTCCTCTGCAAAATTTTAGGCGGATTTTGCATATTTAGCTGGCGACATGCTACCCTTAGTCTGCGTTGCTAACCATAAACGGACATGGATGACAATCGATCCATAACTAGTATATGGTCTGCCGGAAAGCGCGCCCACTTTACTGGACCATCGCCTTATGTCCCAAAAAGGAAACGCGGCTGCAGCTTGCTGCCTTTAGTGTCGACTTCGACCTATATTCTGCATCCTGTACTATCAAATTGTGCACTTAAATTATTATTATGCACTATCCTTGACTGTGGTAGACTTTCAGCAAGAACTCGTGCTCTACTGCAGCCCAATCCCATCAGACAAGCAGTTTGAGGCAGATTTAGGGCCTCTAGTGGAATAATATACTCGAAATTTAACAAAAATGTTACCGTAAATGAACAGAACACATAGCGCACTCTACCAGCATGATGTACCTTCCATCTAGCTGTGCGCAGTATCGCGACGCGCTCTATAAGGCCCGATTGCACTGCGAAACGCGCCTCACGTGACCCGGAAAGTGCCGTAAGCGGCTCGTCCTGCAAACCGGGTCAGGTTTCATGAAGACTATGCAGCCCTTGCCTTTTATGGTGGGTCTCCTACCCGAAACAGCCAGTAGTATTCTCTCGCTTCGTTTCATAGCATCGTATACAAAGGGGCATATCCCCTTCTTCAGCCGTTTTCTCCTTTGCATACATATCCAACGTCGATATCTACAGCACAGACGATACATAAACATCGCAGAGAGTAGAAGGTATGCCAGCACTGCAGGTTCAGGGATCGTTGGCCAGAAGCGCTGATGCTCGACCTCGACATCTCCTGCTAGCGCGCACATTTTCCATGTCAGCATCCTGCCTCATTTCTAGGTGAACCACGAGGGTTTGTCATGAGAACTGACTCATTCCGACGAGCAAGAGCGCTGCGGTATCGGCGCAATGTGAGCAAGCGTTGATCGTTGTTCAGGCGAGCGCCTCCAGGTTTGAATGCAGAAAACCGGCGGGCCACGGAAACAAACGCGCCCATTGTGACAATATTTCCAGCGCCCTCTCGATTTTCTGTGTTGTCCGTGTGTCCCCGAGATTTGACTGCTGACAGCACATGTGATCGCGTCTCGCTAAGCGGGCCATGCAGGCACGACCGAGGGCAAGACAGTGCCGAGTGCGCATCCCGACGCGGATGTGACAAATGCGGGTGCGCGACTCACGTGAAGCGTGACCGACGTGCGCTCCGAGGATACCCGAGCAAATGTGGGAGCGCTGATTGGCTGGCGTGGTGATGAAGCAGGGCACGTGATGCGGGGAAATGGGATGGCGGGTTTCTAAGCGGATGAGTGCAGAGGTCGTAGACGCCTGCTTATAGGCCAGGCGGCCGCATTGAGCTGGCTCGTCCGACATCTCACCGGTTCCCACCATCCATCATGTCGTTCGCAGCCTTCAGGGCTTCTCTCCGCAAGGCCCCCTTCTCGCCTCCAAGGGCTGCCCGCGTCGTTCGCACTCCCTCCGGAGCCTTCAGAAGATATTCCACAGAGGTGCCGAAGAAGTCGAACACCGCTCTCTTCGCTGGTCTGGGAGCAGCCGCCGTCGGCGGTATTGCGATCTATGTATACGCCTCAGACTCCAACTCCGCAAAGGAGGCCGGCACTGCGGTTAAATCTGGCGTGCAGGTCGCCAAGTCCGCCGCCCACTTCACCCCGACCAAGGATGACTACCAAAAGGTACGTGCGTCATTGGCTCGGAGCCGCCGTGCACATGCTGATCGCCGAGCTGTGCAGGTTTACAACAAGATCGCGGACATCATGGAGGAGGCAGCTGACAAGAATTACGACGGTGCGTGTGAACGACCTGCTATTGAGTTCGTTCGCTCACTTCGCCATTCAATCCGCCAGATGGCTCGTATGGTCCCGTGCTCGTTCGCTTAGCATGGCACGCGTCCGGCACATATGACAAGGAAACTGGCACCGGCGGAAGGTATGTCGCGACATCACCCCAACTCTGTCCCATTCGCTGAGTCAGTTCGCGACCCAGCAACTATGCGACGATGCGCTTCGAGCCCGAAGCGCTGCACGGCGCGAACAACGGCCTGCATGTTGCGCGTGGTATCATGGAAGGCATTCACGAGCAGTTCCCCTGGATCTCGTACGGCGACCTTTGGACCCTCGGCGGCGTTTGCGCAATCCAGGAGATGGGCGGCCCCAAGATCCCCTGGAGGCCTGGGCGTATTGACGGTTTCGCTCCGCAGGCTACCCCTGATGGTCGTCTTCCCGATGGTGCACAGGGCGCTCAGCACCTGAGGAACGTGAGTATTTCCGGCACCTGTGACGGTGAGATGCGCGGGCATGTTCTGACGTGAATTCATTGCACTCCAGGTTTTCTACCGCATGGGGTACGCGGCTCCTCTCACTCAATTGTCGTGCGCGTCTAACTCTATTCCTGAAGGTTCAATGACCAGGAGATCGTCGCACTGTCTGGCGCGCACGCGCTTGGGCGGTGCCATCGTGACCGCTCCGGCTTCGAGGGTCCGTGGACGTTCTCCCCCGTGACAGTCAGCAACGAGTATTACCGCCTCCTGCTCGAGGAAAAGTGGGTCTGGCGCAAGTGGGACGGGCCGAAGCAACTCCAGGACAAGACGACGCGCTCGCTCATGATGCTCCCGTCGGACTACGCGCTCACCCAGGACAAGGCGTTCCGCAAGTGGGTCGAGGCGTACGCCAAGGACCAGGACGTGTGGTTCAAGGAGTGCGTTGACCCTCGTCTCTTTTGGTCCTTCTGCTGACCGATGCGTGCGCCGTAATAGCTTCTCTAACGTGATTTCTCACCTGTTCGAGCTTGGCGTTCCCGAGGCGCAGTTCGTTGCCTCGGAAGGGTGGATTATGAAGGGCACTGACGAGCAGTAGACTGCTATGGTGCGCTCAATGTTCGATCCGCCTAGAAGGTCCCTAGAGCTAGAGGACCGTGTCGGGACCTAGAGTCCTTGCTGTGTGTTGAGGCCGTTATGTACAGCCGGACCTAGATCTAGAGCTGCTTGCTAGACCTAGAGTAGACCTAGAGTCGTCGACGATCTTACCCATTTATCATACCACTATTTCGCGTCTTGGGCATTTTGGTTTGCATCGTATCGGTTTATCACTGTTCTCGGCCAGACTGAAACCTGTATGAATGTTTTTGCTATCGGCTTGCACGTCGAGGGGTGCCGTTCGACGATTCTGCTGCATGCGCAATGGTACTTCATAATGCTCCCGTATAGGTCGCGAACCTAGAGCCAATTTTGCTACTTTTGAATCCACAAAACCCCTAGCACTTGAGCAATCTGGATGCGCTTTGTCACACAACCATAATAGTGTAAGAGCATCATGCGAGCTCGAAAAACGCATCGGCATACCATTACAGCGCAGAGAGGGGGTGTCTATGGGGATATGGTGGACGAGGCCTGTGCTAATAATACTAGTAATGAAGGTCCTGGCGTCGCGCTTAAGTTATGCAGTCGTCTAACGTATCAACGAACGAACGAGTCTATGTCGTGAGCAGCTGTACTGTACTTATACATCGATGAGAGAAGGACATTGGGGACAATCAGGAAGGATGCCGGTGATGGAGGAGGAAGCAGAGCTAGGACGTCTCGATTTTCGTCATGAGTGGAGAGGAGAGAGAAAAAACCGTATATGCTGCACACCTGTCACAGAGCAAGGAGATATCAGACGTCAGAGGGAAAACGGACGAGAACGCTAGAGATCGGCGCTATGATTGGACAACAGAGGCTGCTGGCGGTGGTGGCGGTGGCGGTGGCGGTGTGCTGGCGGTAGTCCGCGACGGATGCGTCTGCGTGCGCTGCTGCTGCCGCCGCGCGCGCTGCGCAGACGCAAACATGCCCGCGAGGTCCGTATCGCTGAAGCTGCGCTCGCCGGGCGAGAGGCCGCGCTCCGCGCCCCGCATCGCCGCCGCGTCCTCGTAGCTCGGCAGCCCGCGCAGGCTCGACAGCGGCGTGATGCCCCCGCCAAGGAACCCGCGGCTCGCCATGCTGTAGTCCGGCACCTCCGTGAACGCATAGTGCAGCTGCTCCGGGCTCGTCATCGGCTGCGGCGTACCGAGGCTCGCGAGGTTCACAGACGACGCGCTCGCGGACGGCAAGGCAGGTGTGTGCACCCCGGTGTGCACTTGCGAATGCAGGTTCGAGGGCCCGTGTGCGAACCCGCCGTGAAGGGAGTTCGAGTGCCCGTGCTGGTGCAGGTTCGTATGGCTCGGGCTGCGCGAGGCAAGCGAGAACGTGCTGCCCAGACTCGTGAACGGCTTCATCGCGATGCTAAACAGCGAGTGCATGTTCCGGCTCGCGGTGCTGTGGCTGTGTACATAGGTCTCGTCCCGCGCGCCCGGCATGCCCGCCGTCGGCGATCCGCGCTCGGGGCTCCCCGCGCGACTTCCCGCACGGCTTCCCGCACGACTGCCTGAACGGCTATTCGCACGACTAGGCCGATGACTGGGGAAGCGCGAGCCGTGGCGGCTGGTCTGCATTGACTCGGGTGGCGTGCGGCTCGGGGGCGTGACACGCGGCGGCGGAACGGGCGCCTGGACAGGCATCTCAGGCGCCTCGCGGCTCAGGCTGAGCAGCAGCTCAGTGTTGACCCAGTCGAGGGGGGCAGCGCCGGGCGCGGGCTCGTGCGGAAGGTGGTGCCGCGGCACGGCGCTGTTGTTGTTGTTGCCGTTAGCGGTGTGCGAGATCTGCCACGTCTCGAACGTGGCGGGACTCTGCAAGCCGGAGGAGCCCTCTGAGTGCGGGGGATGGAGCGTGGGGGAGACACCCTGCATGACCCAGGGGTTGACGACGCGTAGGGTGGCGGCATCGGGGAGGTACGCATTGGCAACGCGATCGCGTACATGCGCGGGATACGAAGGCAGATCGTTGTCTTCCTCGGGGTCCTCACCGTGTGTGCCGACAGCCTGGCCTCCGTCGATGTCCTGCGGGCCGAGGAGGATACGCCGTGTATGCAACGTCGCCGCCCGTGCTTCATCGTAAAGACGGTTGTCAAGGACGTGCAGAGGAAGCGAGCAACGAAGCTCGGAGGTGTGTCCGTCCGAGTTGCTGATGAGGATGGACCAGCGGATGCGGTGTGATACTTGAATAGGCTGCGAAGGACATTAGTATAGGCGCATATATGCTGAGAAAAGGCGCATATACGGACCTCTAGTGAGTGACTTGGCGTCGCATGCATGGGCACACTAATATTGAGCGTGGTGACAACGTCTACCGACGGCTCAATCATTTCAGCCTCTGTTGGATCTAACGGAGGTGGTGGTAGGGGGAACGGGTTGACAGGCAAGCTCTCGTTGCTGCTCGTCGATGGTCGTGATTGAGGCGCAACATTGGAGCTTGTCGTGGATGGGCGCGTGCCGACGCCAGACGATTGGGAGGAATTTGTCGTAGTAGTCGTGAGGGGCACCAATTCGGACGCGTGGTGGACGGGTGACGGTGGATGTGACGTGACGGCGGGGAAGTAGCCGGTCGATCCATTCGCAGGACTGTGATGCGCGTGCCCGTTCGCGGTTGCGGGACTCGCGGGCGTTGACGCGTTGTGCCGTGGTGGATGTGTTGTGTGGGTTGTGTGCGAGTGGTGCAGGAGAGGTATGCGATACCGGTGGTGTTGCTCGTCGACACACACCGCGAGGCCGTCGACAATGTCATGACGCGTACTCGAGATCACACGCGTGCTTTCCTGCGTACCGCCACGCGCGTAAAGCTTGATCGTCTCATTTACGGTCGTCGTAACATTGAGCACGCGCGCCCCCTTCACTAAAGGGGAGAACTTCACTACCGCAGTAACCTTCTCGCCGGCGGCCCACGCCTTATGTGGGATCATGATGCTATACATGAGCTTTTCGGGCCAAGTATTCTCAATCTCGAGGGTCTGTTGGTACTCGAGTGCCTCGGGACCGAAACCACGGAGGATGGTCACGGGACAGACGGTGGCGAGGTCACGGTGAGCGAGCCCGCGGGCAGCAGTTGCGCGGAGCTTGTACTGAACGGAGGCGCCACCAAGGGCGGAGGTGGTGATAGATGAGGGAAGGGAACCGCCGATCTGGAGCTGAAAGGGGAAGAGATGGCGGCCGGCCTTGAGAGTGTGCGAATGCGTGCGGGTACCCTCAAGGAAAGACCATTCATGATTGCAGACCAGGTAGGTGAGCTGCGAGGAGCTCAAGGATAAACTGTGGCGTAGGGGGGTCAGTATATGCGCGGTATGGTGTACGTGAAAGGGAGTACGCACGGTTCCGAGGCGGAAACAGGGAGGCGGGCCTTGCCCCTGAACTGGAGAGTAATTTCCTTGATGTCTGTGGGCTCCGTGAGGTAGAGGACGACGTTGCCGGAGAGGAGGGCAGCGTCGACGTCGACGCCGGTACCGCGGAGGACAAGGGTATCGGAGGCGACGAGGATGTCGAGGTAGGGGACACCGCGGTCCTGCTTCTCCCTGTGCATATCGTGGTCGTGGTGTGGGGTATGTGCGGCGGAGGGGGCGAAGGAGTGAAAGGCGGAGTTGAGGGCGGCGACGAGGGAGTCCTCGTCTGGGTGGGGGTGGTGCATGTCCGCGCGTGGGGACGGGGGTCTAGTGAGGATGAAGGACATGACGGGCAAGCAAATAGCAACAATGGAGAAGACGAGAAAGGGAAGCTGCAAATGGAAGATGCGGCGGCGGGTCTCTGGGCTGCCCTGGTGTGTTGCGAATGCTTCGAGGGAGATCACCCAGTCGAGATCCTGACAGCTTCGCGAGCCGGGAGACTGGAAGGTGCGGTGCGGTGCGGTGCGGATGCAGATGCAGATGCAAATGTGTAAGGTGCGGTGGTCGCAGAACGCGGCGAGGGCCTGCGCACGCCGTTAAGCAGATGCGGGTGGCGGCAGTTGGAGAGAATTATACGCACTACGCCATCCTCGGTCCAGGTCGGGCTCAACCCCTCTCCCGGAAAACACTCCGTCTCCGGCTGCATGTCCTCCTCGGGCGGAGTGGTCCATCCCATCGGGCCTCCCCCTGCCAATCGCCCCCCGCCCACGTGTCTACCGGGACTGCCGCCCGGATGCCGACCCCTTCCGCACCCCCGATCATCTGTCCTCACCTCCGTCTGCGTCCCCTGCCGAGCACCGTTTTCGCCCTTCCGACGCATATTCCAGCCCCGCCCGCCCTGATTAGGGCGTTCCACTCCTTCCCCCCCGCCTCGGTCGACCATTCTCGTCTTGCCTCGTCTCCCGCGTTCGTGCCGCTACGTCACTCGATCCGAGTTTCCAGCCTCACCCTGCGCGCAGACCGTGCGTGCACAATACGGGCCCGCGTCGCCTATCAGGCCTTTCATTCGCGATTGCGCAACGCTTCTTCCAGCCACCTACCCACTTCTACAGGGTTCACAGGAACAGCCTCTATCTGTATTAGCGTTTCATTTCCATTTCTGTGTACTGGCCTGCTTATCGTCGCTATCCGCCTTCCCTTGTAGTCTGAGTTTCGATCCGAGTACACGAGCTGGGTGATCAGGCCTCCAGCAGCGCGCCCACGCACGTCCCTGTCACTGATGCTGATAATCTCCATGACAAGACCCAGTGCGTCGCACCGTAACCCCCATGCTCGTCCATTTCTTCACGTCCACAAGCATACCAATGATACGCGACGCCGGCCTATTGTAAGTACGGTAACTGTGCCCTTCATTCCAGTATCCCCATATGCAACACGCAGCGCGAATCCGAAGCGCAAATCGAACGCGAAGCCTAGGCATCTGCGCCACAAAGCAGATGAACTTCAGCACGCCCAGAACCCACCCTTCCTTACGATATATGCCTTCTCTGGAGACGCGAGCGCGCGTTGCCGGGCCCGGCCGCAATTGAATGCTGGTCAGTACGCAGCAGCCGCTCATAGGTCGCTGCTTTTCGGTCTTCTCGCCCTATTTCCTATCGCAACCGCGTTTTCCCAGTCGCCTGTCCCTCTTTCCATCTGCAGCCCGCGTCGACAGGGGTAAATGCCACAGGTAGTGCAGCGATCTCGAGTTGTCACAGCCGAGCCAGCCCGCCTTGGCGTACATACGCGATGACGTTACGTTATAGCCGCGGACCCTGACAGACAAAAAAAGAAAAGAAACAGGCACCAGCACTCGCAGAACGCCGGCATTTTGACGTTGACGCGTCAATGTTTCGGAAGCTTTTCGGGTAAACCAATGATCCGTTGAATACCGAGCGCGGAGGGACGCGGGCCGGCCTTCTGTCCTCACCGTCAGACTTGCCTTTGGAAATCATCATGTTTGGAACTTCGCGTTCTGCATCCCGCGCGTTGGCATCGCGCTCGGGCTGATGGATGCCACCATGTATGCTGTGGCTCTCGCTGTCGAAGAAACCTTTTTGCGATGGTCTGGGCTCGCCGACGCGCAGTCGCAGTGTGGTGCGGTGCGGCCTCATCGATCTCCCAAGCCGGGTAGAACGAGGATGCAAACATGGTACGTCGCTCGCATTTGGGCATGGCACTCGTGGCGCTGTGTGGCTTTGTGGGACAATGCTGATTGCTCTTCCCTCAGTCATCGTGTTATCCTAATCGCTCTTTTCTACCGCCATCTCCGCGACGTCTGACGGCCGCACCGGCGTGTCCGAACCCGTATCGGGGCGTGCCTATCTCCTCGTTCGCTGTGCCGAGGCTCGCGGTGGATTGCATAGCGTTGATATCTTTCTGTTCCTTGGAGTGTGGTGTGCACTAATGATTCATTGTGTGCTGCGGTGGGCTTATCCACCGCACCCACGAAGCGGCGCATAGATATCTGGCCGACGCGAGAGGGGCTCCATAGCTATGGCAAGTTGTATCTCACCGCGGCTCCCTGCGATCCCCGCCGCAGATACAGCCTAGGAAGAGCATTGGCCCTCAGTCTGCTCCAGTACGTCGTGCGACCATCTTAACGGCGTCAGATTTACTTTGTGACACCGATGCCGGTAGCAGATCTGGTCGGCCCTGGCCTTGGCCTGTCTTCACGCATAAGCAACTGCGTCCCGGCAGTAATCTCGGCGATTGCAGGTCTCCTACTCTAAAGCGCCAAAGGTACCGGCGGTGAGACAAGCCGCGGGTTCATGAGGTAGCTACCAAATATATGCACGACGATGACTCGGGGAAGTCTAGCGTGGTTCGCTCTGCTTCTTGCGCCTACTTTGGCGCAGTGTCTGCGAGTTTCTTGGCCACTAATGTTCGCGCGATCTCCCTTCAGTTGACATCGACTCGCAGCTCGGGGTATTCAATTGCTATTCAGCGGCCACGTACAGCGTTCGTTTTACGTCTTGACGGTGCTGCTTTGCACGCCTGAGCGTGGCATGCATCATAGCGTGTCCTGAATTCGAGGATCGCGGTGGCGCAGCGATACACAGGCCATTCAATTGCCTTACACTGTGCTGCCCTCCCATTCGTAGCTGACACGATATGCAGCAATGACGCGCGTGGGCTCTCACCAATTTTGCACAGACGCCCCGAGCTATTTCCGGTACGCCGAGGCCCGTGGGTGGATCGCGGACGCTGTGCCCATGCCTTTCGCCGCCCAGCGAGCGCGCGGGGCCTGTGTCGCATATTCCGCGCACGGCCGCATACAGTATTGTACGTGCGCAGATCGTAATAGAAGAAGCCCGGCCTTCCGAGAAGCTCGGCGAGAATAGCCCGCTTCGGTGCGTCGCTATATTCGACGCTTCGCTGCTTCGCCCGAGTGTCCTGTCAGGCTTCGCCAGTTGCGCCCCGTCGCACGGTCCTCGTGCGTGCGTTCGCGTACCGCGGCCGGCGGGGGCGACTGTATTGCGGCCGGTGCCCGTATCGCTCCCTGCGTCCGTCCTTCTCCCACCTTGGGCGCAGACGGAGGTGGAGCGCTGTCTCTCACCCCACTTCTGGACGCTGCGGACGGCGAAGACGTTGGGCGGTTCGAATTCAAGTGCGGTGGGCTTCTCGTCGGCGATGCCTTGCATGCATCATGAAGGGAAGCAATTCATTTGCGCATACGGAGATGTATTGCTTATCGCGATTGCACGCTCATTTAGCTCGCTGGTGGTCTAGTATTCCACCTTCGTATCCCCCTAACGCGCTATGCGTGAATCTACGCTGACAGTTTCCTGAATCACCTCGCGCGCTTTGCAATTGCACAAAAGAGAGAGTCATGGAGAGTTGAATATACATACTCATCAGATGAGTTTGATGAGCACTCTGCGCCTCTCAGTCGGACTTACGTGTATTGTCCTTCACTCATTGAAATGACAAATGGGGCTGACATTGTGAATACGAACTTCTAGCTCACCTGATAGTCGCGTGTGCGAGCTTGTTTCCCCACTATGCGGTCGCATTACGCTCGTCGACCATTGAACGAAGCTCGCCTCGGGGCACCCATCTTGGGAAATAATCGAGCTTCGCGAAGGCGTCTCCCGCGAGCTTGAGTCCTAGGTGGAGCAGCGCGTCGACCATATGCTCATCGAAGGTCTTATCACATCTCGCCCATGCCTAGGACAATGCTCCACACTTCCTGGCTGCGGCGCGTGCTGCTGAGCGAACCTACTTCTTGCCAGGCCCATGAGGTTTGTGGACGTCGATTCGTGTCCCATTTTCCAGATATCTGGCAGAGGACGTACAGGCGCGCTGGTGAGTCTACATGACAGTCCGCGCGTGTGATCGCCCTTCGCCTCAGGAGCCGCCCTTGGGTCTTCTGCAATTTCCAGCTTGATAGATGGGAGGTGAGCAGACTTCCAACTGGCATGACGCCAGCGGCTGTGCAAGGTTATATCTGTCAGTCACATATGTCCAGCGAACGCCGTGTGCTGTCAATTAGCCTCAGTGCGTAACCTATTCGCCAATTCATTCGTTTCATAAAGCTGACTTCGAGAAATATGCGCGTCTAGCTTGCGCGAAGTCGTCCTCGTGCGCGAGCTTATTTCCCCAATATACCCGCCCATCCTTCGCCGACACTGAACGAAGCTAACCTCATGATGCTCTGCCTGGGGGAGCGAAGGCTGCACGCGCGACTTGCGCTTCCCAGAAGTGGAGCGAGGCGCGCGGTCGATGAGTTGTTTTAAGGTATTCTGATAGCATTCATCCATTTTTTCGGCCGACGTCTGCCTCTACCGGGCAAGCGAGCAGGCGTCCCGATGACGTACGCATCGAGCAGCGCCGATCAGCGTGCGCGCGAACTCCAAATATAGGCTGCAAACGTCATTTTCTGCTGTCGCAGGCGCGGGGATTGTGCGGATACATGGCTGTCTAAGTGGACACTGTCGGTGGTGAGTAGGCTGCTCTGTCGTTGAGCTATGTGATGCCTTTGTTGGCACTGGAAGATTGATGTTTCTGCCACATGGGTGTCCTGTCAGTCCATTTCAGGCTCGGTAACAACCTTTGATGGATGTATTTCCATGAACGAGGCCGTCATGGCATGGCTTCCTGTGTCTTGCTCCTTCGCACGATGTCCGCTGATTGATCCTGGGATTCTTAGAATACGTTGGCCGTGCAAGGAATTGCCGCAGCCGTACGCTGCATGCTGCTGTGGGGCCCGGAAGCCGCGGATATTGATATGACGGCAAGGTGTAGGCCCAGTCCTAAGTATACCGTCTAAGTCAACGTAACGGGTTCTTGATGACCTGCTACGTTCTCAGATACCGCAGGTGGAGTCGAACCCGAGCAGGTCCTATTTCATCTGATGCCACAGGCACGGCGGCCTGCTCAATTCTGGAGTTACGCATGCTGATAGGAGTTTTTGCTAATCGCAGTGTATCAGGAAGAACTTAAGGTGCAGCGACGAAGACGCAGCCCATCCTTTTGCGACATTATCAGTACTATTGCATCTCGGCGGCCGTCAGTGTCATACCAGCGCATGTGAAATCGTAGCAGCAGCATTGGGCAAGATCAACCCGCGTACGCGAGATTATCGAGGAAATCGACCCTTCCGAATGCAACTTGTCTTTCGTATTTTCATGGTCAGCATCGTCGCCGGGCGTGTTACACTCTGAGCTTGAGACATCGTACAGTCTTGACCCGAATGATTATGTAAATACACCGCAAACTACTACCCGCTTTTCTACCGTGCAGGTTGAATCATGATGCACTGCATGCAGTGATGCATCAGAATTTCAAGGTCATGGCCAAGAGTGAGCGCGCCCCCTGTGTATCCGCTATCCGCTCCACCTCACAATCTCACACGTTCCCCATCATCTGCGTACGCAGTCAAATACGGCAGAACGGTGCGCATCACGGAGTGCTTCATGCTTGCGATGGGGCTCAGCATGGCTATGGCTATCTTTTTGCCCTCAGGAGTCCCATAGGTGCCTCTCCCCCTGAATCGTCCGCGACAGGGCCAATCTAGGTCGTTCGCTTGCTATAGGAAACTGGATTGTGAGATTCTTGCGCTTGAATTCTCCCTATCCCGGTTTCCCTCGGAAGCTGTTGGTATGTCGCGATCCCCGTTACACAGCGTTAGCCCTATCTGATATACCTAACGTTGCTTTATGCTTCGAGCATCACAGGTGTGAGCCGTATCTGTAACTGATAGAGGTCCTTCTCATCATCCCACATAACCTGTGTGATAGTGCATATGTCAAGAAAGATTGACAGTTCGCACTTTAAATTTTTCGTTCTCTCAGTCATTTATCAAACCCACAGGCCCAACTGTATTGACATGCTATCGGTTGCAACTCAAGCCACTCCGATGCATGATATTGTGACATTCATGGCGAAAGCGACCCTTTTCGCTGAGTGTTCCTGAATATCCGTTTCTGTACATCTTCTCGTGATCGACTTCTGCAGACTTTGAACCTGCGCACGTTCCTCGGTGCCTTTTGGTCTTATCCGTTCACGTTTTGCCCGATTCTAGCTTCCGCGATAAGTCCGGCAAATTTCAAAGGCCTTTGATACTGAACAACGCCACCGCAATGACCCGTTTAGTTGCTGCTACCTTCAATACTTCCTCGCCATAGCTGCGCATTATGTGTCTCAGAAACTAGTATGTGTTATCCTTGATCATTGCAATCTTCTGATATCGTTGCGACCACCATAGTACTACTATATCCGTACCCCAAAATTGTTCTTAGCTCCTCGCGACTTTTTGAACATAATCTCTCGTGCAAGAAGTGCATTCCGGTTGCTATCAGGCGTACCCAGGATGCCCAGATTGGCTCGAGACCGGGTCTCCGCTGGTCCGGATGCAAAATACCCGAACGATGGGCACTAATCTGGGTGCGTCTATCTGTCTCATCTTCTATTTTCCATTCGTCATACTCGTGGTGAAATCATGTCCGTGTCGGGGCAGAACGTTGGCAAACCGACCATGTTGTCCTATTCTGATCCCGTTAGATTCCCAAAGACTGCACCGCAAACAAACTCTGTCCTTTCATGCTGCTTCTGATGATCGATACGCAGAGAACCGGTCCGACTGAGCCTGACATAAAAGAGGGAATGATAACGAGCCATCGACATCCTAAACAGGAGGTGGGAACAAGCTTGCCGTCTGAAACACCCAAGTTGGATGCGAGACGTTTTTCCACATGAGTTCATGTCAAGGACCGTAGTGAGACCACGCGGCCTCGACGTGCATGTCCCATCGAAGTCTCATTGTGCGGGTGTCTTGACAGGAATTTGAGGTGTCGGTCGTCGCGATAAACGTTTGACTAACCACCCTTTCTATTATGGAGCGATTACCAGAGCATTCAACAATCGACCACGGACAGTAATCCTGCGTGTCATGATTTGTACTACTCCAAGGACATTGATCAATACTTCCGCCGTAGTGTAACCGTAGCGAACATCGAGATCGGCAGGAGAGACATCAGAGTCCATGTGCCTAACCATGGTCATCCCAACCGAGGCACAGCAATGACCGTTGGCCGCGGAACGTGATATGATAAATGGGTGCTGACCGGGATAGTGAGGACTACCACAGGCTGGCGACTTCCAGGAGTCCACAGGACTGCGTCAATAAACACGAGACCTTACGGCCAAAGGCTTGTTTTCCTGTTGTCGGACTGCTCTAGCTACGTGAATTAGAAAACCACGATCAACGTGCACCCCCGCCGACGATGATAAAATCATGCACTTCGGAGTCGTACTTGTCCTCGCAATGTTTGAGATACAGCCTCGGTATGGTACACGAGGGATAAAAATGATATATTGCGCATCATCACAATAAAACGTAACTTATGCTTGCTATTGTCCTAAATTGATCCACAAATAGCGATAATGTGCAGAAATCAGAGCAACGATATTCATGTTCATTAGCATGTGCGATCAAGAGTGCTGTTCTTCAAGCTGTCCGAGGAAGGCGAGCCAGGTCTTTTTGTCAATGACCCCCTCATCTGCAACCATGTGCTGATCAGCGGGATATTTGATGCGTACAGCGGCGAGGCTCACAGTATCCGTCGGTATCAGTCACGACCACGTAGCGAGCACCGAGCTTCGTAAAAAGCTGCTGGACGAGCTCTAGAGGTGACTTTGACTGGACCGTCAATGGCGCCTATATTGCCGCAGGTCAGCTTGAGCACAGAATGGCACGAGGATCAGCCCTCACTTGGTCCATGTAAAGGCTGAAGTCAAAGAGGTCAACGCCGCCCCGGTGAGAGCCTGTCTCGGCCAACGAGGAGTATGAAGACGTCATATGCTCGCCATGACCGTACGGATTGGCGGGGCGGAATGAGACCACTTTATCTGCCTCGTCTGCAACAATGGCTGTTGGTGTCATATATATTGCATCAGAAGTGCAAAGTGAGGATGCAATTATCGCTACATACTCAAGGCGTGCTCGAGCTCGTTTGCACCAATGTAGCCCACCATACGCTGACCGCCGTCGTCTTCTCGAAGAATGGGGAAGCCGCTGTCAGACCTTCCGGTCACGAGTAAGCCTTGTAGTTGGTCTCTGAGACTCTTGACCGTATTCTCGCGATCGCCTCGGATGACATCGACGTCACGATCGGTCTAAAGCAAGGCAATCAGGTGTTACTCATGCATGTGTGCTATAGACACCCACCACATCGTCAATCTGCAACTTGCCCCAGATGTACTCATGCTTCGCATCGAGGTAGGGCAATTGCGAGAGACTGGAGGGATCGTGAGCTGAGTTTTACTGCAGAACAGTGCAACATACTCGATCACGAGGTCATAGATTCCCTTTGGCTCAAGCGCATCGGCAACTGTCTTCGCAACGAGGACAGAGAGCATCACCGGCACCGCATACGTAAGCGTGTCGGTCAGCTCAAACATAATGACCGCCAACGATACAGTCGTGCGCTGCAAATACAATTGTTGGTAACATTCGTTCTATACGACGAGAGACGGCGTACCGTCACGCCGGACAAGGCTGCTGCTGCGCCCACCATCGCGTACAGCCCCGGGATCACGCAATCGAGATCCCCTTTACACGAAGTAAACATAACACTATTGGGATGCGAGTACTGCCACCATTGAACTAGTATGCCAAGTATACGCCCTGCACAAGCTCCCACTATCCTGACGTGAGAAACATCCGGCTCATCTACAAGCTGGTACGCACCTCCCAGTGACGGTATGAAAATCCCTGCGGGGAGCTTGATACCGAATGTCACGATTGTCAAAGCACCCTTGACGACCAACGCCACGAGGATAGCGCGTATGACAGGCAGGGCTTGCTCAGGAGGGTTCAGTACACACAGTCCGAGATGAGTGTTAGGGCTTCCGGGTCTGCATTCTGCAAACAAGTTATATACGAGCTCTGTGGTCCCCATGCGAGTGTATGGGTTGACGAAGCACAATAGGGAGGTCACCAAAGTAACCTTAGAACGTGTCAAGCAGAGACCATGACGCTGGCTACGACATCACGTACGAGGAATACTTCCACAACAGGATGCTTCTTCAACCAGGTGCCATTGCGGACATGGCGTGTCCATCGAATGTTGAGTTTCGAGAAGCATGCGCCGTAAACTCCCTAGGAGCATGTCAGGAGTCGTGATCCGTGCTTACGAACGGGGTACGTACTCCAAAGACGCCCAAGAGAAGGAAGAAAATCAGCTCATATGCATGCCAGTCCTGGTGCATCATAAGTGATGTGTGATGCGTCTGTTGAAGACACAGCTTGCCTTGTCGTATGTGACCTGGAAGAGCACCAGCTTGCCACTTCCGAATGGATCAAGAAACTTCAGCGTCATCGCAGCAACCATAGCACAGAAGAAGCTGGTATAACGTTCAAAATTATTGTTCTCGCGCATGTAAGTGTGCGATTGCTTACCTCCTCCACATAACTTTGGCCGGGAAGAAATAGGAAACCTCTTCCAAGCTGAAGAGCACCCCACCTATGGGTGCACCAAAAGCCACTGCTACCCCGGCTGCGCTTGCTGCACTCAGGATCTCGCGTCGCTTGCCTTAACTCATAATATCAGGAAGCAAAATTCGCCTGTGCACAAGTTTCTGACCTTCGTTTGTCTCATATTTGTTGAAGAACCGGCTAACAATATTCCCTATGCATGATGCGATGTGAACAAATGGGCCCTCCTTGCCTGCGATGAACAACGGCTCGTCAGTAAAGTGGCTCAAAGCATCTCGGAATGAATCCGCACCTAGAGTGAGGCCAGATGCAACGGAGAGAGCGAGACCGACTGACTTGGTGAACAATGTCCTTCCTCCAAGATACCCGTGGATTACGAAACCTAAACAAAAGGAATGATGTGTCGTTGGAGATTTGCTTGTACTTCTGCTTAGGTACCTGATAGGATGGTCTTGATCTCTGGTATACCACTCCCCGCCGCCTGTAGACGACGATGGTCAGACAGAATGTATGACTTGTTGGACGCCGATTGATCACACATTACGCACATAATACAGGACCTTGCGCGTCTGTTCTCCAGCCGAAGGTGTTTCCACAGTTTTAGGGTCGCCGTCGATGTGAGCGAATTCCGGTGCCAGCACCCCAGAATCTTTACGGGTAATAAAGCTCGTAGAAGCCGTCAGATAGATTGTTAGCAAGCAGGACGCTACCGCCAACATAAGCTATAAGATTAAGATATCAAAAAGATCGCGGAAGCTGCAAGAAGCGCTCGTACTGACCGCGATGATGGCATAGGCGATGTACTCCACCATTTCTGCTTCGAAGCCGAACCAATCGCCTTTGCGCTCGAGCATATTGCCGAACACATCGGTCCACGTCCGCCACGACGCACACTCTCCCTCAAGAGCGAATGTGAGAAAGGATTCAGGGGACGTGAGCTCTGCATCATCGTCTATAGAACAACAGAATCTCTTCGCCTTGGTCCAGTCGTCCTGACAATATCCCTCCTTGATATCGAATAGCCACTGCTCGCTTCGTACGATCAAAAAGGCAACGACCGCGGTCAAGAATCCGACAATTGTGACAATGATCCATCCTATGCTTCTATCGAACTGCCGAATGAGACGGCCGCGCTTTGATTTCCGCTTGCGAAGACGCGTCTGGCGCGCTGAGTCTTTGATCGCGTCGTGGAGCCAATCAATAGAGGTGAACGACGAGTACCAGACACGGACGCCATTCGTCTTCATGTCTGCGTGCGTTTCCTCAGATGCGAAGCTGTCTTTGGGCTTGTCATATGAAGATATGGGCGGCGGAATGGAGAAGTAGGAGTCTCTGAAGGATGCTGGAGAACGGGGCGACCCTGGGACGGACTTGGAGTAGATGGGTATTCTGAGGTGCGGCAGAGTGCTCAAGCCGCGTCTGCCCGGGAATGCTGATTTGGACTTGCTCCTCCCGGTGCGTGTAAAGGTAGAGAGTGTGCCATAAGAGGGTTTGCGCGTGGGCGGATCGGGACGCAAGGCAGATGTCTCATTCGCGTTGGTAGTGTCGCTGCCTATCCTGAGGAGACGCTGGCGCCTCCAGGCAGGGTCGGATGGGCCACTGTGTGGGCCTGTTGGCGGTCCATCAACGGTATCCGCGGAGACATTGACGATAGGATTCAAGCTAGATGAAGTTCTGCTCATAGGCATGCTGGGAAGCGCTGTGGTTGATCCGGGGAGCGAACAAGGCAGACGCTCAAAGTGAAGCAGTCAAAAATGTCAATTCGCGTGCCCTAAACCGCGCGATTGAGCGTCCCGACAAGACAATCGAGAGCGACTGCCAATTCTTCCAATATTGCGGAGTTTGTGGCTAGTGGGAGCGTTAACGACGCGACGTGTTATATGATCTCAAGACCTCACTGTCCAATGTTTCCCCGGAGGCCTTCACAGCTTGCAGGAGGGCTAGAGAACCGTCAAGCTCGCTGTCCTAAAGCTCAAGCCTGAGCAGACAACACTTCCTAACCCAACGAGTGCTGAGCAGGCGAGGGAGACACGACCGATCGGGCTCGTTAGTGTTACCGGTTGCCTGTCTAAGCGAAACATCTAATCTGATCATGTACGGTGAATGCCGAGAATACTCTGGGTCTGGCACAGGGTCTAGTCCAGCTCCCTGCACCGAAACGCCCAATCCTCGTTTTGCGCAACCACCGCCTTCACCGACGCCAAAATGACCACCGCAGGACTCGGCGTGCCCGTCAAATTGTTGCACGAGTCTCTCGGACATATCATCACCGTTGAGCTCAAAACGGGACAGCTCTACCGCGGGAAATTGGCCGAAGGTGCGTGCACCTTTGCAGTATGTGCAGCACACCTTGATCGTGGCTCTACATACAGCGGAAGACAACTTGAACATATCTCTCAAGGACATCACAGTAACAGGCAGGGATGGTCGTGTGTCTCAACTAGATCAAGTGTACATCAGGGGGAGTATGGTCCGATTCTTTATTGTCCCAGACATGTTGCAGAACGCGCCAATGTGAGTGCTCAATTGATGGGTTGGGCTCCCCCGAAGAAGAATTAACGTTACATCACTCTAGGTTCAAGCGTGTAGGTCCTAACGCTATGAGAGGGCGTGGTATTGGTACGGCGCGTGGTAGGGCAACGATCATGCGAGGTACGTCCTTAGCTGTATTATCCGCGCTCATCCTGCTGACGACGTTTCATTTCCAGCCAATGGTACGCATTCATATTCCTTTGTTTTCTCGGTGCAGATTTTAAAACACCTGTTGCACGCTTACAGCTCGTCGTGGTCGTGGAGTACCCGCCGCCCGTGGTATCCGGCGATGAAAGGGTGTCTCTCCTCAAAAGTCTGTTATATAGCTGTGTAAGCGTTCGCAACGTTTTGTTCGATCCCTGGTATCTCATCAGTCAGCATGCAGATTGTAGTCGATGCTTGTCTTGTTGTTCTCGCATCAATCGATTCACTCATTTTGGAGACACTACGCGGTGCTTGCATTTTCGGGACACCAGGGTATAATTTTCGATCTCACCACGCACCACGACCTTCCGAAGACATTGTTCTCACATCTACGAGAAGAGGCATGCCTGCGATGCACCGTGCCAGTGCGTTCTCCCGCCTTCGATCAGGCTGCTATCACCGTGAAGGTAATGGTCTACATGAATGAATACACTAGACATACACAGATTGACCAGTAAGAATTTGATGAGCGATGAACGAGCAGTATAAAGATCCTCCAGCAATTGCATGATCAGCGGGCTCTTGAGTAATGCGCAGCCCTTGAAATTACATCCATCCGAACTTGCCGACTAGTGGCAAGCCATCCCCTTGGCGTCCACAGGACCGGACAGAGCAGCGTTTAAGTCCATGTGGGACCCAAAGACAAAGTGACCGATGCCAGCGCCCAAAACAACGGCGAGAATCAAGTATGCCTGCGCAGAAGTTACTATTTCGCTCGACTAGCATACATAGAACAAGCCGCTTACGTTGTAAGTCATGAACACCAGCATGAGGAAGAAAGACAGGAACACCGTCAGTCCATAGAGAACGGCCCGGGTCACGCGGGCGAGTAAGGGGAGAGGGGTCCTAGGTCAGAATGCTTAAAATGCATCACCCAAGCATCTCATATTACTTTGCAACTCACCCCGTCTGGACCTTCGAGACTGCAGCGCCCGTCAATAGTCCCGCACCCTCCGAGTCGCTGTCCGGCGTGTTACGCCCGCTCCTGACGAGGCGCGCCTTGCCCTTGCCCTCCGCGATTAGCCGCCGCGCGATGAAGCGGTCGACGTCGCGCTGCGCGATGCGGAGCCACTCGTAGAGGACGCCGAGGGCGACGATGGCGAAGAAAGAGACGACGAACGTCGTCTTGGACGAGACATGCCAGGAGCGGAACACGACGCAAGTGTCCTCGATCTGCGTATTCCACAGCATGTTCATGGAGCACTTCGGCCCCGAGGGCATGGGCATGTCATGATCGCCGTGGTCCATGGTGTGCGCTGGCAAAAGGGGGAACGAGGAGAACAAAGAGGAAGCGCGCCGCAGTGAGAACGGTAGTACTTGTAGTAGCAAGGTGAGAAGACGGAACGGCACTTCCTTCCAGAAAGGGTAGAGTAGAAACGCCAGCGTATGGGCGCTTTCAAACCACGGCTTGCCCAGACATTAGAATGAATATTTCAAACCCTCTAACTGGCGGAGAGATTGATCCTTTTCGCGGAGCAAAAGTATGATGTGTACAGAGCACCGCAACTGTCGGCAGGCTTGGTCGAAACGCAGATGCTATCAGCGTTTCAGTCCTGACTAGAGGCTGAGCCGCAAGTATGTACGCCCCCAGTGGGACAAATGGCACGACTTCACGACCAGATGTATGGACAGAAGCATATCTATATGGTATGTGTTCATCTCAAATATGGAATGCGATCCTACGGGCGCACAATCGTACGCCAGTACGATCAAATAATGAAAGCAAAGGTGCCTCAATTCGTCATATCTAAAACGACAGAGTGGTGTGAATGCTCCTGAGATCGCAGAACAGCCAAAGCACATCAGCAATCTCATGGGATGAAGCAGGGGCTGCTGCACCCGAGTCTGCACCCGACAGTGCTAGGCCTCGGAGATTGATCAGACTGATCGTTTCTATTCTTCTGGGAAACTCAATTCCAACATGCGAGGTAAGAATAGCTCGCTAACAGCAGTACAATAACAGGTCCATCTGGTGAAGAATCATGTTGCCCGCATCTCCGCGTCCTCGTCCTTCTTAGCAAGATCGTGTTTGGCCAACAGTGCATCGATCTCCGCAGGCTTGTAGATCTTCGCTTTTGGCTGCTTCGTGGTCGCATCCAATGTCATGGTAGCGAATTCCACTGGTTACATCGTTCACGTCAAAAGGTTTCTTCAGCGTCGCGTCAAACAAAGCAATGAGCAGGCTTACACTTCTCACTGCCCAGCGTGGTGCTATCCATGGTCTTGCTCATCACCCGGAGCACCAGCCCGATGGCTTCCTCAACACCTATGTCCTCCTTGTACTCCTGCTTCAACAAACTTTGTGCGGTACCATTGTTCGCGCCAATACACGTTGCCTTCCAGCCGGAGTAGTTCCCTGATGGGTCGGATTGGTATAGTTGAAACTGGTAGTGTGGGTCGTAGCCCGCATATAGGAGAGATACACCGAAAGGTCGTAGACCTATAGAACAAGTCATGCAGTAACGCGATTGGCCGAATGTGCAAAAAGCGCACCTCCGTATTGTGTGTAGCCTTGCTTAAGGTCACATAGCCGTTGTGCAAGTAGCTCAACCGGGATGTCTTCGTTATACACAAATAGATGTCTTTGTGCTGCTGCTCGGGCGTAATTTACGAGCGAGTTCGCGTCGGCGGTGATACCTGCAACCCCAGATATCACATTCCTGACATTCAGGGTCATCATGAGAAGATGGTGATGGCATACGACCGGTGCAAGGAGAGACATACGAGTTCAGCAAGAAGATCTTCTCTCCACTGCCACCGTAGCCTCCTTCCCTCGCCCCGCTGAGGTCGAGTAGCTTGCCTGTCACCTTTTTCTCCGCAGCAAGCACAACGCCATCCTTTGCCAGAACACCGAGGACAGACCCTGCGTGGGAGATGGCTTCCATGGCATACTCAACTGATCGGAAAGCATGTAAGTGGTGACGGTTTCATTGAGCACGTCCCCATCACATACTCTGATACAATCGCCCTGGAGTAGAATATCAAAATATATTCAAAGATAGCGAAGTCATTGACACCCACCCTCCGGCGAGAATATTGTAGTGCGACCTGCAAGATGCACGAATGTCAGGGTCATTGCTCGGGCAATCGGATGCGGTCGACGCACTGTCATAACGTCTGGCCTATATCGACGCTCAGCATGTCACTTCCATTGATAATAACGCAGTACATACCATGGCGAATGAATAGATGAGACACGGGCGTAGAATGCAGGAGAGGATGCACGGGTTGACGCGTCTGCGTTACGCGTCGCGCATGCACCAGACCAATCGGAGAATGCCGATGATCATGGGCGCTTGTTCGCCTGTTGAATAGTATTTATCTCATCGAATTGCCACAATCATAACACGCACGGCTCTTTTCCCTCAATTTGATGACATTGGCCTGGGTACTCTAGGTACCGTCTACTTGATGGACCTGCGGCACATATGTAGAACATGCCTATAGGCCTTCTGGTAATCTCGCCTAGACAGTGACCAGACCGCTTGCGGTCCGCCCTCAGCCTACGCGCACTCATATTTTATTTTAATTTGCCTAGGCCATAAACCAACGGTCCGCTAAAACACTCTCCAAAGATTGAATGGGGACGAATAGGACGAGGGTAATCGAACTCCGCGGAAAATGCGGACACGTGCTCGTGGTCGAAGACAGGAGCCATACTGGCGAATGAAAATTCATCTTCACGGCACACGGATGGTCAAGCCTCTTTACGGCTTGGTATGAGGAGAGCTTCACTTACAAAGAGGTATGCATGAGCCACGGGTGGTATCGAATTGTGGCTAGTGCCTACTAGTCAGTGAGTATCCAACTTCGCGCAACTCTGGCCAGACTCCCTCTATTTGTTTTTCCTCTCGTCGAATCTGGCAGAAAACAGTTTCACGAGCTTTGTGGGTATGTTTGTGGGCGATCTGGATGCAAAAATATTGTGCGAACTTCCCACTGGGAAAAAGTTATAGTTTTATGTTGTTCCCATTGTGATTCGGACGGGATCAATGAGTATTGTGACAAAGTGCAGCTGAACGACTGCCTGCCTCCATACTCTGCCTCGCTCAAGCAGGGAGTCCTCAGCTGTACTATGCCACTTTACTAGTCTACGGGGAGCACGCAATGGACAGCTTTTGCGAGCCGCATATGTTCTGCACATCTTGGCACTCTATAAGCTGCCACATGTGGCGGGCTACACCAGAGCAGAGACTGGAAGGTTTCTCGCGGAGGATACCGCCCAAGTGCGGCTCCACATTTCCTGCGCATGCTCAGCCCATGGTCTCTGCCCGTCTGAATGCTGAGAGTACAAATACACGTCGCTGACAATCGCTACGTCTGACGTTACCGGGTATCACGCACGCTCGAAGCCATCAAGCGTTCTATTGGAATGTACTAGGAGATGGTTGTGTAACGGTCTGCAGAGCAGCGGTCGCGCTGCTGGTCCAGCGACGTCTTCCATTCATTTGGCAGAAGTGCGTACCGTCGTCACATCATCATGTACTAGCGCCGCAATCCGGGGAAGCAGCACAGCTCACTCTCCGGTGGCATCAAATGACATGCACGCCACGATGTTGAAGGCACCCACAGAATGACAAGAAATCCAACAGGCTGCCATGATGAAGCCGAATACGATTTGGAGCTTCAGGTGCGCCGCTACTAGAATCCGCGTGCACAAAGACCGTCAATATAGCACTCTCAAAATAGGGAAGTGATCCGACATTCGCGCATTCGCTGACGTCGTCGTTTTGGTTCAGCGCTCTCATCCGCGGAAGGCTTTTTGCTGGGGATGTTCTCCCGTTGTGCTTGGCAGAAAATGATTAGTTGCTTTAAGAAAACGAAAATCGGCGTCGCCTGTCGACACGAGCCTAGCCATTGTGGTGACCCTCTCAGTCTTGCTTTCCGTGAGCTGCTTGCGTTTCTCGGGCGAAGGTGACTGGGCAAGTCGACACGTAACGCATCTCGATTTGCAGGAATACTGCTTCCACCTCACGACGCGGTACATGGTCCACCCATCCCTGCCCTCTTCGGTATCAATACAGCACAGCGGCCTCTATCTTCTACTTCAATTCAGGACCGTCGATCTTTATCAGCCTCGATTCAGCCGCTATGCAACTCCGTCCGTTCATCTATATCGCGCTTGCTGCAGCGCTTGCGACTTCCGCCAGCATTGCGGGCCATCCTTCTGTTGTCCAATGAGTGCTTCCAGCGCATGATCCAGCCCAGCATTCCCTGATGTAGCTATCCAGTGGCAATGCCCAAGCTCGCCCATCGCATGCGCTCTCACAGGCTGACGGCACCTCGCTGAAGGCTCGCAACATATGCTCGAACACCACCATCAACCTCAAATTCGTCGACTCTACCGGGGACACCTTCGCCACATGCGAGCACATCATCTACGAGACATACTTGGTGCCCGACAAACCGCACGACTTCTTGTGCACGGAGGGAGTGTCCGAATCCAGATTTCCCGCTCGTCTTCTGCGTATCTCATTTCCTTACGGGTCCTCCACGCCCATATAATTCGCATTCATCGTCTTACGAACCTTTCGCATCGATATGCCGATTTGAAGCGACATTTTGCAGCGATGTTCATCCCTCCGCGCATAAGACGGATGTGAACCAGGAGAAAGCCGTGGTTCTGCGCGAGTGATGCATACAAGCCTCGCTATCGGCCGTCAGCCGTAGCACGCCAAGCGCGACTCGCAACGGACGGTTTCTCATCCAAAATTGGCTTCTTGGCTTTGCACCAGGGTCCAGGGTCCAGCAGAGAGACGATGTTCCACAAATGAACAAGTACCAGAGTAGATCAATTACACAAGAACTCCATCAGCGTCGGAGCCCACATATCTTGTGAATACAAGCACTACTAGACGTGAGGAAATAGCATACAGAGAGAGAAAAGCGACATCGGCCATAATCCTAGTGGTGGGCATCGTATGCATCCGGCACTCTAGAAAGTTTCGCAGGCTCGAGCCTTTCGGAGGCGTATGGACAAGGAGGAGATAGTACAGATGCAGTATCGTGCAGGTCGCATGCACGTGAATGTGCGCGCGAGCCTGTAAAGTCTGGGACAGCAGGCGAGTACATAGGCGCTCAGAGTGCGTAGACTAGAAATTGACCATGCATGAGATGAAGGAGGACGGGAGGGGCGTGTTGGTACAGAGTGGAAGGAATTTTCGCATACGATCGATGTCGCGTTCGCGCTCCCTTCGTGATGGGCGATTGTCAGGGGCACATCACTGAGGAACCAACCTCTCGTACGTGCAGAAGTTTGAGACGAGGAGGGACAAGGCTATAGCAGCTGTAGATGCGGTGCGGGCGGCGGAGGAAACGTGATATGTGCTGATGCGAGACGCATTCGGCGAGAGGAGAGGAGGGCCTGGGAGGGACATGAACATGAATGCAAGTAGACCGGGGATTGTAGCCGGACGTCGCTAAGCCTACCAGCTCCGGGATGAGCTATGCGCGTAACGGATCTGGCTTGGCGGGTGTCAAGCAAGATGTGCTTCAGTCAGCACGCTCAGTGGGCTCCGTTCCGATACAAGCGTCTCTGGCTCCGCAGATAACTTGTCACCTATACCTTGATGCATGTAGATCAGCGTCAATGCTCCCTCGCCAACATACACTTACTTGCACACGTACCGTGATCATCTGGCGCAAATCTGTCCACGGATGTTACCGAACCTGCCGTCGCATTTTGCAGTACAAGTTCATCGTCGCACGCCGAATTAGCAGGTACTTGTGCATCTGTTGGATTTGACGAGGAAGGTGTCTCAGCATCGGCATACACGGCTGGCGGCACCCAGACGGGCTGTGATGTTTCAGACGCCACGTCTGAGTCGTCATGCGGGATTGTAACGCTGGTAGCGTTGTTGGTACGCCTGTCGTCGTCAGCACCAGCCCCTGCATGACTGACCACGGCATCCTGTGCGGACACGCTCTTGATCCTATGGCTTCTCCATCCACACGTCTCTTCGTCCCAGTGCACTGCACTCCTGGATAAGCTGTGTCAGCGAGATGGGAAGGTAATGCACTCAGCACACGGCTTACTTGACATTATTCAGCTCAATGCTGCGAATGAACACATTGTTATTCGAATGGTGGAGCGTGCAAGGTGAGAGGATACGCACCCTAGAATACTGCGTGCATCAAGCGTTGGCAAGCACAATCGTAGGTCATACGCTAATTCTTTATCTCGTACATTCGATCCCCTCAGCGTGCTGATGTGTATGATAACGTCGGTGAGATCATCAAAGATCGGCCGAGAGAAGATGGCATCAAGCTGTGGGAGCCCATCCATCAGCTTTCCCAGATCTATGTCGAGCCCTGCGCCGGTGTCATTACGAAGCCAGAAATGGAGTGCAATGCTTGATATATGTGCGGATGTGACCTGTGACAGAATCTCAACCGCCGGAGTGCACGGGTGTGATATATTCTCGTGATCGACTTCGACTGTGAGATAAAGGCGTTCGAGGCATGTATTATTAGACACATCGAGATATGGGGCTATGCATATGGGTTATAAACGTGGAACAGAAGGCATATTAGGAGACGGACCTGCACTGTGATCTACATGCACCCTTACATCGGCGTCTGAACTTGCATGCAGGAGAAGATGGCGGAGTGATTGTGAATGTTTGACGAGCCTATCAAGAGCTGCGTCGCACGCTGCTTTGGCTCGGGGTGACGAGAACAGACGGGCAGTTATGCGCCGAAGTTTTTCGCTGAGACCACTGGCGATGAGAAAGTCGACAAGGTCAGCCACAGAACAAGGGTCCGAGCGTAAAAGGAAGTTGTTTCCCAGGTCGACATCTGCTAGATGTGATGGTAAACCAGGGTGCACAGGAACACTTCTGGGGTCAAAACCGTGTTTCACGAACGCGTATGATTCTGGTAGTTCGATGCTTTCGAGTGAAGGGAGAGCGCACAGGAGGCAAGCAAAGGTCGTGACCGAGGGAAACGTGACATGGCCGAGTGTCAATCTTCGAACGGCGCTCCAAGGGGACGCTTGCGCAAGATTGGGAGGAGGGATTAGGCACCTCCTGTTACTGACGGCAACCATGAGGTCGATCAGTTCAACAAAGGAGGGTCTCAGTTTCGTGCTGTAATGCCCATGGTCGAGGTAGAGTGTCTCCAGCTGCGGGTGCGGTAGAAGATGGAATCGAGAGATAGCGCCTGCATCAAGGGGATGCTGGGTGAATTGGACATCATCGAGAAGGAGGTATTTGAGGCGTGGGAGAGCGCAGAGCAGGCGGCCAAGCGTCAAAATCGACGGGAAGGTGACGTCGACGAGGCGGAGGTGGGTGATCGCAAAGGCGGCCAGATCGCGCACGACGGCGTCCAGATCGAGATCCCGCGCCCGCCACACGGCGGAGTGGATCAACAGCTCCTCGACGCGGGGCCATCTCCCTGCGAACCTCGACGCGAACGTCGCCAGATGTGGAATCGGTCGCCGCCCGTCTTCTCCATTCCCGCCTTCGATCGACACATCCTTTGGCCCACCCCAGCTTCGCAACCTACCACCGGAAGCATCCACCTTGATGCGCTCCACGTCCCTTATATCATTGAATGTCATGCCATATGCTAAGCACTCCCATGCCATCGGCTTGAACTCCCTGCACACCACCCTGCATCGTTCCAGCGTGTCGTACTCGCCTCCCTCGGCCAGACCATGGAAGATGTCCAACCATATCTCATTCGGGAACGGCCACACCATGGTATGCACGATGCGTCAGTGATCCTGTCCATTGAGATGTCTGTATGCGTCGCGATGACGCTGTCTGACAGAGCTCACCGGAATATCGCAGTATCAACGGGAGGTCTTCAGCCAGTCTGCCGTGTTTGACAAACCGCAGTCGAGACGAGCTAGTTGATATACATTTGCTGAATGTGTCAAACCTTAGCAGGATATAGCTTCCGTGCATCGCCTGCTGATTTCGCCCGTGCGACTCACGCTGCTCAACCCTCCAAACTTTCTTTGAGCGTCTTCTGTTCATCGCTGACGCCGGCCAATCCAATCTTTCCCCAGATGCTTAACAATATCTCCCATTACTGCCATCAACACCTCAGCTGGCCTGACTTCAAAAGCAGCGACGGCCTCATCCAAGACACACCCCCTCTCGATCCCAGATACCGCTGCCTCTTTATCAGAAGGCCTTATCGATATGAACAGAGACACCTTCTGACGCGCTGGCGTGTGAGATGTGACACCGCTTAGATACAGCCGGAGCTGCAATGGACGGTCTCATACTCGGCCAGCAGGCCACCCACGGAAGAAACCTATCCTTCATCTACATTTGTAGGCTCGCAGCACATTCTAGGACATCTTTTTATAGAGATGATGATCTGCGAACGACCTCATCATCACGGGGCAGCGAACCTTGGAGGCTGGCGTAGCGCGCATAGCTCACATGATGTCTCCTTACTCGCCCGAGCAAGCCTGAGCACCCATGTCCGTGCAATGCTTGTACTCGGAGTATAAACATCGCACGGGCGACGCAGCATAAGGCAGGAACGCCGATATTCAGGGCTGTCCCGGTTCGTTCTCGCCGTCTTAGGTATGTGTATAGTCATGTCGCCGCAGTTGACTTTTTCTTATGTCCCCATTGATTCCTTTCTGCCTGCAAGTACCATATGGCCGCTCACAAACCGCATCTTCGAATGACGCAGAAATGAGCAGCAGACTACGAACCCGTTATACCTCAAATCATATCCTCGCCTTGAGGTCAGCAAGAGCATCGTGAGCGGTCTCCTCTCGCACGAGCCTTGCCATCCAACTGCGGCACGAATTCATTCCTCCACACCCGTACACGTGTCTCGTATGTGGCGCAATGGCGTCGAGTGCTGCCTCCAGAGAGCCTTCATGACATCGCCCGCCCACCGCAGAGTACAACACGCATTCAGGAGCCCGGTTGCCCGTCGCAGGGCATGGTCCGCACGGGACTATCATATTCAGAGCGAGGCGATAGGCACCGGTAGTCCAGTATGCATTGAGTTGTTGAGGCTTTGCAGGGTGCGTAATTCTGTTCATTGTTTGCGAACCTGTGTCAAATAGGCATGTTAAGCTACCTCGCGTTTCTGGGTTGAGATTCCCCACGTCACCGAACGTTCTCATACAGTACCTGTATTCGGACTACGGTCAATAGCTGTATGCGTGTTGCAGTCGCATGACACATAATGCTCCGTTGATCTAGCGTCGGATTATGACCTTCCAGGAACGCCATAGTCGAGCGCGCCATCCACAAGGTTAGAAATCGCAATGCATGCGGTGCATAGATGGTACGTGCTTAGCGTGTGGTCTTCGAGTGGCTGAGGCGTGACTGGTCACAGAACCACATTCATGGAATTTGACGTGTTTGAGGCCGCGTGAGGCACGAAAAGGCGCCGCTTCCTGTCCCCTATACATAACAACGAGTCGCCATTTCATGCAGTTGCGTGCGCGGGGCTGCATACCTCTTGTAGGCGCTTGTATCGCAACATCTCACGCCCCTTCAGAAGTCCTCTCGATGTCCAGATGACAGTGGTCAATGACTTCTTGGTTCGTGTTGACATTGATGTGTGAGAATGACCAGTTGCATTTACTCCCGATACGCGTACTACAGCAACCTCAAGTCGATCCGCAATGCCTCAGCCTGTCCATTCGCGATATGATTATTCTTCATTAACACACTAGGTGCAGAGCACTGGAACTGTGTGCTGAAAGCAAGTACAGATGCCTGTCAAGAGCTGATGGAGGGGAGCGGTGAGGTATGTTCCAATCGAAATGATACTCACAAAGTAGGAGGTTGCGTGCATCGATCGGGGCGGAAACCAGTGGTATCAGTAACGACAAGCGGGCCCCATTCCTCGCCTGGTAACGCCTGTATCGGGGCGCGCACGGACATAGATGCACGTCGAGCGGCTCAGAACTGGAAGTGCAGAGTGGCAGGTGTATAGACTTGACTCTTATGTCGTCATCAAGTGAAGCGGGCCAGGTCGCGGTATCCTCGATTTGCCCTGCCTCACTTGGATCACATGCCTCGCCCTCTGATGGTTTGCTGCCTCATCTTGCGAGGCATAGCCGCAATCCTAGGGAACACCTGCCGTCGTCTGCCTTGGCTCACACTCTCGCATTCCGGTTTGCTACGCAGCTATGTTATCCTGTACGCACAGAGCTCGGGAACTCTAGTTGGCCGCGAGGTTTCCCTTGCGACGAATGCGCCCCCAGTGGCAGTGGAGGACGTTGATGCTTCTGTCTTCCTTGTCTGTTCTGCTTTGCTATAATATGGCTCGTGGATGAGCCATCGCGGCCAAGCGTCAGCATCGTCGGAAACGTGACATCATGAGGATGAGTATTGTGCTCATCCTCTGACATAGCCTTCACGACGGTCATCGCGCTTCGCTGCCTTGTAGTGGCGTTGTCTCCACAACGTAGATTCCTCAGTTAAATCCACACGCATGGCACGAGGCAAACTTTCGCTTCCGATATACTTTCCCGCAACAAGATAAACCATTCGAGTAGATCCTGTACGTTTGATACTGTCATTGAGCCTCAAAGTGCGCGCTAAGCTATTGTCTCGCGTACATGAGTCTTGCCTCCGCATGCTAGTTTCGATAGTGCATATGTCAGTACATGTAGCGACTAGATGATTCTGCACGACGAACGAGCACGACGATGCCCTCGATATGGTTTGCAGAAAAACAGAGGAGCACACCATCAGTAAGACAGACTAAACAGAGCAGATCGATAATGAAGTACACTCGAGACGGTGCCAATAAGATCACGTACAGGAACAGAGCAAAGAGCCTCAGCGTACAGAGAGCACATGAGGCGTAGGCATCTAGAGCATAATTCCAGTGATGTCCTGCGCTCGCATCCACCTCCATAGATATTAGTGAGATGTGCGATGCAAAGGTAAAGCAACAGTCAAAGACGCCGTGAATAAAATGATGTTACGTCCCTGAGATGGCGCTAGCTGCGGGCGTGGTGCATGCGTCGAAGGAAACGTCCATTGCGCTGATTCAAGGATGACCCGGGGAGAGGTGAAAAAGACGGCCAAGTGTGTCAACAGCCGGAGAGCTCGAAGGATGCTATATGCTGGCTGTAAAACCCCGACCGGCTTCCAGCGCAGGCAGGATAGCGCGGTGCTTGTTGGATTTGGTGTGAGCGGTGAACATGATGAAGCCCTGGCCGAGCGAGTCGTGGGGGAGACGTTATTCGGCGTGCTCCTCTCTCGAATTGCGTCAGTCTTCTTTTGATAGTCCTGTGCCCATGAATGACTCGGCATTCGTAACTAGATACATATATGTCAATGGCATTCCTCCTTCATCAAGACACCCTAGAAGGCGCACCGTGCTCCTCGGGCGCATAGATCCTCACATATTCCTCGGACCCGGTTGTTGCGTCCTGCTCTGGGGTTCCGTTACCACGAGCCAGTTCGGTAGCTATTCGTGCATTTGGTGTAAGTGACGAGGAAGGCGTCTCAGCAACTGCTAACGATGCCGATCCGACCTGCAATGCCGCAAGGACCGCGCCGGTGTCGCTGCAGGCGGTCGTACGACTGTCGGCGTCAGTTGTACAACTCTCGTCGTCGACCCTGGTTACTTCGCCATCGTTGACGTCATCTTGTGCAGCTCCTCTCTCGACTCCACAACGTTTCCAAGACCTGGTCTCATAATCCCAGCGCAGTCCCATCCTGGACAGACTGTGTCAACAGATCGAAGAAAACAGTGAGCCAGCTTTTAGCATACCTGGTGAAATTCACCAATATGCTATGATTCAATAGGTCGTTATTTCAAACCGGGGCACACAACTGCATGAATACGTACCCCAGAATGCCGCGTGCATCAAGCTTCGCTAAGCACACTCTCAGGTCGTTTGCCCGTTTCTCATCCTGAACGTCCAACCCGTCAGTCGTGTGTATATCTACATTGACGTGGGCCAGATTGTCAAATACTGGTCGGGAGAGGATAGCATCGAGCTGTGGGAGTTCCTCAATCAGCATTCCATATTTCACGTCGTGGAATTCAGCATGGTGGAATTGCACCGAAATTCTGGATATATGCGGGGACGCCACTTGAGATAGGACGTCAATTATGGGAGTACACAGGCATGGTCTATTCTCGCTTCTGAAAGAGATGGTGAAATTGATATGTTCTAAGGCATGTATTCTCCGATACATCGAAGTATGGCGCTTTCATGAAATAGATTGAAATTACTGGAGCGGTATAATGATTCAAGACGCACCTGAAGTCGAGTCTGAATATGGCGACACGAGTTCACCATTTAGGAGAGGGGAACGTTCCCATAGGCTGAGACTAAGTTCATGCAATGATTGCCCAGTGTGCCTCACGAGCCTAGTAAGGGAGACGTCAGACTCTGTCATTGTCTGGAGGGACCGGGAAGGACAAAGTTTGATGTCTCGAAGTCGGCTACTGGTGCCAGTAGTAATGAAGAAGTCGACAAGATCATCCATGGAAAGAGGATCAGAGTGACTGTTGGACCGAAACTCGATAGCCACCAAGCCTAATGATAAATTCGGGTGCACAGGAATGCCCTGGATGTTAAAACCGTGCTTCGAAAACGTCCATGGCCCCCGAAAAACGAGATTTTCGAGGGCAGGAAGAGCGCACAGGAGGCGAGCAACGGTCGTGACTGAGGGGAAAATGGCACCCAGGAGATTCAGTGTGCGGACGGCGCTTCATAGATACGCCTGCGGAGGATTACAAAGAGGAACCAGGCATGTACGGGTACTAACGGAAGCCATGAAACTGACCAGTTCGACGAAGAGCGGACTGGGCTCAGGAGTGTTGAACATTCCGCTCAAAGACAGTGTCTCCAGCTGCGTACGCGGCAGAAGGCGGGATTGAGAGATGGTGGAAGGATGGAAAGGTTGTCGAGTGAATTGTACATTGATGAGTGTGAGACATTTGAGGGGGGGGCGCACACCAGCCGGCCAAGTGTCAGAATCGTCGGGAATATGATGTCGTAGAGGAAGAGCACGGTGATCGGGAAGCGAGCTAGGTCGCGAAACACGGCGTCCGCGTCGAGATCCGCAGCCTGCCACATCGCATTGGAGATCCATAACATTTCAACTGCAGGCCATCTTCCTCCGAACCTCGACGCAAACGTTGCCAGATGTGGAATCGGTCGGTGTCCGTCATTCCAGTTCCCTCCATTGATCCCCACCGTCTGTGGCCCGCGCCAGCGCCGCATCTCGCAGCCCGGAACCTGCAATCTGATGCGCTCCACCTCTTCCGTACTTATGAAGCTCATGGCCCCCAATAAGCACTCTTCAGCCATCGGCCGGAACTCTCTGCACACCGCTCGGCATCGTTCCAGCGCGTCGTACTCGCCTTCCTTGGCCAGGCCGTGGAAGATGTCCAGCCATATCTCATTCGAGAAGGGTAGAACCATAGTATGCAGAGCACTACAATGTGCCGGCCGTATCTAGTAAGGTATCAGCATGCCTCCCGAGCGCGCTCTCTGATGAAGCTCACCGCAAGCGTGAATGGGAGACCTTTAGTCCGCTGGGACCTCCCAAATCGTAGATGGGATGCACCTGTCGGGGCCCGTGCCCGTTTGTTCTGCACGGGTCATTGATATGAAGCCCTCCATTAGCAAGACACCGTGTACCACGCATCGCCTGCTCTTTCGATCTGTCTTATTCGTCCTCGCTCAACGGTCCAGGCCCTCTATCAGTCCCTCATGTTCATTGGGGACGCCGCCAGGCCCAGTCTTAGCACCTGCTCTCCCAGGGGAATCGTCAGCCATCCCCACATCGTCCTCAAGGACTTGGGACAGCCCGTTTGACAAGACGGTGCCACTTCCATCATTTACCCAACTCAAGAAACACTTTCGGTACAGCGAAGTAAAGCGATTGGAAAGGGGCATTTGGACTTCCAAATTGGTCATGTTCCTTACTTAGCGCGCGGCTTATCATTGTCGAAAGCAATCCGGATCGCGACCTTCTCGGAAGAGTTTCCTTAGGACACCCATGTGATTGATCAGGGACCGCAGGAGATACTAGATGATGCCCCATGTTCGGCATGCGTCCTTTCCAGCCTCACACATTGCGCGAGGCATTGAGATAAGACGAATGAGAGCGACGAACAAATGAAATCGGTCATCAATCAATTACATTGGAAGTAGCAATTGAGCGATATGAAGTGAGACGCACTGTCACGCGCAGAGCCAGACACGAGGCTTCCCGTGCTCCTGGGAGCCAAACGTAGTCCCATATAACCCTCAGGGAGGGCGAAGCCGCATATCTCTGCGAGGTATTCACATTGGGACTTCCACGACCTCTCAGCCCTCCGGTCGGTGCAAGGACCACAGTGGGCGTTCCCTTCTGGTGCGCAGCAATGTCATCGTACGAGAATCTCAAGTGACACTCACTCTGGACTGTTTCCACCAGTGGTTGCCCCGACGGCTATGCGTCGGCCCCTCCCTCTAGAGGTTTGGTTGCTGATCGTCGATGAACTTGGTGCGGCACGCGAATACGATGCGCTGGAAGCTTGCGCAGAGGCTAGTAGCAAGGAATCCCAGTTGCTGAATGAGAGAGCAAAGAAATACATTCCTAACGAACTGGGATTTAGGACGCCGGAGGAGGTAGCGAGCATCCGGGTGGCGCGGAAGCTGGGGTGGCTGGGACCAAAGTGCGTGCGCATCGAGGGTGGAGAGCATCGTGGCGAGCGGCTGCCGATTCCACACCTGGCGACATTCGCCTCGAGGCTCGCACGAAAGTGGTACAACGTATCGGTGATGGTGATTAAGAGAGCGGAGTGGCGGGCGCAGGATCTGGATTCCCCCTCCCTCTCGCTCAACCTGTGCTACTTCGCCTCGATCACCCGTCTCCACCTCCATGATGTTGCCTTTCCGACCGTCCGCGCATTTTGGCGTCTCGTCTGCGCATTCCCGGACCTTGTGACGCTTCGTGCCTATGACATCGAGATCGCCAACACTGCCATCGACGCACGAACGCTCGCTGCTCTGCGCCTTCTGTCCGCTCCCGTCGAGCTGGGCGTAATAGAAATTGTCACCGAGCAGCCTGGAGACTTCGCAGCGCGCACCGATTGTGCTAAGCTGTTCCAGGCGATCACACCGCAGGCGGTGCCATTTCTTAAGACGTCTCTATGGAGCTTGGTATCCGAGCTGGATTTCCAGCATGTCACCTGTTCGACGGCTGCTGCCTTTGCACGCTTGCTTTGTGCCCTTCCCGCCCTCAAGAAACTCTCCATTCGAGGGCCGTGCACGTTCTTGGAACAATCCACAGACGTCCCGGACATGACGTTTCGATTGGACCGACTCGATCTAGGCAAGGACTTCTCCCTGCAGTCTGAGTCTCAGTCAGTGGATGCTCTCATCGGCCTTTTCACTCAACCTCGTGCCGGTGGCGGCCTGCGAGATATCTCCGTGTGGCTGTCTCCGTACCTTCGTGTAATGACGAGCACAGATGTTGCCCTCAATAGACTGGTTAAGCATGCTGGTCGATCACTGAGTGGGCTTGGCCTAAGGGCGCTTCCGGAAGATGGCTTCCGACTGTACAGCAAGGCATCCATACTTGCAGCGCCAAACACAGGTGCGTCGCATAACATGATCCTGTACAGCTCACCCACGATCATACGCTCAATATATAGTCCGTTCCTTCAATATCGCGGCGAATACAGACCTCAGTTTTCTTGGCTGCTCGATCGAGTTCAAATCTGACAAATTTCAGGATTCTCCTCTGTTGGAGATGTTGCACAACATCACGTCGGAATGGATAACTCACGTGTCTGTGACTTTTCAAGTCAAGAACGCAGCCGATTTGCCAAGATTCTGGATTGCCCTGTCACAGCTCGATTTAGCCCTCTCCAGAAACGCCTTTACAAACCTCCGCAGGGTCCGATTATACTTGTGCGGGATTGAAGTGACCAATATGATTTCGGACTGTATCACGTTGTGTTTGCGGAGGTTATACAACCGTGATATCCTGAAGTAAGTACCCCATAGCGTCCTCATTGCTGTATTGACGGACGTGTGTTGTTCAAAGTATCGAAACGGGTGATCTATGAGGTATGATATACATTGAGATCCAACCAGTGGAATGTTTGCTTATGACTGGTGTCTGCAGGTGTGTGGCACAGACAGAACAGTTACGACTAGAGATCCCTCGCTCGTGCTGGGCATGAAACCCCTGTTATCTCACACATCTCACCAAATCTCAACACTACCGTGGCGCTCGTCGATTGTCCCGTATATATATCCTGCAAGCCCTCATCCGTACATCCCTCCGAGCTCCAATCGTCCCCTCCCTCTATGACGTCTGCTGGCGGCATCCTTCCGCCGTACCGAACTCAACATCATTCTGTCTGCGCACGGGTGTGCTGGAAATAACCCAAGAAGACAGTCAACACGTGCCAGCACGCACGCAGGCAGCGTCTTCCGCAAACGCAACTGGATGGGGAACCGGTCTCTATCTCTTCCGACTGATACACCTTGTCTATCCTCGCTACCCACCCATCATTCTGTGCGACTGGGTGCTCCGATGTTGGGTGTTTCTCCCGCTTTGACGCGCTCATGAGCTCCCCTCGACCTGCTCGATTCTCGTTCTCCAACAGCGTCTCAACCCCCCTCTCTGCTTGCATTCCCGCACTTCGCATCGTCCGCGACAGTACCATCCCGCCACAGTACGGCCCGGGATGTGCGTCAATTCGGTATCCTCGTTCCATCCCGTGCTGCGTCGTTTACCGGCGCAGCACGGCTCGCTCTTCGTTGCTGTGTATGCTCAGTACGTACTGCTACTCGCCCTCTCTGTCGCTATGTTTTGCATTTGTCCTGCTTGTCCTGACTGCTGCTATCGTGTTTTGTATGCGCTACTACTCGCTCCCGTGCTCTCCTCTGCTCGCTGTCTTGATTGTATTGTTTGCTTTGCTCAGCTATCGGTGCTTGATATCGCATTGCTTATGTACAATAAACGCTGCTCCTCGAACCTTTGAATTGCATTTACGTATTCGTGGAATGCAACAATGTTCATCAAAAGGAAGATTTGTCTGTCAGCAAACGCCGGTCTAGCCAACTCAGAGCGGTCGGAGCGCCGTAACAAACACGTCATCGAGAGATCCCGCGTCACCCGTACTACTAGTATGCGGCTCAGATGACGACGAGAAGATAATAGAGTGGCCGCGTTCGATCGCACTACCGATTTAACTGCAGCTGTTGGACATGTCAGGCAATACGGGAACCTACCAATCATCGTGCGGTTGATGAAGTGGCTGTACCCATGCACATTCGAGACCCTGACCCAGACAGACACCCACGAAAAATCGGCAGGACTGACCATAAACAAGTGCCGAAGCTGTGCCTACCTGGCCGCGAGGCAATGTCATTCTAATCCACGATATTCCCGGACCCCCGCGTCTCCACAGGTGCTGGACAAGGAAGGCATACTATCTCCCCATGTGATTCAGAGCCATTGATTCTATAATGGCAATGCGGTGCATTCGAACGGCCGGGCGATCTCAATAAAATTCATTGACGAGCATCACAACACCTAATTGTACCCCTCCGTAAGTCTAGATCCTGCGAAGTCTCCGAGATGCAGGTGACCTGTCAAAAAACAGTAATCAGCGTTCTCCAAGGTGAGTCTATAGCAATTGGCACGGCGCACACCCGGGTTCCGTTGACCTCGCAAGCTATGAACGATTTCGCTCCCCTTTTTTGGAAGGTCAATGCGAACATTGAATGAGGTGCATGTACTATAAAGGCAGCTCATACAACGGGTTATCCATATCTCCCACACCATGTCCATCCCCTTCATACACCTCTATATCAACGGTGGCGAGTGCCCCGCGAGCTCACAAGCGACCTTCGACGTGCTTAATCCATTCTCCGGGACACTCGTCACGCGTGTGGCCTCTGCGTCTCGCACAGACTGCAAAAGGGCTGTGGACGCTGCGGCGGACGCGTTCAGGACCTGGGAGCATTCCCCTCTCGGAAGTAGGCGCGACTATTTACTGAAGGCAGCTGATCTCCTCACCACGCCGAGATATCAGGAGAAGGCTGCGTCAGCTCTGAAAGAAGAAACGAGCGCGGGAGACTTCCTGGTCGGATTCAACCTCCACGTGGCGACAGAGTGGCTGCGCTGGATCGCGACGTTGGTGTCTGAGCTCAAAGGCGAGACGTTTCCATCGTCGGTGCCAGGTGGACAAGTCGTTGCGCTACGTAGGGCACAAGGCGTCATGTAAGTATTCCACGAATAATAATCATTTCACGCTCACCGAGTATGTTTTGCAACGTAGACTTGCAATAGCACCTTGGAACGCACCTCTGTTTCTCACCGTACGAGCTATCTGCTATCCCATCATCTGCGGCAACACCGTGGTGCTCAAAACCTCAGAAATCAGCCCGCGATGTCAATATCTGATCGCAGAGCTGTTCGCCGAGGTTAGTCCGGTGGTTCGGTGAAGTTATAGCGGACATAAGCAGTTGCAGGCGGGCTTGCCGAAAGGCGTTCTCAACGTGATACACACGTCCAAGGAAGACACACCGGCGAGGACAGCGGAGATCATAGCTGACCCCGCTATCAAAAAGATCAACGTTTGTGGTTACGACAATGTCCAGTAGGCGAGCTCACAATTGTGAGTATAGTTTACGGGTAGTGATCGCGTCGGCAAAATCCTCGCAGCGGAGGCGGCGAAGTACTTGAAACCATGCGTTTTTGAGCTTGAAGAAAAGGCACCGGTGATCGTAAGCCTTCAAGTCCTCATTCTAAATGCACCACGAAATGCTCATTCAACACCAAAGGTCCTCGACGACGCCGACGTGGAGCGCGCCGCAAAAGCCATCACCTTCTCTGCGCTGCTGTTCTCTGGTCAGATCTGCATGTCGACAGAGCGCGTCATCGTTCAGCGAGGAGCAGGAACAAGCCTCACCAAAGCGCTCGTGGACGAGTTCAGTAAATTTAGGTCTGGCAGCCCCGAGAAGAAGCTTGGGGCACAGTTCTCAGAGTCATCCGCGGAGAACATTGTCTCGATGCTACGTGAGGCACGGGCAGAGGGTGCAAGGTTCTTGCTCGGTGATGGAAAGCGAGATGGCGCGGTGGTGCAGCCACATATCGTGGCCGGGGTCAAGCCAGGTATGAAGCTCTGGGAGCGAGAATCGTTCGGACCGGGTGCGTAGTGCATTCTCCCATTTGCATGTTTGGCTAAGCGAAGACGCCGACGCTCCTAGTTGTAACTCTAACTGAAGTCGACACGATCGACGAAGCCGTCGAGCTCGCAAACGCGACCGAGTATTCGTTGGGTGCAGGCCTCTGGACCACGAATATACACCATGCAATGGATGTGTCGATGCGCATAAGAGCAGGTACATGAAGTCTAGCCGCGCTTTGTCGGAAACTGTGAGCTTGATACATATTTGCACCAGGCTGCGTAACCGTGAATGGACCTACCGCACACCTGGAAGATGCCAAAGATCATACGGGGCTCGGGTAAGTTTCGTTGCCAGACTACCAATTGCTGTATCCACAGTGCTAATTGGACCGAATGTAAAGTGGAGCATCAGGTTACGGCCGCTTCAGTGTCCACGAATTCACTGACGTGCGAATGGTGGTCTTAAATGGAACGAATTCGCCCTCGTACCCCTAGCATAGCGTCCGTATTGTCCCTGAATGCCTGTGTTCTCAATGCGAAGTAACGGTTCATGGCTTGATCACAGCCTGTAGGGCGCACTTAGCAAGAAAGAGCCAATATCTGCCTTTTGTTAAAGTTCGTCCGAGACCCGAAGCGAGAACGATCAACAAAGATATATCGCGTTTGTCTGAGCTCTGTCAAACGCGTAAGGAACATACAGGATGGCTCGCGCAAAGTCTGCGAGGTACTACAAACAATGCCAAATACAGTGGCATGCGCTCGCCACAATCTCAAGTTCCAACACCTTTCAACTTGAAAACGCAGTCAGTGGGTGTACGTAGGTGCTCCAAGATCACCGCAATGCACATCTACAGAATGGGGGCCAAGAAATAGTCAGATCCAAGCCAGTGACGACTGAAGGGCCAAGTGCCACGGCGCTTGCTTGGCTCTTAAAGCTAGACTTGGCGCTCATTTCCGTGCCCACGCTGGACCCGGCAAAGTATCGTCACAGCCACAATTTACCAAATCAAGACGTTATTTCCATGGCCCGCTCATCCCCGCTGGAAGTCAGACTGCGCACACTTTGAGTGCAACAGGTCTAGCGGTATGGAATCAGCTATAACATTAGATGTGAAAAATGCTTCTTCCCATCTGATATCCTGTCAACCCGTGGTTGAAACGAAGGCACAGTCGTCAGGTGCACGACATCGCCGTCTCAATTCCGCCAATTCCGGAAGTTCTGGACCGGCCAAAGACCGAATACACACAATACCAGTATGTTTTGTAACAATATCATCACAATATATGCAATCCTGGGTACTGACGCACAGTGTTATTATGAACGCACGTGGCTCTCGCGACACGTCAATCACACGAGGTGTCAACGGCGGACATGTTCAACACTGAACAACGGCATACTTGATGGTCGACAGCGCTGGCGTACTTGGCGATAAGCGCCGAGAGTGACTCTTGTATACGCTCTCCGGGGCCGGGAACATCGTGCCAAGTCGTGCGGACGTGCCTGAATGATCCTGCCATATAATGTCAATTCTACAGATGCTCAGGGACCGAGCATTCCTTCTCTCTTGCTTTCTAAGTCTTCTTGCCCGACATGGCCTACGCGGCCTACTTTCTCTCCTTTCTCCTCGCTGTCGGGCTTGCTAATGCGGACCCTATTCACATCCCGCTCACTCGCAGATCGCACCTTAGCCGCCGTGCGTTGCTTGACCGTCTCCCGGCAGCTGCAGACCATCTGCGTGTCAAATATGGATACAAGACTGCCGCGTCAAGACTAACCGAGCGCGGCCAGAGTGTGAACATACCAATCACTGATCAGGTAGGCTGATGGGTCACAAGGCGACATATACCTGAACGCGCTAACGCGCGACATTCATTTTCCCCATAGGATTATGACTCTTCGTATGTAGGTATGATATCCATCGGCACCCCGCCCCAAAGTCTTCCTGTGCAGCTGGACACCGGCTCTTCCGACCTCTGGGTTGTGTCAACGTCATGTACGGAGTGTGAGGAGGAGGACACGGCCGCATTCAATCCCTCCGCGTCCTCGAGTTTTAAGCTGAACACCACCACCCCATCAACGTTCGGTGCACCTCACGGGGACATCGTGCTTTCATATGGCAGCGGCTCAGTCACGGGCAAGGTTGCGTCCGACACCGTCACCTATGGGAACATGACAGTCCAGGCGCAGACCTTCGTCGCCGTCGACGCGATGGACGAGGCGTTCTTTGAGCTCAACACGACGGGCATACTGGGCCTCGCGTTCCAGGGCCTCTCAGCAACACAATCGGTCCCCTTCTGGCAGGCGCTCGTCAATGCGGGCGAACTGTCTAACCCAGAGATGTCCTTCTACCTCATACGCGACGACGGCGAGCCCTTCGCGACATATGACGAGTTCGGCGGTGTCTTCACGCTCGGCGGCACGGACAGCTCGCTTTTCATCGGTGACATTGACTATCAGGATCTCGTCGGCAGTCCCCTCTACTGGACGCTCTCTGTCTCTGGCGTCACCGTCCAAGGTTCTCCAGTCAGCATTGCTACAGGAAATTCCTCACTAGCGGCGATCGACACTGGCACGACATTGATCGGTGCTCCAGCCGCCGCCGCCGCGGCCATCTACGGCGCCATCGAGGGCAGTCAGGCCCTCACTGGGGAATATGATGGCTACTACACGTTCCGTAGGTGTCTTTTGAAGCTGGAGGCCTGCGTCATCTTCTAACGGAGGCCATTCCCAGCGTGCTCTACCACTGCCAACGTGTCCATCGCATTTGGTGGACGGTCATGGCCGATTAACCCAGCTGACATGAACTTCGGAACTTTCGATGGCGAGTCGTGCCTAGGCGCCATCTTCGTAATAGATCTCGAGGGCTCTGGAGACGCTGCGACAGACATCGTAGGAGCTGAGATTCCCACATGGGTCGTCGGTGATGCGTTCCTTGTGCGTTGGAATTACCCAGTGCAGTGTTGAATCCAGATATGCTCATGGGCATCGCTACAGAAAAATGTCTACAGCGTCTTCCGGGCGAATCCCCCTGCGGTAGGTTTCGCGGCGCTTACTGACAGCACGGCACAAGGCACTGGTGCGTCAGACAATGTTCTTTAGATGCGAGATGAAATCGTGCAGTTCATCATCAATTCGGTATTCTAGGTTTTTCCAGCGTGCTATCAGGCTCGCCTACTACTACCATCCGTTCCGCGAGTATCACTGCGAGCGAAAATCCTTTGCCAATCACCAGTAAGAAGAAGCCTGCTTTTCGATCCAATACTTGTGCTTATAACGGTTCCAGGTGGGACTAGCAGCGTGTCGACAGGCACTTTAAGCGCCTCGTCGACGGCCACGTCGCATGCGTCGTCAGCTACTGGCTTGATTATTCCTTCAACCCTTACTTCGTGTGTTCTCGCCTTCGCTGCGGCGCTTTCCAGCTGGATCACTCTATGACGATCTTGCCAACGAGCACACGCAAGGGAGCAGTTTGTTGTGTTATTTCACAGTATCTGTGCTCTTACTGTTTGAACGACGCGAGAGACACTGGTGATGGTTCTGCTTTTCTAGGGACAATGTTGGGATACTGGGACTTTGTAAAGCGCCTTCAATCGTTGATCTGGCGCGTTCATTAATCGTGTAGCATGAATGTAATGAGTGGTACTCATACTTAGGGTTAATTACAGGGAACTGACTTGTGCTATCACGGGATGTTACTGATGGCCGTGCCCAATACTCGATGCAGTCAACACGTTAAGTATCCACAGCGACATTTCATATAACGCTCTACTTATCAAAGAAACGGATATGCACGCCTATATACGCGATCGACTTGTCCTCGATCGAGATTCGGATCCACGACGTCTGATTCTATACCTTACAATGCTTATCCTATATGACCTCTGTAAAATCTTGCAAGGGAGTAGACGTGGTCGATAGCTCCGTACGTTACGTACACTTTGTTCGGCACCCAACAACGGTTGCCGTTACAATTGACTCGTGCGCTCCGCGGGGTACTGCGTACACCACAGAGCGCCGAAGACTTCACGACGATGCTATGCAGGGGAGAAACGTATCAAGATGTGCTACATCTACTTTGTACATCTGCGCTCTAAATGACATACAGGAACACCGCATTTGGGACAAAAAGAGACAGCTTCGGGAATGAAGCTTACTTCTCACAGAGACCACCGCCCCAGTCAGACCACCCACTACCGAAACGATCACCATCAGCCAGGGGCCACAGCGTCGAACCGGATCGTCCATTTATTTGCAATGAGTCCAGACTCTCACGTCCGAGATGCGCAGTTGCCTACGGGTCATTCAGCTTATATGCCGACAGGAATTTGACGCGCAGGCACCGCCTGCTAGCGATGTTCCCCACTTCTCTTTTCTCCCTCTTGCTATCCCTGGCCGCCCTTGTAGCGGCGGACCCAGTCCACATCCCTCTCGCTCGACGGTCAAACCATGCCCGACATACGTCACTCAACCGCCCTCCGCAAGACTTCCTACTCATCCTCGACACCAGTTCCTCCGACCTCTGGTTCTCGTCTATCGACTGCTCCGGATGTCCACCTGACACGCCCAGCTTCAGCACGTCCGCCTCTTCCACGTACAAGCCGAACACGTCCACAGAGGGCATTAGCATCACGTACGGCACTGGAAGTGTCGACGGTGTGCTCGGCTCCGACAGGTCAGTATGGCAGGCCTCACCGTCGCGCAACAGACGTTTGTCCTCGGGCTCGAGCTCGGCCAGGACACGCTCGACCAGAACGTATCTGGGATCATGGCTGGACCCGCAGGTGACTCATCATCTGCACCTTGATGCGTGTAGATCAGCTTCATTGCTCCCTCGTCGACAAGTTGACGTACTATGGTCGTCCGGTGCGAATACGACCATGGACGTTCCCGAACCGGCCGCTGCATCGGGAAATGCAATTCCGTCGCCGCACGCCGATGCGGCAGGTACTTGTGTATACACTAGATTCGACGAAGGTCTCTGAGTGTCGGTATACGCATCTGCTTCAGCTTCATGCAGGGTTGCACCGGTAGTAGCATTACTGGTACGCCTGTCGTCGTCAGCACTAGCGTCTGCATTGGGTACCACAGCGTCCCGTGCGGAAATTTACTCGATCCCGAGACGCTTCCATTCACCAATCTCCTCGTCCAAGTACAATCCAATCCTGGATAACCTGCGTCAGCGAGCTGCAAAGGCGATTGGCTCTGCATATGGCGTACATGATATTATTTACGTTAATGCTGTGAATGAGAACATTGTTATGCGGATAGCGGAGCGTACAAGATGAAGGAAACGCACCCCAGAATACCGCGTGCGTCAAGTACGGGCAAGCACAATCTGAGCTCATGCGCTGAATCCCTATCCCGCACATCCGAGCTGTCAAGTGTTGTCACGTCTACCACAACGTGAGTGAGGCCATCGAAGATCGGCGCGGAGAGAACAGCATCGAGCTGGGGAAACCCCTCCATCAGCTTTTCCAGGTCTACGTCAAGCTCTACACCAAGCTCGCCGGGCTGGCAATAAGAGGTGAAATGCACTTGAATTATGGATATATGCGTGGATGTGACCTGTGATAGGATCTCGACCATCGGTACACACGAATGTGTCATTTCTTGATGAGTGACTTGAACTGTGAGATCGAGGCGTTCGAGACACGTGTTCTCAGAAACGTCGAAGTACGGGGCTATTGAAATGGATTGAGGATATGCTAGAGAGAACGTAGTAGGAGACGCACCCGCACTGTGGTCGGAATGTACCCATTCATACGTGTCATTTGATATCCAATAGGATAGGGTCGAGTCGAGTGAAAGGTGGCGGAGCGATTGTGCTGAATGTTTGACGAGTCTGTTGAGGGTGACGTCGACTTCGTTCGCTACCCGGAGAATGGGCGACAGGCATGCCTTGATGCGCCGAAGACTTTTGCCGAGACCGGTGGCGACGAAGAAATCAACCAGGTCAGTCACAGAACAAGGCTCGGAGTCTATGCAGAAGCCATCTGTCAGTTGAACAACTGCTAATTGTAATGGTATCCCAGGGGGTACAGGCACGCTTCTGAGGTCAAAGCCGTGTTTCACGAACGCGCATGATCTGCATAAGTGCAGGCTGTCGAGTGCAGGGAGAGCGCACAGGAAGCGAGCAAATGTCGTGACCGAGGGAAACGTGGCATTGGCAAGTGTCAATTGTCGAACGGCAGTCCATGGAGACCTCTGCGCAAGGTTTGGAGCGACCGCGCGTCTCCTAAAACTGAGGGCAATCATGAGGTCGATCCATTCAACGAAGGAGGGTCTCAATTCTGTGCCGCTGTACTGATGGGTCAAGGCAAGTCTCTTCAGCTGCGGGTGTGGCAGAAGTTGGAATCGAGAGAGAGTGCCTGCGTCAAAGGGATTCTGAGTGAATTGCACGTCCTTGAGATATAGCGCTTCGAGGTGTGGGAGGGCACAGACGAGGCGGCCAAGCGTCAAAATCGACGGCAAGGTGACGTCGACGAGGTGGAGGTCGATGATCGTAGAGGCGGCCAGATCGCGCAAGACGGCGTCCAGATCGAGATCCCGCGTCCGCCACACCGCGTCGGTGATCGACAGGGTTTGTATGCGGAGCCATCTCCCTGCGAGTTTCGACGCGAATGTCGCCAGATGTGGAATCGGTCGACGCCCGTCTTTCCTGTCCCCGCCTATGATAGACACCATCTGTGGCCCACCCCAGCGTCGTAACCTACCACCGGAAGCATCCACCTTGATGCGCTCCACCTCCTCTATATTCTTGAATAACATGATACTTCTGAGGCACTCCCGTGCCATCGTCTCGAACTCTCTGCACGCCTCTCTGCATCGTTCCAACGCGTCGTACTCGCCTTCCTTGGCCAGGCCTTTGAAGATGTCCAACCAGATCTCATTTGGGAACGGCTGCACCATAATATGCCGACCTTCACGACGTGCCAGTAAACCTAGCTATCAAGATGTTTGCATGCATCCCGATCGCACGATCTAACAGAGCTCACCGCAATGTTGCAGTATCAATGCGAGGTCTTCAGTCTGCCGTGGTCTGGCGAGCCGTAGTCGAGACGAGGTGTGTGTACAGCTAGTTGATATACATTTGTTGATTGCATGAACCTTTAGCATCACATAGCTTTCATATGTCGCCTACCGGTTTGACCGTGCGAATCATGCCGGCTCAATCCTCAAACCCTCTTTTGAGCGTCTTCTCTTCTTCGCTGACGCTGGCCGATCCAAGCCTTCCTCAGTTTCTCAATGACGTCCTCCGAGTCCACCGTCAGCACCGCGGATGGCATGACTCAAAAGTTCACGAACAGTCAGCAATACCGCTTCCGCTTTATCAGAGGCTTTATTGGTATGGACAGAGACGCGTTGGCGTGTGATATGCCATGACACCGCTATTCAGTCGCGGCGTAATTGGACAGTCTCATTCATACTCGGCCACGTAGGCTGCCCACGCAAGGGACTTATCCTCCATCTAGATCTGTAAGTTCGCTGCACGCTTTACAACGTCTTTCTGTAGGAACCACGAGCTACGAACAACCTCACCATTCGCGGGGCTGTGATCCTTGGAAATTGGCATCGCGCTCATACCTCCCATGGTGCCTCGTTACTCGCCTGAGCGAAGCTTAAATCGTTTCCGGAATATAAACACTGCATGAGCGACATTGCTTAGGCCAAGAAGACACGTATCTCTGATTTGTTATATTTGTACCGGGCAGCAAAGTATATTGACCCTCGTTATCCTAGGTATGCGCGTTCGCATCATCGCGCACACCTTGATTGACAGATCGCAACCTCGTGACTATCACGCCGAGGCCCTCACCGCTTCCAGTTTGCTTTTCAAGCTAGTAGTCCGACCTATCTAAGTAGTATGTGTGCCTTTGACTATGTTATTCTGTATCCGCAGCACCGGTCAATTGGCTCGTGTTTGTGTCCCTGATCTCCCAATAATACGCAAGTTCGATGGTAGGGTTGCAAACATACGCAGTATATTGTTTGTATCACACCTCGAACGTGTAGTATGACAGCTGAGAGAATGACAACGGAGCGCAGATCTATCAAAGAGGGTCTAGTAGAGCAGATCGATAAAGAGGCACACGCACAGCACATACTGTTATTACAGCAGGCGACTATACATACATACATACATCCACCGCCGTGAACCTGCGGATATCGCGAAATCATCCTGACCAAACTACGCAGCATGTAACCTGTCAATGACGGCCTGTGATCGGCGACAGATGAGAGCCAGGGCGAAGAGGAGTCGTGACGGACGTCTCTGGCATTGCGCAGCTCGTTCACGCGAGCTGCAGCGTGAGTCGTCTGGAATGGCGCCAATATGCGCGGAAAGATAAAGGGCTCCCCCAGATCGGAGTGGGAGTTTGAGGTCCACGAGACAACGAACAGGCAGCGAGGGCTGGTGAGTAGCCTTCTCAGACTCGGCCTTTACATTAGTGTCGACCCGTCGTAGGCAAAACACCGTCCATAGCACTGAGGCACCACGACGCCGTCGCTCCCTCGTACGTGGCAGCGGCTGAGAAAAGTATACGCAAGGCGGTAGTGGCCGCAGGTACGGTAGGTGCACTGGAGGAAAGGCGACTTGTGCAGATCTGCGGCGGATTCGCGAGGATAGTATGGGGGCTCGGGGCAACGCGAACTTGATATATGATGAAGGTAAATGGACCGGATAAGCTCAATTTGCTGCAGACGGAGACGTCACTGAGCTTGACGAATGCAATGCGAGCAACGCGCGTGATGGCTCCGACGTGGTAAGTCATCGCGTTCGCGTTCCGTGTATCGTAAGACATCGTGAGCGGCACATCGCAGAGAGGTCAACCTCTCGTACACGACGGAGGTCGAGGAAGGTAGAGACAAGGATATAGTAGCGGGGCGTGCAGCAGAGGATACGCAATTTGTGGTGATTTGAGACGGAGTCAGCAAGAGAAGATGGGACCTTGGAACGAACATGAATGCAAGTGAACCGGGAATTCTAGCCGGATGTCGCTATGGTCGAAAACTTCGGGGTAAGCAACAGCGCTAGCTTAAGAGAGATGAACTTAGTCAGCGCCCCTCGCTCGGTATAAATGATTCCTATACGGGCGGCCTCGGATCCGCGGATGATTCATCATGTGCACCTTGGTGCGTGTGGATCAGTTTCGTTGATCTCTCGTCGCCAAGCAGACCAGACGTACCATGGTCGTCTGGCGCAAATATGACCACGGATGTTCCCGAATTCGTCATTGCATCAGGCGGTACATTTCCAGCGTCGCACGCAGATGCGGCAGAGACTCGTGCATCCATTAAATCCGACGAGAAAGGTCTCTAAGCGTCGACATAGGCGGCTACTTCATGCAAGATTGCACCAGTAGTAGGGCTTTGGGTACGCCTGTCGTCTTCAGCGTTAGTCTCCTCATTCGTTACCACAGCGTCCTGTGCGGCAACTCTCTCGATCCCGCGACGTCTTAATCCACCCGTGTCGTCGTCCCAGTGCATTCCAATCCTGGACAAACTATGTCAATGAGATAGAAAGACGGTGAGCCCACCGTGCGGCGTACAGGATGCCATTGAACCATATGCTGTGAGTCAACATACTGTTGTTAAAACAGCGGTGTACAAGATGCAAGGTCACACACCCTAGAATACCGCGTGCATCAAGCCTTGGCAAGCACAATGTAAGCTCATGCGCTGAATGTTCATCTCGCACATTCGATCTGTCAAGTGTTCTCACGTCTACAACAACGTTAGTGAGGCCATCGAAGATCGGCCCTGAGAGGATGTCATCGAGCTGGGGAATTCCATCCATCAGCTCTCCCAGATCCACGTCGAGACGTGCGCCGGTATGATGACAAGAGATAAATTTCACTTGAATCCTCGATATATGCGTGGATGTGATCTGCGACATGATCTCGGACACTGGTGCACACAGATGTGATCTGTTTCCGTGGGCGAATTGAACTGTGAGATCGAGACGTTCGAGGCACGTGTTCTCAGAGACATTGAAGTATGGGGCTATTTAAATGAATTGAGGATATGCAAGAGAGAACATACTAGGAGACGCACCTGCACTGTAGTTTTGATGCACCCAGTTTTGCCGTAAAGAGGATGAGTGGAGTGAGAGATGGCGGAGTGATTGTGCTGAATATTCGACGAGCCTGCTGAGGGCGGCGTCGATTTCGCTTGCCACCCGAAGAAACGACGATAGGGATGCGTTGATGCGGCGAAGACTTTTGCCGAGACCAGTGGCGATGAAAAATTCAACCAGGTCGGCCACAGAATCAGGGTCAGAGTATATGCAGAAGGCGTGTGTCAGATCGACATCTGCTAGTTGTAATGGTAAGCCAAAGTGTACAGGCACGCTTCTGAGGTCAAAGCCGTGTTTCACGAACGCGCATGATCTGTGTAATTGTAGGGTTTCGAGTGCAGGAAGAGCGCACAAGAGACGAGCAAAGGTCGTGACCGAGGGAAACGTGACAGCGTCGAGTGTCAATTCTCGAACGACACTCCATGGGGACGCCTGCGCAAGATTGGGGGGAGTGACTGGACACCTCCTGTTGCTGATGGCAGCCATGAAGTCGATCAGTTCAACAAAGGAGGGGCTCAGTTTTGTGTCGTTGCTCCCATGATCAGAAGACGGAAATGAGAGATGGTGGATGCATTAAGAGGATGCTGGGTGAGTTGCACGTCGCTGAGATATAGCACTTTGAGGCGTGGGAGGGCACAGACGAGGCGGCCAAGCGTCGAAATCGACGGGAAGATGATGTCGTAGAGGTAGAGTTCGGTGATCGAAGAGACGGCCAGATCGCGCAAGACGGCGTCGACATCGAGATCCCGCGTCCGCCACACCGCGTTGTCAGTCGACAGCTCGTCGACGCGGGGCCATCTCCCTGCGAACCTCGACGCGAACGTCGCCAGATGTGGAATCGGTCGGCGCCCGTCTTCTCCGTGCCCGCCGTTAACGGACACCCTCTCTGGTCCACCCCAGCGTCGTAGCTTACCACCGGAAGCATCCACCTTGATTTGCTCCACGTGCTCTACATATTCCCGAATACCATGGTCCCGTTTAGGTACTCCTGTGCCATCGTCTTGAATGCTCTGCACACCACCCTGCATCGTTCCAACGCGTCGTACTCGCCGTCCTCGAACAGGCTTTTGAAGATGTCCAACCATATCTCATTCGGGAAGGGCTGCACCATGGTATACAAAGCTTCACGACGTGCTTGTGATCCTAGTTATCAAGGTGTTCTCATGCATCCCTATCGCGCGATTTGACAAAGCTCACCGGAATGTCCGAACAGTCTCAATGCGAGGTCTTCGGTCTGCCGTGGTTTGGCGAGCCGCAGTCGAGACGAGAAGCGTACGCATTCATTTCGTACAGCTAGTCGATATGCATTTGCTGAGTATGTCAAACTTTAGCGTGACGTAGCTTTCATGCATCGCCCTCCGATAAGACCCGTGTCACTCACGCTGGCTCAATCCTCCAGATCCCAAACCCCCTTTTGAACGTTCTCGGTTATTCGCTGACGCTCGCCAATTCAAGCCTTCCACAGTTTCTCAACGACATCCTCCAATGTCGCCGTCAACATCCCAGCTAGAGGAACTTCGAGCTGCCTTATTGGCCACAGGGCAGCGAACCCAGTGTGATCAATGAGACACTACGACCGTACCCTGTTGTATGGGTTTGTCCCCGGTTCGTCCTCGTTGTTGCACAGCATCGCTGATAGGCTAGCAGGCACTACGATCTTAGGTGTTTCAACGTCAGGTTTGATTGCGTGGATGGTGACTGACTGCGTATGTGCGCAAATGGTCGATTAAGAGGACACTTTACCAAACGGCAAGCCGTCGCACGTATAGCCTAAGGCGGCGTAAGTTTCGGCAAATCAGCAATGCTCATCCTGGCACTGATCGAGTGTTGTGTTACCTAGGGACATGTACTCAGCGTTTGCAATGCATCGTAGGAAAGAGTACTACTGGTAACACGATGGTGGGTTTAGTCTAAGACTGTCTCCGTTATGGAGCCATTGCTCCGGATCTGCGATTCCATTCCTTAACGGACGAAGTCAATCCTGGCCGCTTCCTTGACGAGCGCGTTGCGAGGCTCGTAACGAAGGTTCCACTCATATTCCTGCGGTTCAACGCCGGCCCACGCATCTGCCTGGAGCGACAGGTGTATCCTTTCACATATCTCCATCCTTATTCGCCGAGCCACCGACGTCGTGTTTACTCATAGTTCGCATATAACGAGATGTCCTGACCAAGCTGCTGGAACAGATCATATAATGACATAAGCTCGCAAAAGTGTACGTACTGTCTGCAGCTCAAATCGAGGACTCCAAGCTGCCAAAGCAATGCCGATGCGATTATACATACCCCGCTGCCTCTCCTTTACTTCACTTACTGCATAGGTCCGCCCCTTCGACAGCTTACTATCAGATACGGGGTTTTGCAAAACCCATCAATTTTGCAGAACTGCGTGATCTCCTCTACACACCGTGGAAATTATAATTTGATCATTGTAGATGCCAGTATGCACTTAGTATACACTATGCGCAAGAGCGATTGAGAGGAAATGAAGGTGAAGTGAAATGACGGCCTGCAGACTGTTCTTAAGGTGTTCTGCAAACATGTGGTGAGCGAGATCCAGAGACAATCATTGTATTTCTTAATGATCAGACATCCGATCCGTTATATTACAGCTTTGTGTTCTCTGGTACACCAGCCCGATTCACCCAGCAAGACATGGCTGGTGGGCGATGGCTGTTCTGGTTGAGCAAGCGTGACACTCGCCACTGTCAGCGTGATATGTTCACACTCCGCGTTCGATCATGGCACGATGCGGCAGCGCACTTTGCAGTCCTGCAACATTTGCCGAGCGGAGTTCAAAGTTGCCGCTGTGACCCAGGCGTGATAAAATTTGCAGAACTACTGCAATGCGAGGCCTCGAATGCGGCATCTCGCTACCACTGGGTGTCCTTCGTGTATGGGCCCCAGCCTCGTTCTGGGTACTCTTCCATGTATTTACAACAATGCCTGAGTGAAATAACAATGATCCTTATGGTGGTTCAAGCAGAGCGAAGGGAACAATGCATGAGTTTGCAAAACCCTGTATCTGATAGTACGAATGCTCGCTCAGTGCTTCATCTGCATTGTGCGGCGCTGGCGTGAGGCTGACAGTCGCCTTAGTGATGGAATCAATGGCAATTCTGATCACTATGGTCAGGATCGAGTGTGCAGAGCAGAATAAGGCGCATACTAGTCAGACGAGTAGCCCGATGGTGTGTGTCTCATCTATCCGAGTGGAGATGATACCTCTGATGTAGCTAACTTGAAACTTCAAGAAATTACAATGCACAGAGCTCCATCGCATTGACAATATCCTGAGTGTAGTGCACCATCGCGAGTAGGCCGCGCAGTATCCACTCGCGCGAGCTTGACGCATGCAATAAGTAGCCACCTCAATTACTGCCGAAAGTCCATCCACACTGCCTTCCTTGTGCAAGAGCGTAAGTACTTGACAATGACGTCCAGCGCACCACGCATACCGCTATGAACACAAGCAAACTCATAAAGCGGGAGCTGTGCGGAATGTCGTAGTGCTAAAGATGTGACCTGGAGGACTCTTCTGGTACCAAGACGTCCGCGGGCGTGTGGTAGAAATGCGAGCAGCCTAAGGGTGAGTATGTGGAGTACGTGATGGGTGCTGAGTGGACTACCTCCGGATGGGACGCGATACCTACCCTTGACGTCTGATCGGAAGTCTGTATCAAAATGGCAGATGATTCCTACAAGTGTTTCAAGCGCTTTCCGGGAGAGTAAAGAAGTATACAAAGGCGAGCGAGGCGGGCATAGACAGATGTTCCACAAGCCTTCTCCACAGTTTAGAGGATGAGTAGCTGCCGCTCTGTACTTACTTCTCGCGACTCCAAAGATAACTTGTCAAAAATATCCAGAGCACGATGACCTCAAGTAGATGTCAGCGGAATGTGCTACCAACTTCAAGCTCCTTCCGCAAGATGTTGAAGAATGGCTCCAGCAAACGATGTACACATACACACACGTGACCGAGCTAAGCTGGGATCAAGACCAGGAAGCATGCCATATAAGGCATTCTTACACAAACAACTTGCCATCCACTCCATCGCCAAGTTCGTCCATGCGCTCTTCACGGAGACAAACTCGATGTGATGCTGCCGATCGTATGAGATCTCTCGCATGGGTACATACTGCCTTTGTGGGATCGATGAGTGGCATTGCCCGAATCAGCTGCAGGAGATGGCATCTCTGCAACTGATCTATACAAGGCCACTCAGTCCGAAAGATGGCTGTAGGTTTGACGGTACGGGCTGTGACGAGTCGGCTCAGTGTCAAAAACAACGGTCAGATGACGTCGTAGAAGTTGAGGTCGGTGATCCAACAGACAGCCAGATTGCGCACGACGGCATTCAGATCGAAATCCTGCGCCTGCGACGCCGCGTTGTAGACCCGCAGCTCCTTGACGCAAGGCCATCTCCAGGCAAACCTCGACGGGAACGTCGCCAGATGTGGGATCGGTCGGCGCCCGTCTTCCTGGGCTCCGCCTATGATGTCTAGTGTCTCTGGCCCACCCCAGCATCGCAACCTACCACCGAAAACATCTACCTTGATGTGCTCCACCTCTCTACATTCTTGAATCCCATCTCGACCTCTCAGCACTCCCCTGCCATCGCCTGGAGCCCTCTGCACACCTCTCGGCATCATTCCAGCGTGTCGTACCTGCGTTTTTTTGTCAGGTTTTCGATGAGGTCCAACCATATATCCATTGGGAAAGGTGACATCATGATATGCAGAGCGTCACAAAGTGCTAATCGTCTTATCCAGCCAGGAAATCGTGTGCCTCCCGAGTGCGCCGTTTGACAGAGATCACCGAAAGCGGACGTCGTTGACACTTTCTGCTCAGCCTCAAGGCTCAAGCGCACGCGCAAGGACGACAACTCAATTCCAAAACACCGTCATAAAGATATCTCGGCACTAGCAACAGTTATTTGATCCATGGATTCTTTTCTGCCCCCTGTTCCACCCATATTTCGTTCCAACTTGAGGCCCTTTGTAACTGACAAATTTGTGTATCGGTCAATGCAATGTATCATACATATTCTATTCATCATCAGAGGATCGTCGGTGAGCTCGGGCCGTGCCAGCATCCTTGGCAGTATTTCGAGTCGACCCAGACAAGGGTAATTGTATATTTGGATAGAGGATGTAACAAAAACCAAAATAATGAGTCGACCCAGGTTCGAACTGAGGACCTTCTGTGTGTTAGACAGATGCGATAACCAACTACGCCATCGACCCGCTTATTGGGTTGGGCCACGTAAACAATCTGATAAGCGCCTACTGCTCCACAAACCGATCGTGCCTTTTCCGCTTCGAAGGAGTACTTGATCGCATGCGACTTTAGGTGATTTTAAGTTGCTTCCACTGTCCGTTTTGTGGTTGAATCAGCTCGACCACAGGCACCATGGTGACAGAGGATGGAAACGCCATAACTACCAAACTGCTAACCCTGCTGAATGTTTCCGCCACGAAAGCGACGAAGCGGAAAAGACCTCACGAGGACGAAGCGAGCCGTACACAAAGATTGAACAAGCGAACGACGGCCGAATACATCTTGTCTGAGGCGGGGGAAAGCCAGAAGCCCTCTGATGACGTGTCTGCAGATACTGTAACGCCAGAGAAAGAAGAGGATGCTAAGTCGGAAGAGGTGGAGGAACTTGAGGGTGCGTATGTGCATTTTTGCCTAACTGTTAGGCGACCCACGCATCACAGGTACCGCACAAGACTCTTACGAGGAGCACTTCGGCGCGCAGTCATCATTGGTCTCACAAGTAGCGCGAGAAGCCGCTGACCAGAAGGCCTGGACGACATCAAGAGAGAAGTATGGCAAACTTGGGAATGTCATAGTCGCAGTGCCAGATGGAACAGATTTTCTTCCCCTGCACAAACAAGGGCAAAAACCACCAGTATGCTCGTCCAATCCCTCGAGTCTGATAACTGCTAACGTTCGTCAAAGCTGCTTGACAAACTCAAGGAGCCTCTGCTGTCGCGACAGGCCAAGCTCCCGCGGGGTACGCACGCTACATACCATTAAATTTCTCCCGAGCGTGTTTAACGTCAACATCAGAAATTGTCGAACTGCAAAACGACATGTTGTCGATGTTGTCATCTCAGCGTGACCTATACTTCGCCCGTACGCCGCTGGATGCACACCAAAGCATGCGAGAAGCAATCACGCTTCATGCTCTCAATCATATCACAAAGTAGGTCTCACCCGTTCCTTCGTCTGAGAATGAGCAACTAATCACTTTGCAGAAAACGGCGTCGTGTGTTGAAGAACAACGAGCGCCTCGCCCACGCGTCCAAGGCCGGTAACCCAGCACCTGAAGATGTCCAAGATCAGGGCTTTACTCGCCCCTCCATTCTGATACTCTTACCCTTCCGCTCATTTGCACAGAAATGGATCACCGCGCTTACCTCCCACACTCCCTCGCCGTCGTATCAGGTGGAGAACCGTGCACGGTTCTACACAGAATATGGGCTGCCGTCGGGTGCAGTGGACAAGCTCGCGAATGCTGATCCCGGCACTTACCCACGGGATCATGTCGAAATGTTCAGTGGGAACGTGGACGATGCGTTTCGGCTGGGCATCAAGATGACACGCAAGAGCGTAAAGCTCTTCGCGGACTTTTATGGTTGCGACTTAATTCTTGCGAGCCCGCTGGGGCTGAGAATGTCCATCGAGAAGGAAAAGTAAGATATTTTGAAGTCCGAGCAAACCACATTTTTGACGATAGGCCCAATCAAGGAATGCAGACTTCCTGTCGTCCATCGAAGTTCTCATTGTGGACCAAATGGATGCACTCACCATGCAAAACTGGGACCACGTTCAGGTCCGTAACGTTGAGACCTTCCTTCGTCTGCACAGGGCTTACCTTAGCCTTGTAGTTTGTGTTCTCGCGTCTCAACCAACTGCCGAAGGAATCACACGACGCCGATTTCTCTCGGATCAAGCCTTGGTACTTGGACGGACAGTACGCTTGAGTATCCTGTTCTATCTGTTCCGTCATTGATTGATCTTCGTTCGCAGCGCGGCATACCTTCGACAATCGATTCTGCTCACAGGCTACGAGACGCCGGAGACACGCGCACTTTTCAATAGCTCGCTGAAGAATGTAGCTGGGAAGGTCAGGACGGAGCGCAAATGGACACCAGTGGAAGTGCCAGTGGGCATCGACCAAAGTTTTGTACAATTCGATTGTAGCCATCCGAAGGACGAGCCGGAGAAACGTTTCCACCACTTCACAACACAGGTGCGTCACCACAATTTAACTGGCTTACCAAAACTGAGCTTAAAAAAACGATGCCCCAGATTCTTCCTGTTGTAATGAAGTCGGCTGTGCAGAGCGTTAACACGGTCGTGTTTATTCCCTCCTCGTTCGACTTCATCCGAGTGCAAAATCATTTCAGAAAGAGTTTGGGTGTATCTTTCTCTGTGCTATCAGAGTACGCAGCTGGCCTTTCCATTTTTGTGGGTTGAGATTCACAGGCCCATCACAATTCACTCCAGGTACTCCTCGAATCAAGATATTTCACGCGTCCGACAAGCATTCTTCTCTGGAAAGACAGCATTTTTGCTTGTCAGCGAGCGCTTCCACTTCTTCCGAAGGTACGTTGTGCACATGTTACGTATTCATTGTGTACAGGTTGACCTCATGTTATGCTTTATAGATACAAAATTCGTGGCATCCGCAACCTCATTTTCTACGGCCCGCCCGATCATCCGCAATTCTACACGGAATTCCTCTCGTACCCTTTCCTGGACGACGGTGTCGATGCCTCCGATGTGACCTGTCGTGTTTTATACTCAAAGTACGACTGGCTACGACTCGAGCGTATTGCAGGCACCGAGGGGGCTGCAGCGTTACTGAAACGAGGTGCCGCTTAACCATGATCAAGTAGGGTTTGACCGTGTGGCTTCACCAGTCACGATATTTGTCTCCATAGATTTGGGATCTCAGAAACAAAGAGGCTGAAGCGTAATCATTTTTAGCAACATGACCAATGAACATAGTCTCTCCTCGCATGGTCCTCGAGTGCAATGCACGAGTGGGAGTGGATGCAGGAGTATCGCCGGAAAGCGCAGAATTGTCGACATGAGTGACGCCGGTCAGGCATCCAAAGGGGTTAGAAAGGAGACCGAGAGTGTCGATCCATAGAGAACGGTTTGGAGTGCTTAAGCGATGGACCAACCTAGGAAGAATTGAACTGCGCTGCGACAGTACCATGGCGGGTTACGTCGAGACCAATTCGTAGCTTTCGTCTCGCAAAGGATGCGGGTAGCGACTGGTTGACAGCAGTGACACCTTCACACTGGAAAATAGAATCAGGTTGAGTCGCACGGGTCGAATCGGAAGGAGATGCATGGAAGCTATGTCACACTAAGGTTTGACAAATTTCACAAATGTATATCCATTAGTTGTAGGAGATCAAGTGCGTACGGACCTCGTCTCGACTGCAGCTTGCCAAATCACGGCAGACCGAAGACCTCGCATTGAGACTGCTCGGACATTCCGGTGAGCTCTGTCAAATCGCGCAATCGGGATGCATGTGGACATCTTGATAGCTAGGATTACTGGCACATCATGAAGGTATACATATCATGGTGCAGCCCTTCCCGAATGAGATATGGTTGGACATCTTCGAAGGCCTACTCGAGGAAGGCGAATGCGACGCGTTAGAACGATGCAGGGTGGTATGCAGGGACTTCGAGCCGATGGCGCGGGAGTGCCTAAGGGGGTTCATGGTATTCAAGAATATAGAAGAGGTGGAGAGCATCAAGGTGGATGTTCCAGGCAGTGAGATGCGGCGCTGGGGTGGGCCACAGAGGGTGTCGATCACAGGCGGGAACAGCGAAGACGGGCGCCGACCGATTCCACATTTGGCGACATTCGCGTCGAGGCTCGCAGGGAGATGGCCCGGCGTTGGTGGGTTGTGGATCACCGGGGCGGTATCTCGATCTGGACGCCATTTTGCGCGATCTGGCCGCCTTTTCGATCATTCGCCTCAACCTCAGCGACGTCACCTTGCCGTCGATTTTGACGCTTGGCCAACTCGTCTGCGCCCTCCCACGCCTCAAATGGCTCACTCTCCATGATGTCCGATTCATCCAGCATCCTCGTGACGCAAGCACTATCTCTCGATTCCATCTTCTGCCGCGCACGCAGCTTGAGATACTCGTCCTAGACCATGGGTCTGTGGATACAGAACTGAGACCCTCCTTCGCTGAATTGGTCGACCTCTTGGCTGCCGTCAGTAACAGGCGATTCCCAGTCGCTCTCCCCAATCTTGCGCAGGCGTCCCCTTGGAGCGTTGTTCGACGGCTATATCTCGACAATGTCACGGTTCCCTCGGTCACGACCTTTGCTCGTCTCCTGTGCGTTCTCCCTGCACTCGAAAGACTTGAACTATGCGGATCATGCGTGTTCGTGAAACACGGCTTTGATCTCAGAAGCGTGCCTGTGTACCCTGGGTTACCATTGCAATTAGCTGACGTTGACCTGACATACGACTTCCGCTTACACTCCGATCCTTGTTCTGTGATTGACCTCGTCGACCTATTCATCGCCACTGGTCTCGGCGAGAATCTCCGGCGCATTAAGGGTTGCCTGGCACCGTTTTTTCGAGTAGCAAACGAAGTCGACGTCGCCCTCAACAGACTCGTTAAACATTCAGCACACTCAATTCACCTTTCACTCGACTCGTCCTTAGCCTGGTGGCTATCAAATGGCACGGATGGATTGGTACATGCAGATCACAATGCGGGTGCGTCTCCCACTACATTTCTTCTTGCATATCCATAATCCTATCTCAGTAGCCCCATATTTCGACGTTTCTGAGAATGCATGCCTCGAACACCTTGATCTCACAGTCCAAGCCACTGACAAAAATATGTCACATCTGTGTGCCTCGGTGGTCGAGATCCTATCGCAGGTCACATCCACACATATATCCAGGATTCAAGTGTATTTCAGTCCTTATCGTCAGCCTGGCGCAGAGCTTGACGTAGATCTAGGAAAGCTGATGAATGGGCTTTGCCAGCTCGATGCTGTCCTCTCCGGGGCGATCTTCAATAGCCTCGCTAACGTTGAGGTAGACGTGAGAACACTTGACAGATCGGATGTGCCAGATGAAGATTCAGCGCATGAGCTAAGGTTGTGCTTGCCAAGGCTTGATGCACGCGGTATTTTAGGGTGCGTGACCTTGCATCCTGTACACTCCGCTGTCTTAACAACAGCATGTTGACCCACAGCATACGGATCAATGGCATCCTGTACGCCGCACAGTGGACTTACCGTCTTTCCATCTCGCTGACACAGCCTGTCCAGGATGGGACTGCACCGGGACGAAGAGAAGGGTGATTGGGCACGTTGCGGGGTCGACAGAGTTGCCGCACAGAACTCTGTGGTGGCTGACGAAGGGACTAGTGCTGACGGCGACAGGCATAGCAGTAACGCTACCGCCGGTGCACTCTCGCATGAAGACTCAGATGTAGTGTCTGCAGTCTCGCAGCCCGTTTGGGTGTCGTCAGCCGCGTATGCCGATGCTCAGATGCCTTCCTCATTCAATTTAATGGATGCACGAGTACCTGCCGAATTTGCGTGTGACGATGAAAGTTTACCTCCTGATGCAACGGCCGGTCTGGGGACATCCGTGGACGTATCTGCGCTAGATGACTATGGTACGTCTGCTCGTTGACGAGGGAGCAATGATGTTGATCTACATGCATCAAGGTGCAGATGGTGATTCATCTGTGGATTCGGAGTCGCTCGTATAGGAACGAATCACACCGAGCGAGAGCGCTGACGTTAACCTTTCTTAAGATTCGCCCAGCCAGCGCCGTTGCTCACCCGGAAGTTGTCAGGCGTAGCGACGTCCAGCTAGAATTCCCTATCTCATTGCATTCATGTCCTCTCCTGGGCCCCATCCTCTCCTCTCGTTGAATCCGTCTCGAATCAGCACGATTCACGTATCATACGCCACACGTACCTACCGATAATGTCCCACTATGCACGGAGTATGAACGCGTCGATTTCTGCTTGCGGTTTTCACCGTCGCTTCCCTCTCATCTCGTTGACAGGAAACATCTACCCTGTGCACTCTGAGTGCATATGCACTTGCCTGCTGCTCCCGGTTTTATGCAACCTGGATTCAGTGTCTGCCGCTGGTATCTATTCCTCGCTCATCTACCACACTAGAGGAGAGCGTCAGGCTTGGGAAAATGCCTACGACGCAGGATCTATGTGACGCTCATTAGGACCACGGCCCATATCGTTCCTGTCTATATGCTGTTGCTTACTGTTTTTGTTTGCAGTACTAGACTGTTTGTCAGTTTTGCCATAATCCTTCTTTATTCCGATACTGAACGGCTTCATCAACAAGCAGTAAACGAGCTCAAAGATATTACATACTTGACGGATTTCAACGTGTACGAATTGCAAGGATAAGCATCCAAAAAGACCGTGTTAATCAAGCTCTGGTAAGCATAATTTCATGTCGTCCATGAGTTCTTTGTTGCAGTTATCGGTCCTGTCAAGTGTTTCGACATGTATGCTAACCTTTATGAGGGTTCGTGAAGACCGATGATCGGGAGAGCACAGCATCGATTTCTGAGAGTCGATCAGCTTTCTCAACCATTGTTCAGATTTATATCCGTAATCCTGTGAACCAGTAGAATTTCAAGTCTACTGATACACTAATATGATTCGCAAGAGTGCTCTCAGCCCACTCTTTTGGCATGTAGACTGCAGTCGGGCATTATCACGCATGTAGATGAGCATGTATCCCTGTCGATAAAGGCAACCAACAATATTACAAACACTACATCGGAGACCTCCCAGCTCCTGCTAACAACAATTACACCGGTGAGTGCGGCAAAGGATGCATGAGAATCGTTCAACTCGCCTTGGGTCGAAATCATGACGTCGTTCTCCTGATCCTCGAGTGAGATCTCACCAAGCACCCAAGTCGTAGCGGACTGTGCATTGCCAGGGCCGGCTTTCGCTGGCCTCAAAAATGCACTGAAGTAATCTGTAACATCACTACCTCCGTCCATGGAGGCACGGAATCCGACGATCCCGTCTGGACGCACAACTACAATGGCGCCCTCCGACGGCTCGACTGAATACTTCACATATGCCTCTCCCGTAGGATCGTAGGCCGTCTTTCCTAGCGGCTCGGTGCCCAGCGCCTCGGCAGACTGCAGCGCCCCAGACCCATGCACGATGGTGAGGAAACTAAACATCGGCGCGAGGGTGCATGCAAATGATACATCCGAGGCGATATATCGTGTGAGATTGGCGTATTTTTCTGCACAGCTCGCCGACAAGCATACATTGGTAGGACTCGATTCGAGCGCGCCCGCAAAGATGAGGATCCAGAATCGACCAACATAGCGCGTTAGCTCCTGCAGGCGCGTAGGTATAGCAGGCCCAGGCCGATAAAGTATGACGTCCGGCGCGCGGTGTCCAATGAGGGCGTCGATGGGTGAAGGTACACCGATGCTACTCGTTTTGTTGAGAACATTGCTAGCGTAGGAGATCCCGAGGCCGATAGTGAATGACGCGTTCTCGGTGAAGACCCTATCGAGATACACGTTAACGTCGGCGTCAGGTGGGGCGTTGAAGTGGTCCGGTATCTTTCCTGAGATGAGTGCAGCGACATCACGATCGAGCTGTATGAGGTGTTGAGCAGATGTGCGCCGCTCAGCATCGTAGGTGTCTAGGACGGCCTCGCTTAGCCAGCCGCGCAGCACGCCAGCGAGCTTCCATGCCAAGTTTGTGGCGTCGTGTATTCCAGTATTCATGCCCTGCACCAGAGTGTCAGTTGCGCATCTTGAGCGTGTAATCAGTTGCGGGCAGACCTGTGCAGCGCCCGACGAATGTGTGTGCGCAGCATCCCCCGCCAAGAAGACAGGACCTTGCTTAAAAGTGTCGGCGACGCGTTGTCCGATCTTGTACACAGTCCACCAGTCCAACTGGAGGAACTCGAGGCTAAACGGCTGCACAGCCTTCCGTGCCTCGCTCTCAATGACCTCCGCAGTGATGTTTCCGCCGAGCGTGTCGTAGACTTCGTCGCGTAGCACGAACCCGATTCGTGTTCGACCGTTGTCTGTGGGAGTCCACAGCACATTCCCGTATTCATGTGATTCTATCGCCGCGCTATGCTTGCGACCGATAGGTATATCCGATCGAACAACAGCATCTAGGCGCACCCAGCGATGTTTGGATTCAGTACCGGGGAAAGCGATCTGGCTCAACGAGCGAACGGTTGATCGCCCGCCATCTGCACCGATGACATATTTGCTAGATATACATGATCAGTTACAGGAGCGGACTCAGCAACGCAGACCGCAACAGCGTACCATTGAACAACGGAGACAGACCCGTTCTCTTCTACCGTGGCTTGAACAGGGTGATCATTTGATGGGTCTACGGCTAATGCAGTCAATGTTGCAGGCGCGTGGACCGCAGTAGGATCCATCTCGGCAATGGCGGCCCTCAGAGTGTCTTCAATGTGCTTCTGTCGGATGCTAAAACTACAGACATCGTCAGAATAATATTAACAAAAAGGAAAACATAAAAAAGTGGATTGCACCTGAAATCGAAGTAAGTCTTTCCTTTCGCCGCCTCTCTCACGAAAGACCAACCGCGTGCTGGAATCTCTATACCGTTCTTGAATGTCGTCGAGTCCCTGGGGTATGCTGGAAGAAGTATGTGCTCCAGCGTGCATGCATTTCGACACATGCTGACCTGACAAAATAACCTATATCCGCGATACGATCGAAAATACCGATCTGATCTAGGAGCTCTACAGAACGAGAATAAAGCATGCAGGCACGTCCGTACATGGCCTGTTCAGCTTTATTGTATCGTTCTTATCATGATTTGTTTGTGAGCAGCCATGGACCGCGAAAGAACTTCGTTTTATTGACGTACCAATAACATTTACGCTCAGTCCGGCTTTGAGCAACAAGTATGCTGTTATGAGAGCCGTAGGTCCTCCCCCAACGAGGAGCACATCGACTTTCCTGGGATGTGCCGTTGCGGACATCTAGATGACTGAGGTAGATTCAGCCGCTCGAAGGTCAACTATAAAGGCAGAAATTGCCCTGGGATACACACCCGTATAGACGCGCCAATGTGCCCTGCTTTGGGCTGTGTTGAAACAGATGTGAGCCCGCACTAACACGTGACATTGCAAGTTGAGCCAAAACGACGTATGATATGGCAGAAGCGTGAGTAGATAATGTCATTTGGGATCGCAAATCGGTCAAATCAGATGAGCTTCCTGCCTGCGCCAAACCGCCCTGATGCCCGCCCCGGCACTCGTTTTGGTCCGCTCCGGTCAGTGTTCCGGTCCCTAACCGCCGGACATGAGTAGATTACACTTCTGTCCACACATTTAAGAACAGCTCACCCTCCTCGTCAAATACTATGCTTGTTAGATCATTTAAATCCTCTAAACAGCACCTACATATTAAAAATACTACATGTAGTACTTCTGTATCGCACGTCCCGTCTCGCTTGGGCGTCCTCCCGGACGAACGCCCGTGGGCCATCACGCGTGAGAACCAGCGACCGTCACCGATTAGTCAGGTTTAAGAACCATTTATAGAAGTCTAAGTGAGACGCCCGTCGCAGCTACCGCCGTTCACACTCTGGAGCCTCGCCGGTGGTTCGACATTATATTGGGTAGTCATCAGGAATTAAAATAAACATATTATGGCTTCGAGTATACAGCTAGCAGACCCCTGAATGATGCTTACATGACATGATCATCACTTCGAGCGCATTTTGAGCGCCCATCAAGCTTCAAGCTCACTAGCTAAAGAAACGTGATATAATTTGCTGGACGCATTTTTGCTAGGCTATGATTAGGGCCCCAAGCCGGTGGTTGGATGTTCAAAGCTATGGCATGGGAGGGCTGTTTCTAAATGTGTGGACCGGGGTGCAACCTTGGTTTGACGGATGCGGCATGTGAAATGACCGGATTGCGGAATCGGACGACATTATCTATTTTCGCATGGCAGAATACGCGGAACTCTGGCAGATTTGAAGACTGTGTCATATTTGCTCGTATCAGCGGCAACCAGCTGTTCTTTGCTGACATAAATTATGCATTCGCCTTTTCTAGACGTCTTGTCGGGCTTTGTTCTGTTGAGACACGCAGACCCGCGTGGTCAGGAACGAGCCCGAAAGCTCGAACGCGCTAGTAGCCGGGGGGCCGGAGGCCCCTATCGTAGTTTAAAACGATCGTTCACGATGTATGTACATACCGCACGCGATTGTCCCTTACGGGAATCGCTACGCCCGTGGACAAACGCGCCCATCGCACCATCGCACCGTTGTTCCAACATGTTCAGTTAGTTTGATGGAAGGTGTCTATGCAAATTGATAGGACACACTGAGCAAGTTGAAAGTCTCAACGAGGTACGAGCGACGTTGGGTCTAACGACGTTCGGTGAGCTTCAGTGATAGAGAATCAACTCTGTGTATTACTATACCTAACGATGTTTAGTCTTTACAGGGGATCAGCGTATGTACAATACATGGGAGAAGACAGGGACTTACGAGCTTCAGTGATAGAGAATCAACTGAAGCTCGCATCGGCACAGGAGCAGTATATAACATATCGTAACATGGTGAGTCGCCAGTATCTACGCCACGTGGCTAAACGAAAAGGACCGGGTATACAGGCAGGAACAGGGGCGCCAGGGGCGCGACAACATCGCGCCAATTCCGACGCGATAACGCGGCGTCATGCGCGCGCGCGCACGCGGGGCGAACGGACGCGCTTGTCCGTCAACAGAAAGTTCGCACTAGGTTGCTTTACGACGTAATCAAGCGGAAGTATCGGAACGGCAACTTCGTAAACTTCGTAAAAGAAAGTTTCTCGTTGCTGCAATATACAAGACACCGTCGCTCCGAATGTAATCAAACCGTGAGATGCTTTCTATTCATTGGGCACGAACATCCGACACTCTCAAGCGGGCAGCTCAACGGTCGAATCCCTGCAGCATCAAGCCAATTCGACGCCATTACGTTCCAATCCAGGTTATCGGCTCGCATCACCGAGGCTTGGCTAAACAACAGCAAAGAGTATCTCAAGGAGGGAACCGCTGAAGACCTATTAGGCACGGCTGGAAAATGATTATATCAATGGGTGAGAACAGACTTGAGCTTACCTATGCGACGTGGAATCGATGTGTACGAGGATACTACCGACGTCCATGTGATTATTATCCACAAGGATATTGTTACAGGGGATATAAATGATGTTCTATTTCAAATATTCCATGTATGATAGATCTTCGACAGACAGCTGCAGACATATGCGACTTGACAGTGATGCTGGAGTACTGGGCTCTAGACATCGCGCAACTGTGGTATGATGAATGTGCGTTGGTTAAACAGTCAGTTGATTGTCATAACCTGGAAATGTCGGTGCTGCTTCGAGGTGCGTTGCACAATGAATATTGCGTAGAGGGCAGACGGGCTCGAGTTAAGTGAGCTTTGAACGTCTATCGTGATAAACAGAGCCGATATGATTGCCCTCAGCCTGCACACCTGCAAGTATACTACACTGGCCCCTCGCTGGAGAAGCATTCCGGGTTGAAGTAAGCGGTAATCTCAGCATCACCCTGCTTAGCGGCAAATGATACATATGTGTGAACACCTGTCTTCGTTTCCATTCTCTTGTGGACGCTGGAACACGGATAAACATGTGAACATAACTCATTATATTAACAATGGCTTTGAGCACACAAACAAGAAGCTCACAAAGTATTGCGCACGAAGTGTCCGTACGAGTCCCTTGCCTTCTCGAAGCCCAGCATGTCGTAGAGGCACGTCACCGCGTGAATGATGTCTCCATCATTTCTACAAAGGTGACGTACGGGAATGTAGACCTTTGGGGATGGTTTGGTATGGTCCGGACGCAGGTCGAAGTAGAACAAGAGACCGCTCGTAGGATGCCGAAGTCGCGCAAGCTCAACGCTTGGTTCCTCATCATCTGTGATATTCGGGAAAAGAAGTCTCCAAAACAACGTGACCCACTCAAGTGTTTTCTCGACGTCGGGCAGCTGTAGTGTGGAGTCGAGGGTCATCACGCGTCTGATGGTAGACAGTGTCGCCAGTGGTATGCAAAAATATATCTTGAGCCTATTCGCATGTGATGGAACGCAATCCACTGCAACGATCTCCAGGGATGGCTGGAGATGTTGCGGGAGCAACTGAAAGAAAGCCTTGATTTCGCACCATGCGATGTAGATATTAGGTGCCTCCATTCCCGGGATAGCGGACAGCCGGTCGACTAAAGAGGACACGACATCTGTCTTGGATACACCATAGACTGCGGAGCATGTTTCCGTCAGGAAGTAAGCCTTCAATCCTGTGCCCTTTCGGGAAAGATCAAATCCTATTGGAGGCCAAGCTGCATTAGAAGCGCATATGTGGGATGGCTATACGACTAACCGATAAAGTACTGTGACGGATGGGATAGGCTAGTCGGCATGCTGGCGGAATTCTCCGATATCACCAGGGTCTCAGCGCAAACCCGACACCAAGCGAGATCTGTCTCCAACGACAAAGAGAGCAGAGTCGCGAAGTGTTCGATTAAATGGAGGGCCGGTTCGCTCTCCTGCTGCCTCTTGAGGGGATCAATGGAGAACCGAACAGTGGGCAGCCTATCGGCTGAGTAGATACACGAGAACTCAATTGGGGAGTGGTCGTCAGTCATATACGATGGATAGGTGGGGTGTCTAACACCGGGTGCCGAATCACTCTTTCCTGCCGAAACATCTTGCACAATATGAGAGGAGACACGACCCGCTATTGTCCCTGTAGCTTCTCGAGTGGTGACGAGCGCATACCCAGTAGGGGAATCACAGAATAACGGCGTTGAGTCTGAGTAGAGTTCGGGAATGACACAGAAAATGAAGAGACAAATGTAAGAGCGTTTCAGGTCGATTGAATAGGACGCCTCCTCCAGCATGCGAGTGAAGACTACGCCGGCTGTGCTCAACCAAAATGCCGAATTGGTGGGAAGGAAATTCCCGATCTCCTGCAAAGGGTATCAGGACGGCGGTACCCTACATAACAAATGCTGTCACTTACAAACAGCGCTCTGCTGGATACTCGAATTGAGCCGTCAGATTCGTTGCAGTATATGAGCATTTCAAGAGGCGGCACGGCTTCCCATCGTCGAGATCTCAGAGGTCGGTGATTCGGAGTAGAGCTATGCACTGCTCCCCTGCTTTCATGGGCCTGCATTGACAGAAAGATGAAGAGTAATAGGAGGTCTATGCACTTTGTGTACGGCTTCCAGGTGCTCACCGAGAAGATTCGATAATGCTTGATGCTGATAGTTCGATGAGAGCGGTTCGTGGAGCGGCAGGAGCTCACGCTGTTGCTTCTACCGCATTGGGCTTTCGATACATGCTCTTCGTGGCACTGTGCATCTCGTCAACTTGACCATGTTCTAGAATTAAGGTCAAGGCATGAAACTTAAGTCTGACACAACGCCACATCGCCACCGTGGGTGTGAGAGATGTGACTCTATTGCTTGCTAGATATCGTTTCGGATCAACTTAGGAAGTAAGTGATTGGATGTCTCGTTGAAGGATTTACACAAGAGCAACGCCGCGCAGCCCCATGTTTCTGACCGCAAATCCACATCAAAGGCATACGGAAGACTGACGAGATGATACTCGGATCACAGCGTGCAATGATCAATCTTATAATCTTGCGGACAAGAAGATTGATCCTTGCGATCCGAAAGCATCCACAATCTGATTACATCCGGAGCAATGGCGTCTCTTGTACTATGCCTCCCTGAGTAGTCGGCAGACCCTCCAAGTCGGCACCCCTTGCCTGATTGGCCCAGGAGCCACAATCAATGATCGGATTGCGAACATCCCGAGAGATTCCGAGATTGGTGGTAGGTCACGCCTGCCGACTCGGGGGGTCTGATGACTACTCAAGGAGGCATAATACTAGAAATAGTACTCTATTCATGAGGTCCCCGGCGTTCCGATGCTTTCGCTTGATTACGTACAGCAACCTATTGCGCACTCGTGTCTTACTGTATCATTTTACATAGACACCTTCCATCAAACTAACTGAACAGAGCCCGTCGAGACATCTAGAAGAGGCGCATGCATGATATATGTCAGAATAGAACAGCTGGGCGCCGCTGACACGAGCAAATATGATACAGTCTGCAAATCTGCCAGAGTTCCGCGTCTTCTGCCTGAACATACGTCACTTTGGCTTCTTGCAAAGTCACGAGTCGGTGCGGGGACACGCTTGGCATCGTTCCAGAGTATCGTACTCAGCCTCCTTAGTTAGGCCTTTGGATATGACCAACCATATTTTTCTCGGGAAAGGCAGCACCATGATGCGCAGAGGGTCACGATATGCCAGTAACCCTATCTAACAAGATATTCGTATGCACCCCACCGGCGCGCGAAAGCCTCGCCGCAAGTCTGCGCTGTGATGTTGGCGGAGGTAGTGGAGGCGGTCGAGGATGTCGCTACGAATTGACCTGCGTGAGTGATGATCAGAAAACGGTCAAAGAGGGTTTGAAGGGTTGAGCGAACATGAGCCGCACAAGTCGAGTCAGTAGGCGGCGCATGGCAGATATGTCATGCGAATGAAGAATTCCAGATCTAAAGCAGACGTATATTAACTCACTGTACGAAATGAATGTTCACGCACCTCGCCACCGCCGCGGCTCACCAATCTCAGCAACTGATAACCTCCCGTTGATACTGCAACCACCTTCTAGTGAGCTCTCTCAGACAGCCAGTTCTGTATCGTTTCCCCTGCCTGGCTCCGTGCCTTTTTGGTCACCTGCAGCGCTAGATAGCGCCTTTGCCTTATCAAAGGGCGGCATTGATATAGACAGAGATGCATTTTCTCTCATCTGCTGGCGTGTCAGGGTATGATACTGTTATTCAAATGGGGAATTCGATAGCGACTGAATTCGCTAGTACTCAGTCAAGCAGGCTTCGCGGGCCGAGAGAGAGAACTCTCCATCTACATTCGCAGGTCCGCCACGAGTTTGGTGCCAGCTTTCCGCAGTCGCCACGGACTGCGAGCAACCTCGTCGCCCACATGGCAGTGAACCTTGTAGGCTGACGTGGCCTGCACAGCTCACATGGTGCCTCTTTCCACCTGCAGGCATGTTGCGCACGAGGCTGGGCACCCAGGTATGTGCGACACCTGTATTCGGAATGGACGCACGAGACATGGACGTCTCCGGCCGTGACAGTCGTACTTGGTAGTGAAGTATATTTCCCCCACAATGTTCGCATCGTCGCGCATACCTTGATACTTTGCGACCGTGTACCGTCACCAAAACGCCCCTCGCGGCTTTCGTATTGCGTAGTGGGCCTGCCAAAGATGTCAACACTCTTTGACCATATCATTCTAGCTTCACAGCGCTGGCAAACATATTGTCTCGTAAATAATTCCCATTGACAGCATAATGGACGGGTAGGTGTCCAGGTCAATGGCTTCGAACTCGAGAACACCATATCACATTCCGAATAATAAGGACCGAGCAGAACAGCTCGATATCAAATCGAGAGACACATAAGCCAATTAGTACATGAGTACATGTTGATGGGGGAACAGGGCAATGGGCGACAGCGAATAGAGACCGCATGAGGCATAGGCATATAGATTGCGACTCTGGCAATCACCCACACATACGCCCCCGGAGAACGCCGGAGTCGTGACTGTATACTCTAGCACGGCGCGAGTGATGCGAACGAGCATCAGTGTCGGTCGTCGGCAATGGCGTCAATACGCGCAGAAGAAGGAATGTCGTCGCTGGGCTCCGAGTGGAAGTTTGGGGTCCGCTCAAAGGCCAGTCATGGTGATGTGTCGTCGAGGGCTCTCATGAAACCCATGCGCTGCGAGCATCGTATATGCGAGAACAGGCTTGACTCAGACCGTGATAACTGGAATACCGGACGTAGCCAAAGACATCGCGGAGAAGGCGATCTCACGTACATGACGGTAGACGAGAAAAACAGAGACAAGGCGATAGCAGGCACGAACGCGGTATGTGCGTCGGAGGAAATATGAGATGTGCTGATTCGAGACATAGTCAGCGAGACGGGAGGGGAGGCAACCGGGAGAGCGGCAAGCCCGCAGGAACTGACAACTCCGGTGTGAGCCTGCACCCAACGGCTCGGGCTTAGTGATGATTATTGCGCGATGTACTGCAACCATCGCCCCGTCACGATCAGCTATTCCCATGCAGACGATCCTGAGTCCGCAGACGACTCGTCAAACACACCTTGACACGTACATCAGCTTCATTGCTCCATCATTATCATCATCAAACTGCCGGCAGACGTAGCACGATCGTCTGATGCAATGCCGCCCAAGAATCTTCCCGAACCGGCCATTGCATCCTGCGGTGCGAGTTCATTGTTGCTAGCCGGTGTAGCAGGTACTCCTCCGTCTGCTGAACAAGACGAGGAAGCTGTCTGCGTGTCAGCACAGGCAGCTGATGGCACTAGGACGTGCTGCGACAGTGGAGAGACTACATGCGAGTCGTCGTGCGGGACCGCACGGGTGGCACCATCATTCGCACGACTGTCGCCGTCAATGCAAGTCCCTCCATTGATCACCGCAGCATCCTGTGCCGCAATTCTCTTAATCCCATTACACTTTCAGCCATCAATCCCGGTGCATTCAGATCCTGGACAACCTGTGTCAGCGAGTTGGAGAGACTGCAAGCTCCGCGAACAGCGTACTTAGTGTCCCTTGACGATACGCTGTGAGTAGATGCAATGTCACTGGACCAGCGAGTACACGAAACGTAAGCATACGCACCGTAGAATACCGCGTGCATCAAGCATTGGCAAGCACAATCGTAGGTCATGCGCTAATTCTTCATCCCGCACATACGACCAATCAGGTGTTCTGATGTGTACGTGAACGTCGGTGAGATTGTTGAAGATCGGCCGAGAGAAGATGGCATCAAACTGTGGGAGCCCATCCAACACCTTTCCCAGCTCTACATCGAGTTCTGCGCCCAGGTGATGAAGCCAGAAACACACTCGAATCCTGGATATATGCGCAGATGCGACCTGTGACAGAATATCGACCACCGAATTGCACAGACGCGATCTATTGTCGTGAATGAACTGGACTGTGAGATCAAGGTGTTCGAGGCACGTAGCACTAGACACGTCGAAGTATGGGGCTATATATAGCGATTAAAAACATGCAGGAGAGCCCATGGTAGGAGACATACCTGTACTGTGATTCTCAAGCACGGGCCATTCATCTGGGTCGTATAACGCACGCTGGAGTGAACGATGGTGGAATGACTGTGCTGAATATTTGATGAGTCTGTCAAGCACGGCGTCGGACTTTGTTGTCACCCAAAGAATCGGCGACATGAAACAGGTGATACGCCGGAGCTTGTGAGTGAGACCAGTAGAGATGAAGAAGTCAACAAGGGCAGCTACAGAACGAGGTTCTGAATGCCGGCCGAAGTCGACATCTGCCAACTGTGATGGTAAACCCAGGTCCGTGGGCACGCTTCTGAGGTCAAAGCCATGTTTCACAAATGAGCATGATCCGAGTAATTCGAGGCTTTCGAGTGAACGCAGGGCGCACAGGAGGCGAGCGAAGGTTGTGGTTGAGGGAAACATGACATTGCCGAGTTGCAGTGCTCGAACGGCGCTCCATGGGGACGCCTGCACAAGATTGAAAGGAGCAACTGGGCACCTCCGGTTACCGATGGCAGCAATGAGGTCGACCAATTCAACGAAGGAGGGTCTCAGTTCTGAGTCATCGGACCTATGGCCCAGGACGAGTGTGTCTAGCTGCGTGCGTGGCAGAAGACGGAAATGGGAGATGTTGGATGCATCACGGGGATGCTGGGCGAATTGCACATTCCAGAGACAGAGCACTTTGAGGCTTGGGAGGGCACAGACGAGACGGCCAAGTGTCAAAATCGACGGAAAGATGACGTCGTAGAGGTAGAGGTTGGTGATCGAAAAGGCGGCCAGATCGCGGAAGACGGCGTCCAGATCGAGATCCCGTGCCCGGCACACCGCGCCAGTGATGACCAGGTCCATGATGCAGGTCCATCTCCCGGCGAGTCTCGATGCGAACGTCGCCAGGTGTGGAATAGGTCGGTGCCCATCTTCATCGTTCCCGCCATCGATGTACACTCGTAGTGGCCCACCCCAGCGTCGCATCTCACCGCCTGAAGCGTCCACCTTGATGTGCTCCACCTCCTCTATACTCTTGAATCTAAGGTAGCCTCTTAGGCACTCCTTCGCTATCGGATGAAATCCCCTGCACGCCACTCGGCACCGTTCCAGCGTGTCGTACTCGCCCTCCTTGGCCAGGCCTTTGAAGATATCCAACCAGATCTCATTTGGGAAGGGTCGCACCATGGCGCAGAGTTTCGCGATGTGCCAGTAATCCGGTCTCGTAAGATGTTTGTATGGAGATGAGGTGCGTAGACGTCCACTGTGTCCAGTTCGTTCATCGTTTATATACATCAACTGCATTCGTGAAACTTTTCATACCATAACACAGCTTCCATGCACCGCCTGCTGTCGACCTGTGTGATTCACGCTCGCTCACTCAGCCCTTCAAACTCTCTTGGAGCGCCTTCTGTTCATCGCTAACGTTGGCCAATCCCAGCCTTCCTCAATGTCTCAACGGCATCCTCGACCGCCTTCACGATTGCCGTAATCGCTCCGGCGCAGACTCGCTCCAGCATGTTTGACGAGACGGCGATGTTTTCGTGCGTGGTGTACACCCTCTGCATGGCTCAGCGCCTTCGTGACCGCCTTAGTGACACATCCTGCCTTCGCCCTATCAGAAGGCTGTATCTATATAAACAAAGGCGCCTTCTGACCCGCTAGCCTGTCTGGATGTGGCACTGTTACTCAATTGGGCCGCCTTTTAAACTTTGAGCGACATACCTCATTTGTACTCGACCATGGAGGTGATGTCCAAACGAGGGACCTTTTCTCCATCTGAGTTTGTTAGTTCGCCGCGCGTTTTACGACACCCTTCCGCAGTATTATCACCGGTGGCGTTGTCATCCATACGGCCTTTGTCGCTACCAGTAGCACTTGCATGAGTTCTCACAGTTTCGTTCCTCTTGACTTCGCAACGTTTCCAGGCATTCTTCACGTAATCGCGGTGCAGTCCAATCCTCTGCAACCCGTGTCAGCGAGCTAAGACGATGATGAGCTCAACATACAACATACTTGGTGCCATCCAACGATATGCTACTGATAGACACATTGTTAGTTGAGCAGCAAGGTGTGTGAATTGCAAGGATACGAACCCCAGAATGCCGCGTTCGTCAAGCTTCGGCAAGCACAGTCTTATATCATCTACCAGTTCTTCACTTCGGATATCCTGTTTGTTGAAGTGGTGCACTGCTATGACGACGTGGGTGAGGTTGTCGAAGATTGGCCCGGAGAGGACGGCATCGAGTTGCGGGAGCCCATCCATTAGCCTTCGCAAATCTATATCGAGCGATGCGATCGAGTCGGAATTATAGTGAAATTGCACTATAATGCTCGATATATGCGTGGACGTCACGTTGGATACGATATTGGTCACAGGAGTACACAAGCGCAATATGTTTTCGCGAGTGACATCAACCGTGAGCGCGAGGTGTTCAAGGCCCGTGTTCTCCGAGACATCGAAGTATAGTGCTATAAGCATGGATCATTAGCATCTGATCGAACGCATAGTATGGCACTCACCCGTGTTCTGGTCTTCATGGACACATAGATCCTTCTCATTCGATACACTCCAGCGTAAGGGTGTGCCGAGCGACAGATGTTGCAGTGTTTTCCCTGAATGTTTGGTGAGCCTATTGAGGGCTATGTCGGATTCTCTTGCTAGCTGAAAATACGGGGACAGCCAAACGTTGAAAGCGCGAAGTTGATCACTGATGCCAGCAGTGATGAAGAAGTCAACAAGGTCGGCGACAGAGCGAGGGTCGGAATGGAGGCCGGATTGTAAGCCAAATTCCGTTGGCAGAGAGACGGAGTCTAATCGTGAGGGTAGAGCAGTGCGTCGAGGGACACTGCGGTGGTCAAAGGGGTGCTTCATGAACGTACATGACCCTGAGAATTCGAGGCGTTCTAGGGCGGGAAGGGCGCACAGGAGACGAGCAAAGGTCGTGCATGAGGGAAAAACGACGTCATCGATCCTCAGTGCTTGAACAGTAGTCCATGGGAATCCCTGTGCAATATCGCGAGGGGGAACTTGGCATATGCGGTTACTGACGGAAGCAATGACGTCGAGCAGTTCGACAAAGGATGAACTCTGGATCACTGTTGAGCTGTCGTACCAAAAGCCGAATATTAATACCTTCAGCTGCGTTTGTGGCAGAACACGGAGTTGAGCGATACTGCATGCATCGAAGGGCTGCCGGCTGAAAAGCACGCTGCGGAGTTCAAGTGATTGGAGGCGTGGGAGAGAGGAAAGGAGGCGGCCAAACGTCAAAATCGTCGGAAATGTGACGTTGTCGAGGTGGAGGTGAGTGATCGAGAAGACGGCGAGATCGCGCAAGACGGCGTCCGCATCAATATCCTGCACCCGCCACACCGCTCTGGTGATATGCAGCCTATTGACGCCCGTCCATCTTCTCGCGAGCCTCGAAGCGAACGTTGCCAGGTGTGGAATTCGGCGCTCGTTTCCTCCCTGGATGTTCACTTGTCCTGGTCCTCTCCAGTGTCGCATCTCATCGCGTGAAACGTCCACCTTGATGCGTGCAACTTCCTCTGTGCTCTTGAATATCATGTGATATGCTAGGTACTTCTCCGCCATTGCTTGGAAATTTCTGCAGGCCACTCTACATCGCTCCAGCGTATCGTACTCGCCTTCCTTGTCCAGGTCCTTGAAGATATCCAACCATATCTCCATCGGAAAAGGAGACACCATGGTATGCAAAGCGTCACGTTCGTCGTCCTATCTAGCAAGGTAACGGTAAGTGTGCCGAGTGCTCTGTCTGACGGAGCTCACCGGAAACGTTATTTCAACAGGAGGCTTCAAGTTGCTGAGACTTCAAGGTGATATATACAGCAGTTGAGGTGCGTACCACATTCACCTTGACAGATCGTTGATATACGCATGGCACAGCCTCCATGCACTACCTCTTAAACTGATCAATCTCACGGACACTCTATCAGTGACCCCCTTGTCAGTGTGAAGCTTGCCAATTGACTCGACCTCTGATTGGCATACTGTACTCGAACGTCTTTGACGTCGCCATCAACGTTCCACTGTGGGTTGACAGCAGACTACGAGGGTGGCGTAGCGCGCATACATCACATGGCGCCTTCGTCATCATTGCCCGAAAGATGCTGGGGACCCGAGTACGTACACTGTTCGTCAATGAAGTACAAGTATTGCATTGGAATATAACCCAGGCCATTGACACGAGAGTTTCTGATTGCGTTGCTACATCGTCTGACAGCAGGTGAGTGCCTACGGTCGGGGTCCCGATCCTTGACAGCAAAGTGTATTGCCTCTCGCGATCCGCATTTGGTGTTTCTGCACGCGATTGATATGTGACGTGTCGCATCGCCTTACGCCTTCTGTTTATATGCGTATTCTATGCCCCTCAAGGGTGGCTAGATTTTCAAATTACCTTCCTGCACATCTTCAGTCTGGTTCCGTCCCGAGACTGCGATACTCTCTTGCACGACCCAAGTGAGTCGCACGTCCTTCGATTTACATTCGCGCCAGGACCGCACGCAACAAAGCGGAGGAGCATCGTATTCGATGGCCACTGCAGGGCATCCCTGTCACGATTGCAAGTGTCTCTGCAGGATGAGAAAGACATGAATATGACTTCCACAGAACAGCTGTCATGGTGTGCCTCAGTGGCAACTTTCCTTACTGAAGACAGGTCACCTTATAGACACCAACTATATGTGTGTACAATGTGATTGATGCATTGTACCGGCGCAGGTCCAGGATTGACCAGCGCGCAAAGCCAGGCAAGCGGCAGAATGCAGCTGAGAACACTGCATAGTGTAGGGGCAGACGGTGCGCTTTGTCACAGTACTCATTAACCCTGTCCAAAATACAATAGGGACAACATAGGACCATAGGTTTCCACCAGTGGCAAATCTCCCTTTGTCCAGACTGCTCGTGTACATACCAGAAATTGTTTCTGCTAGGCCTGACGAGAGGAAGGAAGGAAGGAAGTCTACCAGGAATCGCGTGAGGTCAGACACTCACCGACTGGTAGATACCATGAACATGTGTCCGCATGATCAGTTCAATTATTCTTGCCCTACTAGTCTGAAATGGTAAGTATTCGGATAAATTCGTGATAAAGTGCGTGATGAATACAGTATTGCTTCTGTCTCCGTCAAACTCACAGTCTCTTGGATCAGCGATCACGAGCACAAACGCACCTTGTATAGGCGCCGGCCACAGGTCGCTCTCTGCTCCTACGTGAAGATCGTGCCTCCAGTCCAGCCTTGTACGCACACCTGCATTCGGGTAACACTTGATCACATATATTCAGTACTCACTCCTCTCCATATAGCGCAACTTACAATGTCCCTTCTTGATGAATCATACGATTTCAAGCCCGCCACTAGAGATAAAGTAGCCACTTGTTCCTACATCGACCTACCGGACGTAGACGATGTATTCGTGAATGACGATGCATGCTATATGGACTGGAAGATGGGGAACACGGCAAAAACAGACAGTTTTACTGTGAGTGGACCCGACCGTGACGCCACAATGTCGTCAATGCTTACCAAAGATCCAGTCTGTACCACACAGCGACGAAGAGCACATCCCCGACTTGTCTGAACTGAATCTCGAAAGCCCGTGCGGAGACCCACATCTCACTCCGAAGCTGAGATCGTTGGAGCTAAAGACCGAGCTCACATTTGACAATCAAGAATCAATATCAGAATCTTCTGGAGAGACCAACACTCAGCCTATGGTGCGTTCTTGTGCAGTTCATGCGGAGGGGGTCACAGAAGTGTTCATGCGCGTGCAGGCTCAGGCCCAGAGTGCGGCGCCACAAAATGTTCGCCTCGGTCCTCTTCTGGACGGTCTCTCGAACGCCCTCAGGCTAGAGGTCGACCAGAGGTGGAACGCGTGGCTTGAACCCATTAATGCGTGGCTCGAGCCTCTCAAGATGTGGTTCTGAGATGTTCAGCGAAGACAAGGAATGTATGATATGGACGAGAAGATATGGATGATAAAGCCTTGATTCAAGGTCAGACAAACGAAGTACGATGCAAATAACCAATTTTTGTCACGATATGTTGAAAGATGTCCATGAGCCAGTAACAGACATACAAAAACCATTCATGAAGCTCGGAGAAGTGTACCGTTCGGACGAGCTCAGTAATCAAATCGAGCATTTTGGAGAGGCGTGGACGCGATAGGAAAGTAGTGTGGTTTCGGGTAGGTTGTTGAATCACTGCAAGGAAAGCAGCTCTATCAGAGCACCGAGAGTCATCTGAGTAGGGGCGGTGAATCTGGAATCCCTTCCTGATTTACCGTAAATTAGCAGTTAGGGGGCCAGATTAACAGGTGTAATTAACGGCTAATTAACCCACGAGCGTCTACGTGCTGATTAACGTTAATTTACAGCCTAAAGCGGTAAATCACAACATTGACCGTCAATTACCATGTATCCCAGTCCAGGTCTTCCGCGCGAACTTTGACTGAGCTCGCGATGTTTGATGACACTACGCATTCCTGTCATTCCTTCTGGGAAACCGCACTACCAGCTAAACTGTCCTGCAGGAACTTAACAGTCAGATCAATAGACTTGTCGGCAAGGAATATACCCAGATTAACCCAGATTAACACCCATGTTTTCGACCCGAGGTAAATTACCGGTTAATCTACCAGTAATTAGCCGGTAAATCAGGTCGCTGTTAATTAAGGTAACCAGATTCACCGCGTCCTACATCTGAGGATACTTGACAAATCAGAGGTACGACGCAAGAAAGGAGAGCAATCTGAGGGAAAATAACGTCGCGAGTGCACCAGCATCAAGACGAATGTCTTCGTGACCGACCAGGAGACAGTATTCATGAGCGACATACGCAAGCCTAGATGAACAGAGAGGTTTGCCTCAACGTGTCCGCCACTACTGAACGCAGTTGAGAAGGTTGATCAAATGATGATGCATGAATCGACACGAGTGTCTCAGGCTCACGGCGCCTAGCAGTCGATCAAGTCATCTGGCGGTCGTTCACCATCTCGCACGCGGCACAGCCCAACCCATCGTGCTCTGCATCCTGGCCACTTGGAGAGCTTGTGACTGGATAGTTTTTGTCAAGTTGACGAAACCACTGTATAGGATTTTCGTCCGTCCGCTGATGTCAGGACACCGTCGTTGCTGACTGGCTCAGCTATCCGCCATCTTCTCTGCTTCTCACCAGCATTTTGTATCAGCCTCGCCAACACTTGTTAATGCTCCTCCCTGGATAACAGTTCTTCCTCGATGACGATGCCCGGAGCTGGATTTCGACCGATAGCTCTGAACTACAAGTCTGACACCATTGTCATTCCGTCCAACAACCTCCGTCGCCCACCTTGTTGTTCATCAGTTCAGAACCGGGAGGTCAAGAGGTTCAAGCGACGTGTTCGATTCTTCATCAATCCCTAGACCGAGGAGGTTGGTGTACTGGTTCTCCCACACGAGATGGAGATGGTCGCTCGGGATGACGGTGTTGTCTTGTTCCTTTATGTGGGCGTTGATTTCTGAAGACTACAGGGAAGAGCTGGACATACATTAGGTTGCTTGGTCCCATTGGCTTCTCCGACAGCCTCTAGGAGGTATAGCTCTTCCAGTACCTCATCCTCTTGCTCCAGCTTCTGCGGAACCAACCTCGGCTGTGGAGGAGTTGCGATGCACGTGGGGTGCAATCGGCGTCATCGTTTTGTTGGATGGACTGCAACGCAGGTGAGCGCCCAGGCTGTTACGGCGTCAAGATGAGACCGGTACAAATGCGAAGAGCAGGTCAAATCGTAGTAATTGCATATCATGAAACGAAACTGGCATAAACCATGTTAACGAGTGTGTGGATAGCCTGAGGAGAGCAAGCACAAATGCGATGAGGTAGGTTCCGTGATCATGAAGAAACAGCGGGCAGTGGCGAGCCATGATCAGCCTCGACGGCGGACCATACTCGAAGTGTTCGGACTTTGGTCAGCTTCTTCAAATCGTCATCTGAAAGCTGGCCTTGTGGACTGAAAGATGGAGCGGAAGATGAGCCTCCTTCGAGTGGGAGAAAGCGTCCGAGAAACATTGGCTGTACGTCGAAGGAAAGAAGTCAAGGTAGACTGTTCCACCTGCTCTTCTTCTATTCGCAGAACTGGCGGTTCACTGGGCAAGTTGAAGCGTTGCCATCTGAGTCTGTAGGACAAGGGAATGTCACACAAAGAATACAGGTAGTGCTTTTGAACTTACCGTTCGTAGTCCCAGAGGTAATCTCGTATCTGATCCTCCGACAGCAGCGGCTAGCCATTCAGCCCCAATAATAACACAGTGCCTGTTGAGGGACTTCTGGAGGTGTGGCACAGACAATGGCGGCGGCGCAATTGTAGGGAATTCCAGGTCGTCATCGATGAGCTCGAGCCGGCCGCCAGGCGCAAGGATGCGCCATACTTCACTGAACACGAATTCCCAATGTTGCCGAGGGATGCAGGGACTCAAGTTGGCCATTCTGACAAGATCAAAGGAATCTTCCGCGTACGGCAACGAGTCTTTCACGCTGTAACAGGTGAGCCAACGCGGTAATGACGGACTGAACAAGCACTCACAAATTGCTCCTGTCCCATTCGACATTGTGTACCTCTGACGGTGACTCGGGACAATGTGCCTCCTTGCCGCACATGTTGTAGACGTCAATCAGATCAAGGCCGGTCACCTTCGTATTTTTCCATGACTTGGCCGCGTTCAGTACTTAGTACCCTTTACCGCAGCCGAGATCGAGGACCCGAGACGGCGGGTTCTTGCCGTACTTATGGAATGATGGCGAGCAATTTGGGGTGAGGGGCCGGAGAATTTCGTATGTCCCAAATTTCGCTGTGGCCGCGACATAAATTATGCGCCTAGATGTCAATGATGCTACTTACTTGTCTAAGGATACACGACTAAAGGATTGCACTTCAACCTGACTTACCACTGGGTCGTTGATTGCTGTACTAACAGTAGATGTGATTTTGTCATGGTACTTGATGGCATTAACATCATTGGGGTGCGGTGGTCCAAACTCAACATAGGTAAAGGCTTCTGCTTCCTCCCTGGGCGATGTCATAGCGAGGACCTTGTTACGCCGTCCGAGACAAGACATAGTAGTGATTGGTGAGATCTCTGCTGTTATCATAATAGATGCAGCTATTTCGTGGTCATAGCTTGCGTGGTTGACTGACATTGGAAGTTATGGCAGGGTGACATGCAAGTTGAAGTTGTAGCAGTGCCTTGGCGGGGTTGTATGCGCATCACTAATTCCTGAGATCCCGAGGCCACAGGGAGAGTGGTATAATTTGATATTTTTGGTCTCTACAGCCTTATATGTAAATTCATACCCGCTGATCATTCAGGTGGCTGCAGGCCAGACCATGTCATGTAAATCCGCTATCCTATTGCTGTCCTTTTCGAGCTACCGCGCCTCTATTGACAGCTTTTGTGCTCGACGGTAGACGACAATGCTACAGTCTCTTCAAGTGTCCTGAGCGCACTATCGTTCCGATTGATTATGTCCATTGTGTCCTGCGGCGGGATGAACGTAGATGTTCCCAACTGCCCGTGGTCCACGCCGCCGCCTGCATGGGGTCGAGCTTGCGAGAAGAATCTTGCCTTTCATAACGACAGCTTTCCCAGAACTGTTGCGGAGAACGCCGCGACGCTTGAGGAATTGCCTGCACTTTGCATAGTCAGACATTCGATCTGTCAACTTCTCTTCGAGACCGCTTTTGCATTGATCGAAGTTGCATACAAGATGTCCATAATGCTTTGCGCCTTCCATTGTTTTGTCTGCTGAAACATACCTTATACAAGTAGGCTCTGTTCTCGCGAGGATACCCAGTCGAAAGATCGAATGTTTCAGTTGTGTTTTGTTTTCAAATTGTCGAGGGGGGCCAGCCTGAGCGTGTAGTCTTACAGGCTGTGATAGCCCAGTGATCCTCGGCGTCGTAACAACAGAGATACCCGTCGCAAAGTATGAGTGCGCCTTCATCTCGCAGTCCTGCGTAGACTTGGCAGTTGATCCTGATTCAAGCGAAAGATAGTGTCAGGGTCGCTCCGTACGCCTGACTAGCTCTCTCGGGCTTCAAGTGAGGAACGCGCACATCAATTTACTGGGAAGCGGAATGAATTTCAGCCGCTCAGCACGAGCAGGATTAAAAATGTATGGTTATACATCAAAATCAGCTTACGCTTTACGCGAGTAAGACGGCAGGTCTGTAAAGGAGGGGTCACGAGAGCAGATTGGCAACACAAAAGACGATATTAGTAAGAGCTCGCATATGTTATATATACTGATACTTGTCGAAATCAATACTATGACGGCGACAGAAGCAACATCACCTAGAAACAGCGAAGACATAGATCGTGATTTTGGCGATGAACAACATATATCTCAGGCGCCGTAGGCTTCCTCCTTAATTCGAGTCTCTCTTCAAGGCCATGTGGACGAGCGATAGCATCTAGCGGCGGAACCGTTAATTTTCAGGTCGTGCAGTTGTTACGCGGGTGCGTATGTACGTGCGAGCAGAGGGCCTGAAGTTGAAGACAGGGGAAGCCAGAGATTTGTTGTCACTGGTGCTAGTAATTATGAAGAGGTCAACGAGGTCGACCACGGAGCGAGTTTCGGGCCGTCGCCCGTCAGTTGACAGCGAGACAGTCTTCAAATCATGGTGGTGAACCAGAACGTGAAGGACCACTTCTGAGGTCAAATCCGTGCTTCATGAACGTGTATGACCCCGAACTTTCAAGGTAGTCGAGCGCGGGAAGGGCGCACGGGCAAAGGTAGTGATTGAACGAAAAGTTATATTCCAAGGCTGCAGTGATCGAACGGCGCTCCATAGACACCCCCGCGTGAGATGGCGAAGAGTGATGACAGGCATCCGGTTACTGAGGTCGACGAATTAAAGAAAGGAGGCAGTAGGCTCTTGGTCGCTGCATGAAGAATTGGTCAGGCGCAGGGTCTCCAGCTGGGTATTTGGCAGAAGACAGAGGTGAGAGATGCCTGCAGTATCAATCGGGTCCAAAATCCCTTTATGCAAGTCTAATCAGCGCGAGCCCTAACAAAACACTGCCCGCCGCATCGGGCGCACGCGTTCGCAACACGTGCAATGTTCCCTGCTCGACCCGCGTGCCGAACAGTGGGGATATGCGGCTCGCAAGCCCCTTTGACAGCGCAGGTGCCTGACGGGAGGATATAAACTGGCGGTCAGGTCAGGGACAGGAGAGCGCGCTCTCCCGCTCCCTTTCGCTTTACCGCCAGGTATGTTTTTTTATTTTTTATTTTTAAATCCAGTTTTATATCCGCTTGAGGGCTTCGCCCTATGCCGGATACTACCTGCGAGTACACTTCGTAGCGTGGGGGTAGTATCGATGGGCTGTCCGGTAGCATGGAGTAAGTGGAGCGCGAGCGATCTATCTAACATGTATCGACGTGGGGGATGGGTGAGGACATCTCTCGAGTTCAGCTTGTCAAAGGGGCCGGGTGAGGGCGTAGTGAAAGGCATGGGCGCAGGGTGTGGTAAGAGTAATAGTATGTAGGTAGTAGATTAAGAAATGTACAGTAATAATCAGTATATGATGAGGGATGTGTTCGTGCAAGGAGTAGTGGAAGTGCGTGGAGTGGTCGTTCGTCACGGGAAGACTGTCATACCTCGATTTTGAGTCAGTGGGGATCCAGGCGGTCGTTCCGTCCGGCCGCGAAGCGGCCGGTCGCTTTGATGTAGTCAAAGAGATGCGTGAGAGCGTCGGGGTCGTTGAGCGCCAGGTATGTTTATGTCCGAATCAGTCGACTAGCGACAGTTCACGCTGACTTCACTTTACCGTTAGTCTGTAATATTCGCGCTACCCACCATGCGCTCCCTTCCATCCTCTTGTGTAGCCGTACACTCGAGGACAGATAGCATCTATTCGAGATACATACACGTTTTGTCGGGTGCCAGCCGGGCGAAAGCCGGAAGGGACGCTGAATAAACTTTACACCGTCGAAGTCGAGCGGAGAGGAGGCGGTCTACGATCAAAATCACTGGAAAGGCGACGTCATTGAGCGAGCCTGGAGGAATTGACGCTAGCTCGCGCGACACGCGTCAATGAGGCGACAGTGCGTGGTAAACGGTGTCTTGCTAATCAAGGGTCCCTGATATTCAGCGCACATATATCAGCGGTCTGCCAAGAGCGACTAGTGTGCACCCCATCCGCCTCCACTGCGATTTGCAAGGTTTCAACGGACTGAAAGCTTCCCATCTACCCTTCCGGTGAGCTCCGTTAGATAGTACGCTCGAAATGCATGCAGATACCTTGCTAGATAGGACCGGCACAACATCGCGCTCTGTATACCATGGCGCCACCCTTCCCGAACGAGATATGGTTGGATATCTTCCATAGTTTGGCCAAGGAAGGCGAGTACGACGCGTTGGAACGATGTCGAGTCGTGTGCAGAGAGTTCCAACTGATGACTCACGAGTGTTTATCGTGGGACATGGGGTTCAAAAGCACAGAAGAGGTGGAGTGCATCAAGGTGGACATTTCAGGCAATAAGATGCGGCGTTGGCGTGGGCCCCAACGTGTGAGGATCTATGGCGGGGAAACGGAAGACGAGTGCACGCCCATTCCACATCTGGCGCCCTTCGCGTCGAGGCTTGGCGGAAAATGGCCTGCTGTTGACATGCTGAACATCTCCAACGCGGTGTGGCGGGCGCGTGATCTCGACGCGGACGTCGTGTTTCGCGATCTCGCTCGCTTCTCCTCGATCACTCTACTTTCCCTTTATAGCGTCAACTTCCCTACAGTTTTGACGCTTGGCCGGTTGGTGTGTGCCCTTCCCTGCCTCAAAGTACTCACACTCTACGATGTACGGTTCAGTCACCAACCTTTCGACGCGTCTGCTATTTCTCAATTCCGCCTTTTGCCGCGCACAAAGCTCGAGACATTTTCTTTGTACAGGCTGCACAACGTTTCCGTGCTGACTCCCTCCTTCGTCGAGCTGATCGACGTCATAGCTGCAGTCAGTAACCGCAAATGCCCAGTTCCTTCTCGCGGTCCTACGCAGCCGTGTCCAGTATGGAGTACCGTCCGAGTGCTGCACCTCTCTGGTGTCACCTTTCCCTCAGTCACAACCTTTGCTCGCCTTCTGTGCGCGCTTCCTGCTCTCGAAACACTCCAAGTTATGTCGACATGCACGTTTGTGAAACATGGCTTTGACCTCCGAGGCATTCCTGCGCACTCAGGTGTACCCTCAGGCTTGGTGGCTGTCGAGCTGGCATTCGACTTCGATACTCACTCTGACCCTCGCTCCGTGGCTGATCTCGTCGACCTCTTCGTTGCTACTGGCATTAGTGATCGACTTCGGCACATTCATATTCGTCCGTCCCCAGGGCCGTTACTCCGGGTAACGACAGAGTCGGACGTCTCCCTTAATAGGCTCGTCAGACATTGTGGGCATTCGTTACATCACCTCGACCTCGACACATACCAATTCTGGCAAACGGGGATTGGCAAAGATGTATCGTTACATACAGGCCCAAGTGCAGGTGCGTCTCATATGATGGTCTCGATCAAGTTCTTACAATCCGCATGTACAGCCCCATACTTCGATCTCTCGGAAAATACGTGCCTCAAACGTCTGGACCTCAGAGTCAACGTCACTCGCGACAATGCATCGTGCCTCTGTACTTCTGTGATTGAGGTCCTATCCGAAATAACGTCCACGGACATATCCAGAATGACAGTGCTATTTCGCGTAGATGACTCGCTGGGTGAAGATTTGCGACCGCTGATGGATGGGCTCCCACAGCTCGATGCCTTCCTCTCCTTGGAATCAGTCTTCGACACTCTGGCTCATGTCAATATAGAGGTGTACACGCCTGGCCAGCTGAATGACCGAGATGAAGAACGGGCAGATGCCCTAAGAGCATGCTTACCGAGGCTTGATGAGCGCGGTATTCTGGGGTGCGTGCTTTTGTATAGGCGAGCTCGCTATTCTGACAAAAATATCTTGATTCATAGTACACAGCTAAACCGCACCATGTACGCCATATGCTGGGCTCATTATCTTGCCAGCTTGCTAATACAGCTTGTCCAGGATCGGATCGCATTGGGATTCCGACACCATGTCTTGGAAACATTATGGGGTCGAAAGGAGCGCTGCACATGACGACGTGACAGCTGGTGAAGAGACTAGGGCTGGCGGAGAGAGCCGTACGGATTATGCCGATACCTGTGCGACCTCTAATGACGACTCCGATGCTGCGAGGTTGCAAGTCGTCTTTGCGACATCAGGAACGTGTGCCGATACCCAGGCACGCCCCTCGCCATATTCAACGGGCACGAGAGTAGCTGCCGGTCCGGCGTGTGGTGATAGGATTGCACCATAGATGCAGTCGCTGGCTTCAGAAACATATCTGCGAGAAGGGCATGGTACGTCTGCCAGTGCGTGCTTGTCGGCGAGGGAGGAATGCCGTTGACGTATTTCCACCAAAATCCAGATGGCGAGTCATCTATGGACTTAGGATCATCCGCGTAGGAAAAATCAAAGTCGATAGAAAACAGCGTTCCGAACGACGTCTCTCTGAAGACTCGCCCGGTCAGACAATCACCATGCGCACCACTCGCGCAAGACGCTCAAAGCACAGCGCCGTCACGACTGCATGCACCGATAGCCTGTCCAGACAGATTCCCCTGCCCATATGTATCATCTTTCAAGTTCTCCGGCTGCCAGGCCGCCTTATTCTCCTCTCGCTGTATCAGTCTTAAATAAGCATGATACACGTTTATGTTGAAACACGCAGCCCCGCGTGGTCAGGAACGAGCTCGAAAGCTCGGGCGCGCGAGTAGGCGGGGGCCGGAGGCCCCTATCGTAGTATATAATGACCGCGCGCGATGTATGTACAGTACGCGATTGTCCCTTACGGGCATCGCTACGCCCGTGGACAAACGCGCCCCGCGCCGTTCGCACCGTTGTTCCAACAGTTTACTCCGACGTGCGTATTGCAGGCGCGGCTAGCCTTGTCCCTACCTTTATTCTTGTTCTAGTCAGGCAACATGTACTTTCTTGCCCTCATTTGTGCAGGTGCAACGGCGCCGTCTTTTGCATAGTCATGCACGAGAAGCTATGAACTCGCGGCGTGTCAGACATCATGCAGGTCGACCGGCATCACCGCGCTCCGAGCCGTGCGCACCTTCGCTCATGTCCTCACTTATCCAGATATCGTAGACCTGTATCACGAACTCCGAAGACCCCGCACTGAGAGTAAGTCGATGCAGTGATGGCTCAACATGCCTCAGCGAGTCTCTTGTTACGCGGAAAAACGGACATGTTGAGGAGGTGGCGAGCAGATTGTATCGCATGATGTGGGACAAGTGCATCTCGAGGGGCTCAGTGCGACTGGAACGTTCCGGGGACATCCGTTTCCTTGCCTATACTGTGCCGACTGTACAATGTTTGCATTCCACATACAGACATGACACGCACACGGGTGCACAGCCTCATTCAGAACACGCGGAGATTGAGCGACGATAAAGCGGGCGATAGAACGCACCATGAGAGGTATGCGCGCCACGCCCGCATTCGAGCTTCACATTGAACGATACGGGCCGATCGCAGCTCGTGGCTGGTACAGTAGGTCGTAGCTCACATCACCGAGCACTACCGCGGCTGGTGGGCCGCGACATGACGCTACTTGTATCAAGAAGGCGGCTGAATTGTACAATGATTGTTTCTTAGACAGTTTCGGCGGTTCATGTGGCACGCAAGCGCGTTCGATTTCTCTTCATATATCAACGAAGTTCTCCGATAACGCGGAGACTGCGGGTGGTCCAGAAGCGTGCAGAGAAGGTGGTCTGTGTCTCACATGGAACCGGACCCGCCTTGCCAGAACCAATGTCCGATGTTTATAATGGGGATGCGGGAGACGGCTGATAACACCCGTGAGATGGAGTACTGGGCCTGGGCAGCATTCCCAATGAACGGAGGGCGCTCATAGAGAGCCTGGAGCATCGAGCGAGGACGAATGACACGGATCGGAACAGCAGGCGATGTGTGGCAAACGGTGCCTTGCTAATGAAGGGTTGCTGAGATTCAGCATACATATCAATGGCCCGTTCAAAGCAACTGTGTACGCGCCTCGACTGGGGTGCATCCCATCTACAATTTGTGAGGTCTCAGCGGACTGAAAGACTCCCATTCACACTTGCGGTGAGCTTCGTCAGCGAGCGTGCTCGGAAGACATACATGTAACTTGGTAGATACGGCCGGTAAATGTAGTGGTCTGCATACGATGGTGCTACCCTTCCCGAATGAGATATGGTTGGTCATCTTGCACGACCTGGCCAAGGAAGGCGAGTACGACACGCCGGAACGGTGCCGAGTGGTGTGCAGAGGGTTCCGTCCGATAGCTGAAGAGTGCTTATTGTTGAACATGAAGTTGAAGAGTACGGAAGAGGTGGAGCGCATCAAAGTGGAGGCTTCAAGCGATGACATGCGGCGTTGGGGTGGGCCAATGGGGGTGTCGATCGCAGGCGGGAACTGGAATGACGGGCGCCGGCCGATTCCACACCTGGCGACGTTTGCGTCGAGGCTTGGCGGAAGATGGCCGTCTTTTGCGACCTGTCGATCACCTACCTCGTCCGTCGATTCTGACGCTGGGCCGCCTCGTCTGTGCCCTCCCCGACTCAAGCGGCTCCATCTCTCCGATGTACAATTCACTCAGCAGCCTTTTGAGGCCTTCACTATCTCTCAATTCCCTCTTCTGTCGCACATGCAGCTGGAGACACTGACTTTGGACAGCATACCCGACGTCAGTGTCCCTGCGCTGCGGGCCTCCTTCGTCGAACTAGTCGACTTCATTGCTTCTGTCAGTAACCGCAAGTGCCTGGTTCCTCCTTCCCATTCTACGCAAGCGTGTCTATGGAGTGCCGTCCGAACACTGAACCTCTCGAATGCCGTTTTCCCCTCAGTCACGACATTTGCTCGCCTCCTATGCGCCTTTCCCGCCCTCGAAACCCTAGAGTCTTAGGAGTCATGCATATTTATAAATCACGGCTTTGACTTGCAAAATATTCCTGCACATCTGGATTTACCGCCACGACTCGTGACTGCTGGGCTGATATACGACTTCGATATGCACTCCGACCCTCGCTCCATAGTTGATCTTGCCGACTTCTTCATTACTACTGGCACTGCTAAGAAACTTAAAGACATCAGATTCGGACGTCTCTCTCAACAAGCTCGTCAGACCTTCTGGGCAATCATTGCATCATCTTAGTCTTTGTCTCGGCCAATACAAGATTCTCCCTCTCCTCGATGGTGAAGCTCTGTCACCATATTCAGGTTCAGGTGCGTCTAATATCATTATTCTACTCAAGCGTTCTCAACCAATTCGTAAAGTGCCATACTTTGATGTATCCGAGAATACATACCTCGAACATCTCGAGTCCACCGTCCATCCCGATCACAAGAATGGTCCATACCTGTGGACTCCTGTATTTGCTGTCATATCCCGAGTGACGTCCACGCATATATCCAGGATTTCAATATTCTACTCCGGTCTCTTCCACGATGCATCATTAGATGTATGCCTGGGAAAGCTGATCGAGAAACTCCCGCAGCTCGATGATATCCTCTCCCGACCAGTCTTTGACAACCTGGCCCACGTTAATGTATATGTCAGCACACCTTACGGGCCGGACGTCCGAGATGAGAAATGGGCGAACGACCTAAGAGTGTGCTTGGCGAAGCTTGGCGAACGCGGCATCCTGGGGTACGTATTCATGCAGTCGTGCGGTCTATTGCTGAAATAACAATTCATTGAACCATAGCATATCGTGTAGCTCAATCAGGTACGCTAATGGCTGGCTCACTGTTTTCATTAATTCGATGACACAGCTTGTCCAGGATTGGATTGCACTGGGATAATGAGACCAAATCTTGGAAACGTTATGGAGCCGAGAGGGACGCTGCACAGGATGTCAAAAATAGCGAAGTAGCCAGGGTGGGTGACGAGGGCTGTGCCAGTGATGCCGACGGTCATACAATCTCCTGCAACAACTCCGGCGCGGTCCTTGCGGCATTGAAGGTCGTCTCGGTGTCATCCGCAGATGCTGAGACGTCTTCCTCATCGCTTTCACTAAATGCGCAAGTAGCTATCGAACTATCCCGTGATCATGGAATAGCACAGAAGGGCGCAACGACCATCTCCGACGCATATCTGAGCGCCTCTGCACCAGAAGAGCAAGGTACGTCTGTCGCTGTGTGTACGTTGATGAAGAGTTTGATTGATATATGTCTATCCAACCATAGCTGACGAGTAGTCTATAGGCGCAGGACTATTAGAATAAGGCTACTGCAATTCGAGAAGCGAGACTGAGCCGAACAACGTCTCCAAGACTCGCCCGGACAGCGCTTCATCGCGTACGCCGCTCACACCAGATCCGTCAAGCACACCACCCTATCATCTGCGCTGGAAGCCGGTACAGATTGCCCAGCCAACGTATGGCATCCTTCGAGCTCTCCGGCTGTCACCGTTCTACGCTGCCGTTCCCCCCTCTCGCCAAAACAGTCTCAAACCAGCACGATGCATGTTTCCTCGGACGCGTGCACCGCGCCCGCAGCTAGTGTTGTCTCAGAGACGTAACATTGATTTTTTTTGCGGTGTCTTCGGCGGTCATCCTTGCTTCGCATAATACGAGTCACCGGAATAACTCACCAATCTCCATGGAGGTAGATGCCAGCACAGACCATTGCTTGGAATACTTTGTAGATGCATTCACCTCATTCGCTCCCCCTACGCTATGGCCTTTTGCTTTGTTCCTTGTATGTGCTCTTACTGGGACCAGCTCGAGTGTGCTTCATCTTCATTCTAGACCTGCTCTTCTCAGTCTGTGTTCATCATGTATTCCATTGTTTGTCTATCTCGAGGACGTCGTCGTGCCCATTCATTATGCAGAATCATCAGGTCATAACGTGTATTGAAATCTGCACCATCAGATTGAGCATGCAGAGGTCAGTGTCATGGTCCTGAGATAATATCTAAATAGCACGGCCGTCACTTTAAGGCGCAAATGATGCTACGTAAGCCACAAGTTCTGTTGGCACTTGGGAGCGCATGCCAACGTATTTGGCATTGTTTGTAGTACCTCCAGGCTTTGCGCGAGCCGCTCTGTATATTCGTCGATCGTTCTCGCGTCGGGTCTCAGACGAACTTCGGCAAAACATGCTCATCGAGTAAGTATTCACAAAAGCCAGTGGAAATGTGAAGTGCTCGAGGCACCGGGAAGAACCACAGTGCCCGTGTCGCCGAATGTTGATGAGGGCTCGGTGCGCGGCGCGAGGAGAGAGGATAGCGACTAAGATCAATCACGGAACAAGGCGTCAGGAACCGTCCAGCGAGCGCACTTCAAGCGTGTCGCGCCATAATCTTGTGTACACGGGCGCACCGTTCGTCGATAGACCAATCAATGATAGTGTCTGGAACCATTCGTCGCTGGACTGTCCGAAGGTAGTCCGCCTGTCTGACTACGAGATCAATCAAACCTCGAGACTACAAGGAAGATCCGGACTTACGACATGGGGAACGCCATGATAATGGGAATGGTAGTCTTAGAGACAGCATCAGCGGTCTGTAGGCCGTGGTTAAGGAATCAACTTACAGCATTGCCTTCGCATATAATAGTCTTGACATCAGTAGCGAGGACAGACTACAGGTTCGATCAGAAATCCCCGCACTCAGTAGTGATCGCCTAGAAGCGGGGATATGAGTGCAGCGCCACAGTTCGAGTGAGCTGCCGCACACGGTTGTGCTGATACCATCCTCGTAGCATACTCTGATCTAATCGTGTACTGAGTTAGGGAACGCATGTGCAACCCATCAGATACGTCCCTTACCTGATATTTGCGGCAGCCTACGACTGACATGCAGATGCGACTGCTAATGATAACACGAGGAGGTATCTGAGGCTATCAACAGGATGAGTCGAATCATGCGCATGGCTGAGAAAAACTGACGGATTGTTCTGACTGTACAACATGTGGTTTGGGTATTGCAGTGATAGATCCTAAACCTCACGTGAGGTGAAGTATAAACGCATTTGAAAGAACGTACCATTAGTCCATCGTGAGATTGACAGGCGAAGAGAAGGTTGAATTGTAATGGCCACGGCTTCTGCCAAGTGGCATCAGCTGCTATGCTTGATCATGACGACAGAGGATAAATTACGCTTCATTCCGAAAATCAGACTCTGCTAGTGATAGTTGCGGAATCGAGAGTCGGAGAAGGTGATTTGCGAAAACGATCGCCATCGGCAGCACATGCTTGCAGTTTCCATATTTAACAGATCGACTGCCGCTTCCTGCCGTTGAGGACAAGCAGATTCCCGTACGAAAAGTCGATGCCCAAAGGCTGGTCTACGTAGGGCCTAAACTGCCCTTTAGTCAATCGCCGACATCGAAGCGCTGTCAGATACACATACGGGTATATTGTCTCATGTGTTCGGGTTGTATGTCATGCAGCTGGTAGCAATTGTGATGCAGCACAGCTCATTCTCCTCGAGTATCCTAGGCACACCTGAGTTTGAAAAGCTAAGTCAATCTTGATGTCTGGCGGTTGCACCGCGTTCAGCTATGTTGTGAGAGAGTCGTTACTTGAAGAACCAGAACCTGTGTGCCAAACATCAGAGAACGGAACAAGACGGGACACGCATTGAACATACCGGATGGTTCCATGGAGGAAGGGTAGTATGCACCGACGGCTGGTAGAAGTTGTTTGGCATCTCGCAAGGACCACGCATATGGGTACCGCGGCGGCCGGAAGGAAACTCTGAGATGCAGCCGACAGCCCGAGAGCTAGAGACGTCAGAGCAGAATATAAGGTTCTTCAATACAATTGTACATCCCGCCCCTTGCCGTCAATCGCTACGCATGGTTCGGCAGCACATCTAGCTCATCCGTGCGGATCGGAGATGTTAGAATCAGTCCATTGCCGCCTGTGAATCGACGTGACGACAGAAGCTCCAGTCGCGATGGCGGGTCGATGAGGTTCGATTGTTCAACAGACCATTTTGTATATTCATGATCTGGCGAGCACGTGCAAAACGCGGTAAGATGGGGTATGTGGCTAGGTGTTAGGACTCGGGACCGTATCTAGAACGTTTGAGTTTGGACGAGATGACGTCAGTTATACTTTCACCTCCAAATTTACCAGAGAGCGTACCTTGAATTATGATCTTCCACCCACCAAGGTTTCTGCGCAGCAGTCAGCACACTGCCGGCTTCCTCCTGTCGATAAGCGAGCAACTCTGCATCCTCAGGTTCCGCAGGCGGCCCCATCGTCCACTCGTCTCGAGCCTGATCGCAGTCTCTACACCACTTATGGACGCTAATTTCGCATTGAGCATCTTCCTTGGCGGTGTAGACTTCATTGTCCGCCCTGGTGTCACCAGATCGTTTTCTCTTTATCCCTGAGACAATTGGCCGAAATGGGCGAGGAAAGCGGACAGCATCGTCATCCGACAGGGGAGGGCAATATTGCTTCCTGATGTAGCGTAAATCACCATCAGGGAAGGGTGCGAGCTCGCCTGTTGCCCATAACCGCCTGCCGTGTACTATCCCCAGTTGCAGGGGGCCCGTCCACAACTTATACCGAGAGACTATGCTGTATGTATGATTGACCTCATTGTGGGGCAGCAGCTCCCGCAAGATATGCTGGTAGTGGAATGGTCGCTTGCTCAATTTCTGTCCCGCTCGAAATACCATCAGACGGGGATCGGCTTTCAACTCATGCCACCCGAGCGACCGATATGAGCAAGGGGCCGTCATGACGGAAGGCGTGATGGGGTTACCCATGGTCGCGCACGAGTCGGGAGGGTGCTCGTCCTCTGCGATGACGCAATACTTATACACCTGCGTCACCATAAGCGCGTCGATCGGCCAAGAGGGTATATTGATACATACAGTGCAACAGTCAACACTCTTCAAATGATCAGGATGGGGTATCATCAACAAACGGTTTGTTTCCCACAGCTCTCGGAGGTCGCGCCGAACTGGGTACAATATATGAGGCCACAATTGACAGATAGATCGATTAAATACACGCACGGAATATTATATTCCTAGGTGCATGACAACGCAGGGTGTTGTAGTTGCCACGCATTCTGGACATCAAGTTGTCGAACTGGCGATTCATCTTGTCAGCCACAGAAGCCAAAATAACAGCCATACCCACTCACCAATCGCTGAGGCATGTCTAGAGGCCAGATATAGCACCCCTCTACATCAGCAGACACGCAGCCGGTGATCACGCATCTCGGGTGGGGTCCAAAAGGAACGGCGTGCTCGATGTTGGACATGCGCATTCTCTTGGCGGGGACTGCATCAGTCTCTGTGTCTAGGCCCCGCTTTCGCTTCGGCCGGGGGATGCCTTCGACTGGCGACTCTCGTTCAATATTGGGGGAGACCGGCTCAACTGCATCCGGCTGGGCTAGCCGGATGATGGGTATATGTACAAGAGCGTCCATAGGGAACACATGCTCGTAGTGAAGTGGTCGCTTGATGAATTCACGGCCCACTCGAATTGTCATTAAATGCAGATTCGCACTTAGGTTGTGCCACCCCAGCGAGCGATACGGGCTACAAGCCCTCGCGACTGGAGGTATAATGGTATAATCCTGGGGGGTGCCCGAATCTAGAGGATGCTCATCTTCTGCCACGACGTAGTACTTGTAGGCCTACTTGACTGTGAGCTCGGCGACCACCTGAGAGGGCGTGCGATACATACAGAGCGGGTATCGGGATGGTCTATATGATCGGGATGGGGTATCATTAACAGGCGGTTCGTCTCCCACAGTATACGGAAGTCACGTCGAACTGCATGCAGGTTGTAAGAAAAGGCAAAACAGGCTAGATAGGAGCAAGTACGCACGAAATATGATGTTTTCACGCGTGCTACAATGAACAGCATTAGAGTCAGAGGGCATACGGAGCGTCGCGCAGTCGCTCTACAAAGCTGCCTTGTCAGCTGCGAGGTCGAGGCAGTAACCATCCTACTCACTAACGGCTGAGGCGTGTCAGGGGGCAGGATATAGCACGCCTCCACCTCAGCAGACACGCACCCCGTGATCATGCATCTAGGGTGAGGTCCATAAGGACCCCCATATTTGAGCTTTGACGCGTCGCTCGGAATGTCAGACAATCGCCTTCTCTTAACACAGACTTCGTCGACTGTCGTGTCTGCACACCGTTTTCGCTTCTGCGGGCGAGCGATAGCTTCAAGTGGCACGTGTATGTCAATACCGGGGGCGACCGGGGGATCCGCGTCAGGTTCGACGACCCTGATCTTCGTGTAGTCGTGGATGGGTATATGCCCAAGACTGAAACATGCGCGGTCCTCGGCTTTGGTTGCGTCGTTCGAAGTGCCAGACGTCCGCGCCCTCTTCGCGCGAACGTCATAGGTGCTTGTGTTTGCGCTTCGGTTCCGTTTCAATGGACGGGAGACGTATTCTAGTGACGGGTGCAATGCATCGGGCTCGACGTCCCCGACACTCGCGCAGTCGCTGATGGGTGTATGGCCAAGACCGAAGAACGCGCCGTCATCGACCATGGTTTCATCGCTCCAGATATGAGGCGGCAGCGCTCTCTCTGCGCGGACTTCATCAGCCCTTGTGTCCGCCAACCGCCTCCGTTTCAGCGGACGGGTGATGTCTTCTGGTAGCGAGGAGTCCGCGTCTGCTTCGACAATCCTGATGTCCGTGCCATCGCCAGCGTGTGTATGCTTAGAATAGTCATCAAAAGAAACAGATGGTGCACGACTGACTCCAGAAGTGGGTGTAGCGGGTGGAGAGCTTTCGCGTGAAGAGGAGCTACCAGTGTCGTCGGAAAGCGCGGGAGTACTCATTTTGCGTGGTGGATGCGCAGCAACAAATGTATGAGACGTGTCAGGAATAAGGATGTAAAGGCCATTCATTTTTGTGTCGACTGTATCGCGAGTTCAGCGAGGTAGTGACGATGGTGTAGCGCGAACAGCGTGCGCCACCAGTGCCCTTAGCGGGAGCTTAGTCAGCGCTACTCTCGGAGTTCCCCGAAACCAATGAAGTCTTGACTGGTGTAGTCGATTGAGTGTACAGTCAATCAATTCTCAGTGCGTTTGTACGCTGTCATAGATGTCCGTCTGCGCCTTGTGATACACAAACTTAGCACTCTGAATGTTTTCATGGAAGACGTCGCAAGCCCTCTGTGTGAGATCGCAGTCGGGGTCCGGGTCAGGTTATTTTGACTTTGCAATCTGTGTCGTACTTCAGAGATGCTCACATTCTACTTCTGCTTAGATGTAACCCCTTGCTTTAGACGGAACACGTTCCGTCCTTTGATAGAGAGTATCCCTCAACACCTTGCGCAGGGTTCCTTGTGGAGAGTACGTGTGAGGTCATTCGTACCTGACCTTCCGTGCTCATCGCCAGCATTCGTCTGACTCTGTCCCATGAGGGACGCAATTCATGACACAGATAATCATTTTACATCCTTGAGTATACGTAGGAAATGTTCGTAGCCTCTGGCAGACACGGGCGGCGTGCCGCGTCAATTCCAGCTTCTTGTTGAATGTGTCAATGAGTCAATAATTGTAGCTTTCTCATCAATGTCATACTATACTCTTCCCTATCACCCATTTTATGATTTTGCGGTGAGAACATGGGTTTTGGAGGCGGACAGACACAAACGTCTCACCTGGAAATGCTTCGCGCCAGTGAGGTCGTTCAACATGTCCTAGGTGAGTTTCGTTCCTTTTCGTCGAGTCTTCCGCAGACTGACTGTGCGGTTCCGATTCAGCAAATGAAAAGCGTGCCTCCTTATGCGACCTTTATAGCGTGTCTCTCCGGTCAGCGGGGCACGGTTCCCGCGCCTCAGACGGTGCATCTGATGTCACGACTCCAGAACACACCTCGCACAGACCATACAGATTAGGTAATATGCGGGAGGTCGCCAGTCACTGACCCGCGTCGACGATGGCCGCAATATCCAAATTGGAATACAATGGCCTCTGTGGCCTGTGGTCACGCGCTTTGCAACATAATATGAACTCAGCAAAAGCCGCTCGAGCCACACACTCTCGCAGTCTCTTCCTTCACCCCCACCTTCACCCCTCACCTCATCTCCGAAAATCCCCTAGCCATGGCTGACAGCTTGGAATTGAGACGATCTGATAGACTCAAAGACTTGGATCCAGGTACGGCTCCTCGTCGCTACCGTTGACCGCTTTGCCCTGACTGTGGCCCGGCCACAGTTGATTACGACGAGGGCAGCGTCAGTGGCTCCCAGCCCGAGTCCGAACCCAAGCCTGCGTATGGGAAACGGAAAAGGGAAATATCAGACGACGGAAGCGATTATAGGCCGTCTAGGGAAGGCACGCCGGTCAATGACACTCCGAAGACTCCAAAACGGAGAGTGAGTCGCAAGTCCGGCATTACAAACGGTGCACGACAGCGAGCGGTCAAGGCGTCTCGGAACGGAGGTGCCTGTATTATATCAGGCTTAAAGGACAAGTCAGTGCAACAGTGCCATGTCTTGCCACGCGCCACAGACGCGCGTATCGTAAGTTGAAGTGGCTCCTGTGCGGAGGTGGCGCATCTGACGGTCTACATACGCGCATGCATAGCTCACGTCCCTGGAGTGGTGGTGGGGCATCAAAAAAGAAGGCCTCAATGTAGATTCTAGCCGCAATATGGTTTTCCGTGCGTCTTCGTTCTCGGAGGCATGTCGATACGCGAGGGCTTACTTGCATACAGTTCGTGGCGACCTCCATGTATTGTGGGATCGTGGAGACATCCTTATTGCTCCGATGCCCGACGTGGTGAACAAATATATGGACAAGTACAAGGATGGTGAAAGACACGACATCTTGGAGGTGGGTCGCCGCAAGCTATTCATTTACGACTGATGCGAATCGTCGCCACAATGCGTATAGGTCATCGGCAAGAAGAAGATCCACAGGTACTGTGTGATCCCCCACCCTAGCCTCTCAGGTGGTGCACGCTCTAGAGCAAAGCGTGCAATCCGCCAAGGGTTCACCAACGGGTTCCACAAGCTCAAATTCGTGCCGAGAGCTGTGGGTGAAGGGCCTGGAGGAATTCTACGAAAGAATTCACCTCAAAATCGACGCATCCCGCTTTGTGGAAAACATCTTGAGAGTGAACGCGATGTGGACTGCGCCACCACCGGGAGAGGCACAATTGGTAAGGAAACAGAAGTCAGTGAACACACTTGATCTGTGGCAACGCAACCACTTATCTCGTTTGCAGGCTTCCTATGAACATTCCGACAGGCGTACCAAGGACGCCTGAACGGCCCAAGGGTATGTCCTTATGCATTGCCTTGTTATGTGCCACGGACTCACTTGAACATTTATGGGTCTTGTACATGACAAAGACCGCAAACCGGAGGCCTGCAAGTCCAACGGTGAACAGCGCGTTAACACCCTCAAGTCGCAAGTCGCCCAATTGGCTCCTACTGGATCACGGTGCTTGTTGACCAATCAAGAGGACAGGTCGGTTCAGGGATGTCACGTTGTTCCGCGAAGAACCGACAACCGTTTGGTAAGTCACCAATAGTCCGCGGTGGCATTTGCGCGACCCTGACCCGGATGCGTCCGTGCATGTAGCGTAAGCGGCTGGCGGCATGGTGGGGGCTTAAGGATTTCGACATCGACACGCCTTTCAACCTCTTCTTGCGTCAGTTTATATATCCTAATCGCTCGACGTAGCCCTCACTCAGACCCCACTTAGTAAGGGCTGATATCCACTCCTTGTGGGACAAAGGACATATCATATTCGTGCCTGAACCTCAAATCCTCGACGAGTATCGCGCACAATCTAGATTTCCCATCGTTGTAGGGGCGGTGAGTGGAGGGACAGGGCCTAGATATTGTATCTTGCTCACGGTGCTATCCAGCCGCTGGACAAACCATTTAGAGTGTGCAATGGCCCCCTTTACAAATATTGCGTCATCGCACATCGCGGCCTTCCCCGCTCAGAAGAAGACAGTGATTTTCCGAGGGCCCTCGACACCGTGGGCTGCGTGGTATCCCGCGTTCCTCCTCAATTCGTCACATACAACGCCGGTCTGGCGCTATCGAAGGGTGACGGACCAGAAGGCTTTGAACCAGCTCTAGACGCCTTCTACAAGGAGCACAATATCCAATATGAAGCGATCAACGTACTCGCTGATATGAAAGGCTTCTTCGACCTATGGTCAACAGACACAGACGACGCTGCGGAAGAAGCCTTTTGGTTGGACTAGCTGTCTCGATTGGTGCGCCGGATATACTTCATTAAAACTCATATCATAATGCGATCCTAGCTGGATGCAAGAGACCTGAGTGTTATCGGTCAATGCTGGGTGTAGGGTGATTATCAGGACTTATGTGGCCTTATGGCCAGTGCGGACACGAGAAATATGCTTTGCTATGGTGAACCATCTATGCCCCATTATGTAGTATCCAATCGTATAGTTATCCATGTGGTTTATCTACTGCATGTCTATGAGAGATGACCTGATCGCATCGCTGCTCGTCACAAGACATGAGAGAGCGGTTGCGTTATTTGGAACATCCCGGGTCGTCGCAGTACACAACCAGCTTATGAATGTCGTTTGCGCATTTGACGCTGATAGAATTCAGAGATCTTAGTCCATCAACAATCAATCATGTCGTGTATGACGTCGGGGCGCGAGTGGTGATCCAGTTGAAAAGAATCAGTACGAGGTTACATCGCTGAGCTTACGCAAGACGTGACGTTGCATCTCGCCAGCGGTCTGATATCCTCGACATGCACAGGAATGCAGCTTGCCACGGGGTTCATAGCCACAGGAGCCTCTGCAAATACTCCGAAAGCCACGTTGCGCGAAGTGACACGCTTGATACCTGGACAACGGTCCGGGCTGACGTGACACAGATGCTATACAGTATAAGCCCTGTTCCCGTCGGCCAACAATGATCGCCTTCATTGGGAAGGAGATGTTCCCCATGATACATAGTGACTTTCGTCAAATATTTGGCCTGCGATGAGACTCATAGAGATCGAGTGACTGTATCAATTATCATCACTTATCATGGATAATCTCAGTCACAGGAGATGGCACACGAATATGAAGTCGCCGACAGACCTTGTGGATTCCGGTTCGCAGACAGTGTGTTGACTCTTCCGGCAGCTGTTTGGGATGTAATCAAAGCCCCAGGCGGGATAGGAGCACAACCTGGGCTAGGTATCTGTCCGGGCTACCATCCAGACTGCAGAAAACGAGGCACAAAGATACCTCCAGTCACTGACACTCACAGTTTGGAGACTTGGCAGACTTGTCTGCAAAGAGTGTCAAACGAGAATTGCGCTGTCTCATCGCGGGAATGTCCAGAAATATCAGTTGCAGAACATTCGTGGTTTCGAGACGAGCATGATCAGATCATTACACTGTGCATAATGATCAATCTCCGATAGAATTTGTTACGACTTGTTGTACTTCGTGAATTTGGACTCAATGGACTGAAACCAAGGTGCATATCGAAACCCATCGGTGTAGAACGAAAGCAACACTAGACAAGGGCGTGAATGCGGTCTCAAGCATTTTGCGGACACAAGGATATAAATAAGAATCTCAGCAAGGATGAATCAGCCATCTTGCAACGACGGGGCTCATACGAAAGGCCGGCGCCTAGAGCAAAACGCGATCGCGCGCGATCGGCCAATGAGAATCGTCAGCCGGAGAGTGGGACCGCGACGGCCAATAGGAACGAGCTACTAGTATAACTTCCAGCGATGGCAGGGAAGCAACCTTTAGATCAGGCTCCTAAAACCAGCCCCACAATCGCGTTCTTCGCTCCTACATCCGAGAGGCCAACTTAGTGTTATATACGAAAAGTTAATCACGTGATTGATCCGAAAATGAGAGCACGTGAGGAGTCAGAATCAAACAAGAGGAGGACGAATGCTATGGAGGGGCTGGCGCAACTGGTCGCCGAGTCATCCCCGAGCGCTGAGGTTTTAGCATCTAAATACTTATTCTTCGCTCCTAACCCTGATGTAGGTCTTATTTGTTTGCATTCGCATAGTAGCAATCCCAGCTGCATTCGGCGCATCCTGCTCAACCTGTTGACCATAATGAGCTCTGCCGAGTGTCTTTGGTCAGGTCTCATGAGATACATAATGCTACATTGCATTTAGATTAGGAGAAGTGATATATATCACAGCAAGCCAGATACAATTGGTTTGAATGTCTCTCTTTGGATAGTCTATGAGCAATTCTCTGGTAGTTGGAAGCACATAAAACAAATGTTACCTGAACTTCCCTGCTACTCAGCAATGATGTGGCCTTTTGGTCAGCATTCAATAATATCACTTGATGTATATTTTTCATACAGTTCAGGCAACACATGAGCCTTTGAAGGTGTGGATGCATGAGACTGCAAAGAGTGCCTAACCAAATGAGATTATCGGGCTCACACAAATGAAATAAATCAAGACCTATGTCAGGGTTAGGAGCGAAGAATAAGTATTTAGACGCTGAAACCTCAGCGCTCGGGAATGACTCGGCGACCAGTTGCGCCAGCCCCTCCATAGCATTCGTCCTCCTCTTGTTTGGCTATTCTGACTCCTCATGTGCTCTCATTTTCGGATCAATCACGTGATTAACTTTTCATATATAACACTAAGTTGGCCTCTCGGACGTAGGAGAGAAGAACACGATTGTGGGGCTGGTTTTAGGAGCCTTGTCACGACTTGATACGGCGCCTAGCCATTTTTTAATTTTTCCTTTTCGCGGGCTCGAACCCGCGACCTCTGTACTACATGCCCGATATGGACGCATCATTATCTACTGTACGATCTGATTAGATAGGACGGCAGTGCACGGCACAGCTCGGGCCCCGCTGACGCAGCCGCTCTGACTCACCGGCCCCCGGGGCCGCGTCGGCATGCTGCGCACGGACCAGCTGCGCACGGACCAACGCGCACAGCCTGCCCTTATCTCCCCATGTATATAAGCCGGCCTCTGCTGCCCTAGGGACCTCAGTTTCGACCTCTTGTCCCTAGGTCAGTAAGCTCCTGTATTCTCTCACTTACCTTACACTAACTAATACATTTTCTTGTCCCTAGCCTTAGGTTTGAGCACTGCTCACCATCGCTTCGGTGAGACTTAGTCGAACGCCCCCAGCTCCTTTTAGGTTTTCCCCTGTCGCTAGACCTCAAGTCGCGACATTAGGTCGAAACTCCACAAAGCTGCCGGCGTTCCTCGGAACCCCACACACTCACTTTTCCTTTCCCATAGGTTGGGTGGTGCGCACCCCTACTGTACCCTACGATACGTAGATAACATACGATACATCGCCAACACTTGAGAAACGAACTC